CAAAGACTGTTTTCTAAGAGTAGAAATGTCAGCCACCTGGCAGGCTGAAGGGAGAAAATGATAATCAGTTAATATTTACTGAGCTAGATTATATACCATTCTAAGTGCTATACATACATCATCTCATTGTTTTTCAAAACAATTCTATGAGGCTGGAATTCTTTTTATCACGGGGGAGCTGGGATTTGAACCCAGGTATATTCTGCCTTGCAGATCTGAGCCAGATTTCCAAAGGGACACACAGGAATGAAATGACAAATCCCCAAATGAATTAAGTGTGAACTGGTGAGGTCATGAAACCTGCAGAAAGCAACTTGGCTTAGGTTACAGACATCTCTCGGTTCCCTTAGTTTATTTTCCAGATACAACTTGAGTTTGAAGCTTCATAGGAATCCTTTGAGATGACAAAGTTAGCCAACGAATGCCCTTTAGTCCCAGCTCTGTGGAACTTCTTGTGATGGGTGATGAGAGCAGCTAATTAAAACATTTGCGTGGTTTAAAGTTCAATACTGGAGAAGGGCAAATGTTTAAAGTCAATTTGTTACCAGCTCCAAGATTCTTGACCCCTCCACCCCTGAGGATAGAAATCAAGGAGAAAGGTTTACTAAAGACAAAGTAAAAGGAGCTCACACGGGGTGGAAAGTTGAGTGGTTCCCCAAGTCATTGCTAAGGTCTGGCTTATGTGGGCTCAGCCTTCCTCCCCCTCCTCCTCTGGTGGGCTGGGACTTGACTGCTGTAAGCACAGGGCAGATTCCTTGGTCCTTCAGGGTCCCCACTAGCCGGCTGGCACTGGCACTGGTTTGCAGAGGTGCAGAGCTCCGCCCCTAACCTGGGAGGCATGCTTCATTAGCATTTTTCCGGCTCCACCCAGGGGTGTGTCTTTTCCCCGGGTCTGATTCAGGGTTCAGTGGCTTTCTACAAATCAACAAGTTTCTATTTGGCACCGCTGGAAGGGGAGCACAGAGCTAAGATGCTGGGGTTACTCCCCAAGAGCAAAGACATGATCCTTGTGCTGGGTGCAGCAAGACGAAATTGGAAAAGGGCCTAAGCTTTGGAATGAGGCAAACAAGCCCAAAGTCATCTCCTAGTTCTGACTGCCTTTAGGCAAGTCAATTAATAAAAGGGGAAAAATGATTCTTAGTTTCTAAGAGTATACCAAAGCATTTTGTGCAGTGCCTACTGTGACTTGTCCTCTTTCATCTTGGGTCTCCTGAGGTTAGTTAGCAAAAGCCTATAGAAATGGAACAAAACAGCCTGACTGGTGTGATTCAGTGGATTGACCTTCCTCCCATGGACTGAGAGGTCCCGGTTCAATTCCCTGTCAGGGCACATGCCCAGGTTGCAGGCTCGATCCCTAGTAGGGAGTGTGCAGGAGGCATCCGATGGATGTTTCTATCTCTCTCTCCCTAAAGAAAAACATAAAAAGAAAATAAATGGAACAAAACAATTCTTGGCATGGGGTAGAGGGTAGGAAAGATAAGCATTCTCCTTTGAGGCTGGTAGAGGTGATCCCAAGAGCAGGAAGAGACAGAAGGCTGAGCTTTGAATTTCCAGGATCAGGGGTAGCCAAAATTTAATATATTTTTAAAAAATCACTGGAAATAAAGTCAACGTCTATCTTTGAACATAATGATTTTCAAAAACTAATGGGTAAAATTATTGTGCAAAAGAGGGTCGGTTTTAAAGATAATATGTCTTTAGATGTACATCTAAAGGGTCTTGGTTATGTTTGGGAAAACTCAAGCTTCAGTTCAATTTCATCCCTAAACAGTACCAAGGATTATGATATTTAAGAACTGTTGGATTGAACAGTGTTGATAGAGGGGAAAAGTCAAGGAGAAAAAAAAATACAGGGAAATCTGGAACTGACTGAAAGACTTGGAGATAACTTCGAGATGTTTTATTTGGGTAATTATGGTATCATTAGCTCCTCAGGGGACCTTTAAAAATCGTAATGCCCTTGATGCATCCCAGGCTCCTTAAATAAAAATCTTTGTGGTGGGATCCAGGCACCAGTACTCTTTGTAGCAATCCATGTGATTCCAATATATCAATAACCTTGTTTGTCAAACAAGAAAATCAGGTAGGATATTGGGATGATGCAGGAAGGGAATGAGTATAGTAATTCTAACTATATCGAGGTCAGGGTTCCAACAGGGCATCCAGGAGGGAATTAAGAACTGGATCTCAGAAAGGATAGAGCATCTCAAGATTTTGGAGAGCTATTCATGCATTCAATAAATATCCCTTAGGGCCTGTTAAGTGCCTGGATACTAAGTCCAACAAATAGGGTCCTGTTTCCCTGCAGGGCTTATGTCTAGGAAGCAGTGAACAGATTTCTAAATGTAGTGTTGTGAACTCTAAAATGGAGATCTGTATGTAGGACAAGAGAGGAGGGCTAAATTCTCTTGGGAATGGTCAGAAAAGGCTTCATAGAGAAGGGACAAGAAGAGGGCACCCTGAGGGATGCCTTAGGAACTGTGGAGCGGCTTACTTCGGTTTATTAGGCCAGGGAGGAAAAAAGAATGTAGGATTACATACCCTGAAAGGTGATGGAGGAAAGAATGGATAATGGGAGGGGCATACCTAATGGAAGAGGCATACCTGATGGGAGGGGCATACCTGATGGGAGGGGCATACCTGATGGGAGGGGCATACCTGATGGGAGGGGCATACCTAATGGGAGGGGCATACCATACTACCCAGAAGGCAAAGAGGGTGAGACTGAGAAGTGGCTGTCAGACTTGATGATCACACGGGTATGAAAATTAGTTTCCATAGTGGGACAGCTTGGGGAGAAAAAGTGGATGGTGTTTGAGACTGGAACCATTGAAAAAAGAAGGATAAAGAGAGGGCCAGAGAAAATACTATGGGGACAGTTGGAGGAGCACATTTAAATATTAAGTAGAGGGGAGGTGCCTGCAGTGGGAAAAGCTGAGGACACAGCGTTGAACTATTATGTCGCCTTCTTCTAGCCTGGAGCTGGATGGCCTTGTCACTTCCCTCCTCTGGCTGTTAATTTGTTTTCATCTATACGATGATGGGGATGGAAACTTTGATTTCTAAGGTCATGTCCAGATCTGACAATCTAAGAAATTTAGTGGTAAGAACAGAATTAAATGAGAGGATTAAAATGACTCTTAGCTGCATAAAGTGTGGTGATGGGTCAACTTTGTCTTCTAGACAAGTGTACTTGCCATGCTCAGTCACCTCATTGTCTAGGCACACGCCTTAGAACCCACTTATTTAAAAGTGAACTAGCCCTGGCCTGTTTCACTCAGCAGTCAGCCAGTAGACCGAAGGGTCAAGGGTTCGATTCCCAATCAAGGGCCAGTACCTGGATTGCAGGTTCAATCCTCAGCCCTGGTCAGGGTCATGAGGGAATCAACCAATCATGTCTCTCTCACATCAATGTTTCTCTCTCTCTCTCTCTCTCTCTCTCTCTCTCCCTCTTCCTCTCTCTCTCTCTCTCTCTCCCTCCTTCCCTTCCACTCTATCTAAAAATCAATGGAAAAATATCCTCAGGTGAGGATTACCAAAAAATAAATAAAAAATAAAATAAAAGTGTGAACTAGCCAAGAGGTGCAGAGTATAAAAGTCAAAGTCACACCTTCTGGAATCAGACAGTCCTACACTAGCAAGGTGACAGTGTAAAAAATGGTTTACTGTGGGTTTTCTAATCTGTAAAATGACACCATCTGAAACAGCTACTCACCTTGAATAAGCAGGTGGAGAGAATATTAGTTGCAGGTAGGACCAATCCTATTATGAGAAATACCATCACAACAAACATGTTTTATTCTTTATTTTAGAATACCAGGTATTAGATCACTTAGGACCAGAAAAATTAGAAATAACAGAATTAGAGAAAAGTTAGCCCCTTGGTGGGTACTGCAATCGATTTTTGAGTTCTATTTTAAAATATCTAAGACTAAGGGCATAAGTTGGACCAAGTCCACTTGGAGCTCATGTCACCACTTCCAGGGCCAAAGAAGGGCTTGCGGAACTGGGCCCAAGTTGACAACAGGAAGCAAGATCTAAAGACAGGAGGATCCTAGCCTATGGCTGATTGCCATCACCTGGAGACACCCCGCTCTCTAGCCAGCTCTGGCATGGCGGGAGATTAAAATGGGTTATCAGAAGTTAACTGAATGCACAGGAAACGGAAATAAATCCGGCTTTTGAAAGGGCAGCTGAAAAGGGACTGGACTTCAAGCTAGGATTTACATTCCAAGGCATTCCCGAGGCCACTCCTCACCAAGGAGCACAGGGGACAGCTCCCAGGAGGGAGGGTCAGGAACACAGAGCTTGCTGGGGGGCGCCCTGTGGACCCCCGGGACAAAGGACACCAGCTCCTGGAAAGCCCCTAAATTCAAGGCCAACCCACCACCTGCAGCTTGAAAGCAGCACACACCTGCCCGCCACACCTCCCCTCCCGGATCTCTGGGGCGAGGGTGGGGGTAGAAGTAAATATTTGTAGTTACTGGATTCATTCAGTAAATATGTATTTTGTGGGTGCCTGACACTGACCTCAATGGTTTCCGTCCCTACTTCTCACAATAATCCTGCGATTTGTGTTATTAACCCCCGTATTTCCTGCGCTACAAAGCGGAGCAAGAGGCACAGAGAAAAAGTAGCACTTTGCCCAGCAGGCGGCGGGATCAGAGCTGGGAGCTCAAATTCCCAGCCTTGGCTCCGGGGCCGCCCGGCTCCACCGGGGCGAGGAACCCACCTGGGTCGGGAGCGGGGCGCCGGGCATCCCTTCCGCGGGCTCCGCGCGGGGGCCACCGCCCACTGGTCCACCTGGAGCGGCAGCGCCCCCCTCCCCCGCCCGCCAGTCCCGCGAGGCGCGCGGCAGGTGCGCGGGCGCCCGGGAGCCCCGCCCTCTGGCCCCGCCCCCGCGCTCGCAGCCTGGTGTCGGGCGCCCCGCAGCGGCGGGGCAGGACGCCCAGCCTCCGCCCGGAGCCCGGGAAGCGATCAGGCGAAGAGGAGGAGCCAGGACACCGAGCGGGTGGAGTCGGGAGCCCAGAGCCGTGGAGGCGTTTTTCCTGGGCCTGGCTGTCTCGGGCTACCATGGCGTTTGGGAAGAGTCACCGGGATCCGTACGCAACCTCCGTGGGCCACCTCATAGGTAAAGCGGCGCGGGGGAGGACGCTCGGCGGGCTTTGGGGGCCCGGGGACCCTTCCCCCTGGACTCCTTTCTAGGCCTGCGGAGGACAGAGTTGGTCCAAGTTTGAGGAGATCCTTCCCCTCCGCCTGCAATTTCCCAGGGCACCCACATTCCACCCGGCCCCTTTGGGGCATTTTTCTATGGCCCACTCCTTCTAGAAACCCCTCCTTAAAAATCTGCCTCCCTGTTTATGCCTCCTGGAGAGCAGAGTGGAACAGGTGAGCCACGTGTGGGATTCAGGTGTGGAGTGTTTGGGCCTCCCCGAGAGGGCTTAACCGTCTCTGCCAGGGTTAGTAGCAGAGTGCGATCACTCGAAGGCACAGTATTACGACCGTTTTACAGAGGAAGACAAGAAGGGTCAAGGAGGTGAAGTGACTGAACCTGGCCGTGCGGCAGGTCTCAAACCAGTTCTCCAACCAGTTCTCCCTGGCGCCAAGCCCTTGCAAACCTGAGTTACTTTTCTGGGTGAACAAAGAGAAATGTTCCTACGTGGAGTGCAGGAAGTGGGGAGCAGAGGAGCCACCTGGAGTCACCAGAGGCCTCTCCAGACACCTGGGACCATGCAGATGTCTGCCTAGCTCATTTCTCCTGTGGCTGGATCTGCACGCTGTCCACAGAGGCCAGTGACTCCGTTCTCCTCCTCCCCATGCCTCCTTTGGGAACTGGGTATGATGCCAAGCAAAGCATGATATGACAGGAACTTAGTGAGGTGAGGGAGCTCGGATCTGGAGAGTTTGGGCTGCAGCTTACTTTGCTGATGTGTGACACCGAACGCACCACTTAACCTGAACTTGAGTTCCTGCCTCTATAAAATGGTGAGAGGAACTGTCATTGAGGAGGAAATGATTTCTAAACTGTTGCTGGCTCTGTCCCTGTTGGATACTAAATCAACTCTGAGCAGAAATGGATTCAGAGCAGACATGTCTTCAGATTGCATCTTCATAGGCTGATTAATTCTTTAATGAAGCAAACATTTACTGACTGTTTGAACCTGCTTGGCAAAGGTAAGATCTGGTCTCAACCCTCAGGGAACGCACAGTTTTGTAGGGAAGATGGACACAGTTTTGTAGTAACTAAAATGTGATGTCTTTACAATACAAGAAAACTGTAAAACACCCAAAACAAGAGAAGGGAGAAACAAACTCTGCCATGGCTTTTGACGGGTGAATAGGAGTTTTCTAGGAAGATGAGAGAAAGCATGGAATGAGGAGCAAGGAATCATGCAGAAGGAATAATGATCCTATGCACCTAAACAACACAAGATTGGTTCATTTGTCCACTGAATGCCAAAGTCAGAGAGTTCTTTTCTTAGATGGGAAGAGCCAGTCTAGGTTCTTTCTTTGTTATCCTTTTTAATTTTTTCTTCATTCCCCCTAGGACCTGATATTTTCATGCTAAGGGATCTTCTCCTTTCTTGTACAAAAGGTGTTCAGTTCCTTCAGGTTGAGTGTCTGTTACCCTTCCCAGACAGCATTTTGTATTATTAAGGAGGATGTCTGGAGAGAGAAAAATACCTAAATGTTTAAGTCGGCCTGGCACAGCTTTGGTGCTAGGAGTGACCTTGCTCTACAGCTAAAGGACACAGACCATTTGAGTAGTTCTGATCTCTTTTTCTTAACAATCCCTCCTCCAGGTGAATAAATGATTTTAAGTGGAATCATACAGCTTCGATCTGAACACTGGTTGTACCTCGTGCTGGCTGTGTAGCCTCGGGTATCATCCTTAACTTCTCTGAACTTCTATTTCATCATCTCTGACATTGCTTAAATGCAATTACATAAACTGAAATCCTTAGCACTGTGCACTTCACCTTGTAGGTGGCTGCTCAGTAGGTGCCTGTCCTCTGAAAAACAGGCAGGCAGATGGAGATTTAGCCATCCTGGCCTTGCAGCCCGGTGTTGTGCCTGCAGCCTCTATTAATACATCACTCATTACTGTTGCTACAACACTCTGAACTTGAGTCCTGATTGATTCCTGAATTACTGGGAATTGCTCAGGGAAAAAAAAAAATCTCTTTGCCCTTGTGATATAGACGAAATGGTACTTGCTAGCAACCCCCCAGCAGATGATTTCAGGAAGACCAGACATGTTTTATTCTGTTGCGGCTCAGAGTCAACACAACAGCTTTTTCTTTGCAGAAAAGGCTACATCTGCTGGAGTTCAGACAGAAGACTGGGGCCAGTTCATGCACATCTGTGACATCATCAACACTGCCAACGACGGGTGAGCACAGAGGGTGGTTTTTTGCTTTTGCCTCTGACAGGCAGTGTCAGACCTAGGGCTGCGCATTTTCTCTTGCAAACTTTGGTTTTCTTGTTGCGAGAGTGTTTAGTGTTTTCATCCCCCGCTGAGGTGCCCACTGCCTTTTGAAGTCAGATTGAAATATTAGGGGAGCTTGTTTCAGCATGTGCACTGTCTGAGAACCTTCATAATTCCTCTCCTCTTTGCCCTTTCCTTAATAGTTTTGAATTTTGTCTCAAAGTCCTTGTTCTTCAAGAAAAAAAATTTTTTTTGTTTGTTTTTTTTAAGAGAGATTGTTTTCTTCTTTAGGAATTCCCCCTGCTCTGATAGCCGATATTTTGTTACTGTAACTGAAAAATATTAGCAAGAAGAGTGGACTCTTGGGGTGACCTGTCTGGGCGGGCAGTTGTGATTCTTGTAACCAGGAAATAATTTAGCAATCTTTTCTTCCTCCCCCTGTTGCAAGAGTTTTTTTTTCCCTCTGAAGGTCAACTCGCCCAGGTGCATGCCGTGTTCTTAAGTGACGTGCTATCTTTTGTTGATACTTTGAAACGTTAGAGAACTGAAGTTTTTAAAAAATTGTTAAGGCCAACTATTTTGGGAATTTAGTCTGAATTGCACATTGTTATGAGGGATGCAGTTCTGTTCATTTTACTGTCTATTGACATGATAAGTGACCGTGAAAGAGATTTAGTGTAGTCTATGTTGAAGAAAACATTATACTTCATTATTGACTATATCGATGGAGAGTGTTTGTGGTTATTACTTTAAAGTGTTTATGGTGCTTTTTTTGTGATCTTGTTTACCATATTTGGCTCCCCTGGGAACCCTTTCTTCATTGATAATGTTAATTTCTTCATTGAAAATACAAAGAGGGAATCTCAAAGTAAAAATGTTTTTTCCTTTTAAAACAGTATTTTTTTTTTAATCCTCACCCGAGGAATTTTTTTTTTTTTTCATTTATCTTTAGACAGATTAGGAGGGAGGGAGAGAGGGAAAGAGAAAGACAGAGACAGAGAGAGAAACATCAATGTGAGAGGGACACATCGACTGGTTGCCTCCCACGCAACCCCGACCAGGACAGGGGACAAACCACAACCAAGGTACATGCCCTTGCCCTGGCCAGTTTGGCTCAGCGGTCCGGAGAGACCCGGGTTCGGTTCCCACTAAGGGCACGTACCTTGGTTGCAGTTTGTCCCCAGCCCTGGTTGGGTCGTGCGGGTGGCAACCACTCGATGTGTCCCTTTCACGTCGATGTTTCTCTCTCTCTCTCCCTCCCACTCTATCTGAACAAAATATGGAAAAAATGTCCTCAGGTGAGGATTAAAAAAAAAAGAAGAAAAAAAGGTACATGCCCTTGGCTGGAATCAAACATGGGTCTCATTGGTCCACCAGCCAATGCTCTAACTGCTGAGCAAAACTGGCCAGGGCTTATTCTTTCTAACTTCTTTATTCTTTTAAACTATCTTTATTCTTTTAAACTTCTCCATGACTTTAATTCTAGAGTTGATATAGGATTTTTTGTTTTTAGAAATATAGGAAAAAAATGTATATAATGATGTATTTTATAATAGTGACAATTCCATGTAAGCATATGTAATGCTATGTCATTATTACCACATAATAGAAATCTAACCATGCAGACATAACAAGATTAGAAGGAAATATGTAAAAATAATTTTGTCACCAGTTTTATTGAGATATAATTGACATAATACTGGATAAGCTTAAGGTGTACAGCATAATGACTTGACATACATATATATTGCAAAATGATTACCACAATAGGTTTAGTTGACATCCCTCACCTCACATAGTTATAAAAAAATGTCTTTCCTGGTGATGAGAACTTTTAGTCTACTCTCCGTAACTTTCAAATATGCCACACAGTACTGCTAACTGTAATTCTAGTCATCACGTTGTAGATTACATCCCCATGACTTATTTATCTTATCACTGGAAATGTGTACCTTTTGACCATCTCAAAGTAAATTTCGACTCTCTACTTAATATTACGTAGTTCTTCCTTTTGTAACAAAGTTGTAGCTTATCAGAACTGACCTAGTTAGTCGTAATGTCTCCTACATCCCTTGCCTATAGGATGCTCAGGAAGTAGTCTTAATCAGAACCGGTAACCATCGTTTTTTCGGACATTGCATTTTCTGTGTACTTATTCTGTACATTGATAGAGGGATATGGGTGTAAATACATTTCACACGTAGAGCTTTCTGAGTAAAATCTCATGTAAGGAAATGTGTGTGTGTGACTAGTTAAAATTTAACTTTAATAAACATTTTTCAAAAATACAGTTACATGAGCGATGTGTGAATCTCAGCAAGAACTATATAAAATGCAGATAAACATAAAATAAAAATCACAAATGACCACCACCCAACAAAAACTACAGTTAACATTTTGGAGCATTGAGTCATAACCCTCTTCTTTCGCTACTAACATAACAGTATGTTGAACCTTTGTTCCAGGTCTTCATTATTATTCTTTATAATAAGGCATTTTGAAAAGCCACAGAGACTTTCTCAGTAGGGATTACCACAAGTTAGCTGTTCGATTTCACATGATTGGCTATGTCAGTTTCTAGTTTTCATTGTAGACAGTGCTGTAGGATATATTGTATTTGATTCTCACAAGGGGTAGGTGGTATTGTCTGCTTGGAATGTAGGAGGAAACAGGAGTGAGAAGTGCTGCCCAGGCTCACGCAGCAGAAGGAAGGCCTCGGTCTCCTTGGCCATTTCTTCTCTCACAGTGCACATTGTTTTGCAGAAACGACTCCTTTGCAGCTGCGCCAGCACTGAGGGTCTCATTGTCTTTTCTGCCGTAGGCCAAAAGATGCAGTCAGAGCTTTGAAGAAAAGGATTTCCAAAAACTACAATCATAAAGAAATCGAACTGACCTTGTCAGTAAGTACTTTCGTGCTATAATTAAGACTCGAGGATTTCCCAGGCCACAGTCACATTTTTGATTCTGGGTAAAATATAAATATTCTGAGGTCATTAATAGGTCTAAAAAGTTATTTACAATCTGAATTAAATCTGCATGCGGAGAATTGCAGAATCAAGAGAGTTAACTGGAACAGCATTTAATTTTGTGGGGAGAGTGTTCCTGGAAAGTCAGTTTTTCTGATCAGGAGATGGGAACTGGGGGTTAAACTGAACAGGTACTGAGCTGATCCAAAAGTGTGCGTGGATGTTCCACAGGGTGGGAATCCAAGTCTGGAAAAATGCTCCCCGGTTAGCTTTGTAGGACACTTGAACACCTCCGTGGAATTGCAAGGTGCTGGCAGCTCATGAAGCTTCAGCCCAGTTCTGCTGCTTGTTAAAGTGGGGAGAAAGTTCTTGGTTGATGTAAGTATTTCTCCCATGCACCACTGTCTGCGAATTGGGTACGGACATTTACTTGGCCTGTTACCATTCCTGCCCCCATCCGTGGCCATGTGACCGCTTCAGCCACTTTGGTGAGTTGCTCATTTTACTTCGCTTTGTTTTGCAAGCGTTGCCTGCGACCCGACAGGGAGCAGTTTGGCTTTTTGAGTTCTTCTGCGTGCCTAGGGACCTCCCCCAGCCCCAGGCCACGCGTGGCTGTGGCGCTCATCAGCCAGCCTCCCACGGCTCTTGGAGGCTTTGGGCATGTGTGTCAAGAGGGTCACGGGCAGAGGTGAGCACAGCTCCCATTTCCTAGCTTCATGGGAAAGAAAACTCACATCTTGCTTGGAGATTAACTGAATGAGAAAAAGTCTTAATGATGCTTTCACTGAAGATATCCTTCTTCAGTTGAATATAGTTTTCTTTTTTTTTTTTTTTTTTTATCCTCACCCGAGGACATTTTTTTTTTTTTTGATATTTTGTTCAGATAGAGTGGGAGGGAGAGAGAGAGAGAGAGAGAGAAACATCGATGTGAAAGGGACACATCGAGTGGTCGCCACCCACACGACCCAACCAGGGCCGGGGACAAACTGCAACCGAGGCACGTGCCCTTAGCGGGAACCGAACCCGGGTCTCTCCAGACTGCAGGCCAACGCTCTAACTGCTGAGCCAAACCGGCCAGGGCAGTTTTATTTTTCTTTATCCTTCCCCTCCCCCCCCCCCTTAATTCTCACCTGAAGACATGCTGAGAGAGAGAGAGAGGGAGAAAGAGAAACATTGATGTGAGAGAGAAGCATTGATCAGTTGCACTCCGAACACTCCCCAACTGGGGATCAAACCCACAACCCAGGTGTGTGCCCTGACCAGCAACCTTCTAGTGCACGGGACAGCGTTCTACCAACTGAGCCACTTCAGCTAGGCTAGGGCTGAATATGGGTGGTTGTTTTTTTTATCCTCACCCGAGGACATTTTTACATTTACCCTCAGATAGAGCAGGAAGGAGAGAGGGGCGAAGAGAGGGAGAGAAACATCGATGAGAGAGAGACACACTGATTGGTTGCCACCCACACGACCCCAACTGGGGCCGGGGACAAACTGCAACCGAGATACGTGCCCTTAGCAGAAACCGAACCCGCGACTCTCTGGTCCACGGGCCGATGCTCTAACCACTGAACAACCAGCCAGGGCTGGTTTTAGAAGCATTTACCTCTTTCACTGTTGTTTCACTTCTTCCTTGGCTTTTACTCATAGCAGCCACCTCAGGGAGGTCACAGATGGAGGGAACTCTAGAGACGGGCAAGGCACTTTAGGAGAAGTATCTATACAATGGATCGATGACGGAAATAAGCCTTTTCCTAATACCTGATTAATGCTCTTGACAACCCTGTGAAATAGTTGTATTATTAACTCCCTTGCACAGATGAGGAAACAGAGACTAGTGAGATTAAGTGATTCTTTTTCCACCACAAATTTAAGTCAGATTTGAAATTCCACCCCCTTGCCCTGTACCATCCTGTTTCTCAGAACAAATCCCACCCCTCGAAAGAATGGGCTACTGTATGGTTATTTTTTCATTTCCTCAGGTGTTTTATTTTTTCGATATTTTGTATTGGTTTCAGGTATACAGTTTAGTAGTTAGACAATCATACACTTTACAGTGTTCTCCTCTGTATTTCCAGTACCCAGCTGGCTCCGTACATAGTTATTGCAATAGTATTGATTAGATTCCCTATGCCAGACTCTATATCCCTGTGACTTTTTTCATTCGTGTCTTCAAGTCCATCATGCACGTTGCAGGACCCATGTATCATACATCAGATGTTGACGTACTGATTTAGTGCCCCAACCCCAGTACCACCTCTCCTAGTATTCAAGGACGCTCACGGGCTCACGGAAGGTGCCGTGACGTCAGGTGGAGACGCATGTAGCTTTGGAATGGAGTGGGGCCAGGATATCTCAAGGCTGCCAAAGGTTAGGAAACTTGAGTGAGGAAGATAAGGGCAGAAGATGAATTGATTCCACTTTCTGTATTTTAGCGTGTGCTATAATTTCACCTTCTTACAGAATTTTGTTCTCTATGATGAGTTTGTCTCTTCTCTCTCATACCAGCGTACTTGACATTTCTCTGGTTGCTTCTTATCTCTATCTCTGTATCCTTCTCCATCGGAGCTCCTCCCTCCTGAGGATGAACCAGGAGCCTTCCCTGAGGAAGTGGGGCTATTCCAGGGTGCTGTTTCTTCTGACCCTCCATTTCGCCCTGGGTTCCTCCTCTTTCTCCCCTTCAGGTTGTCCGAGCTCTCAAGCCTGACTCTCAGCTGTCTGTTCCCATTACCCGTTCCACCTCAGGTACCTGTACTTCCTCCACCTCCTGGTTTCCACACCAGTACATGAGAACAAATGAGTCTAAGACCTGTACCATAATACGAGTGAGCGTCACAGGTCGGGGGCAGAATAGCCCCTCATTGTTAAGGTCAGAGTTCATTAAGTCACCTGCTTCTTGCATTTCCTTTACCTTAACCTTTGACTCTTGATAGCTTCTTGGAGATTTTCCCAAGTTGTACGTGCAGTGTCCCAATGCCCTCACTTCAGACTACTCACTGCTTTGCCGAGGGGTGTTTACGGCCTCAAAACTGACTTGAATGTTAAGCCAGACTTGACTGATGGAAATTCATTGCCGAAGGCATCATCTGATGTGTGTCAAAGGCAATGATATGTTTACCAATAAGCTCTTTAAAAGTGAATCCCTATATATGACATTTCTGTTTTATTGCCATGAAGTGATGAGAATGTGACAAAGTCACTTACAAGTGTTCCCTATATCATCTGTCATCTGGGTTCTCCATGGACGTACAGGCCTCGATCAGGTCTTCCATGGGATCTGACTAGACTGTAATTTCCTGCCGTCAGCTGGCGGAGCAGTTTTGTCAAGAAGCAGTAGTTTTGTTTTTTGGAAAGCATTGTACTGCCAGGCTTCATAACTCTTAGCCTTGCCTTTTCTTGAGTGAGTCAATAAGTCTCAGCAAGATGCTATTGTTGTCCAGCGGAAGTGGTTGGACAGGTTCCTGGGAATCAATTAATTAATAGGCCTTTGTGGAGCACCCCCTAGTTGGGGAGCCATGGGGGCTTCAGAATTAGTGTGAAATGTGTTCATTCCTCCAGGAGCTTGTTGCAGAGGGAGCTCAGCCCGTAGGGTGGCCAGACCTCTGCGTGGTCTTCAGCTCTGGATGGCCCCAGAACTGGTACTGTGCTCGGTTCAGACTCCAGGAGAACAGCTACGGAGGAGCTCCTTTTCCTCTCGCTTCTCAGAAAAGGATACTTACATCAGCTCATCAACACATTCTCTCCTGATAGAAAAGTACTCATGAAAGCATGCGGTCAGAGTTACCGTTAGACAAACACACAAAAGTAACAAAATAGAAACAGACTCAGATACAGAGAATAGACTGACAGCTGTCAGAGCTGGGGGTGGGGGCGGGGTGGGGGGCTAGGTGAAATAGGTGATGGGATTAAGCAAGAAAAAAGAGAGAGAGAGAGAGAGAGAGAGAGAACCAGCCCTGGCCGGTTTGGCTCAGCAGTTAGAGCGTTGGCCCAAAGACCCGTAGAGTCTGGGGTTTGATTCCTGGTCAGGCCCATGTACCTTGATTGCAGGTTTGATCCCCAGCCCTGGTCAGGGTTGTTTGGGAGCCAGCCAAGTGATGTCTCTCTCTCTCTCTACCCGCCCCTTCCTCTCCTTCTCCCCTTTCTATCTCCCACTTTATCTAAAAAAAATAACAGTGGAGCCCTGGCCAGTTTGGCTAAGTGGTTAGAGCACCGTGGACAGAAGAGTCACCGGTTTGATTCTGGTCAAGGGCACGTGCCTGGATTGCGGTTTGGTCCCCAGCCTCGGTTGGGGTTGTGTGGGAGGCAGCCAATCGATGTCTCTCTTCCTCTCTCCCTCCCTCCCTCTCTCTCTCTCTTTCTCTCTCCCTCCTCCCACTCTATCTGAAGAAAAATGGAAAAGTGTCCTCGGGTGAGGATGAAAAATTTTTTTTAAATCAATGGAAAACTATCCTCAGGTGGGGTGAGGATTAAAACAAACAACTCATAGACACAGACGTCAGTATGTTGAATACCAGAAGGAAAGGGGGCGGGGGCAGGCAGGAGTTTCCGTGGTGAACACACAATGCAACATACAGATGATGTGTTTACAGTTGTACACTTGAAACCTATTTAATTTTATTAACCAGTGTCACTCCAATAAATTCAATAAAAACTGTTTAAAAAAAATAGTTACCATTTATTAAGGTCCTGCTATGTGTCAGGTTCTTCATACACATTATGTTTTATTTCAGCCTTAAAGACGCCTCCAGGGGGAGGGTTAGGCTCATTCCCGCGGGTGAGGACGTTGACGCTTAGTGTGAGGATAAGTGATTCGCCCAGTCAAGTGGGAAAGCTCACACACTTTGGTCCCCTGCCGCCTAGGACTTCTGTCTCGCCTCCAATTATGGTTTCCTGGTTGTGTGATTTCCAAAGATAGGTTATTTAAGTGTAATTTTACATAATGTGTAAAAGCAACATTTAATATTCGCAATTGGCCGTATGGGTTTTATTGCTTATCTAAGTGAGCTGGGGTACCTGTGACGGAGGTTCGGGTGACATATTAGGAGGCGATGTAGAGAGAGTTAGTCCTGGAATTCTGGATTCCAGTCGGAAATCACGAAGGGCGTGGTTTGCGATCCCCAGATGCTCACAGTCCCAGTGTTGCATGGGGACCCTCTGATTGTGTACAGGTAACCTCCTGGGAATGTTGCCTGTTACAACAAAGTCTTGGTGCTCCAAAGCTAAAACTCGGTCTGCGGGCTGTTTAGCAAAACATTCGCCATTCACTTCACTCTTAGGGAAAGGGAGACGCAGGCTGTCTTGCCTCAGACGGCACGACCCGGTGGAGGAAGGAGCTCTGTAAATGCCCACTGACCTGGCCGCATGCCTCCACATTTCACCCGGGAAAGCCCCCAAGAAGGCATCAAGCGAAATGCATCAGCTTCTCAACTTACCATTCCCGGAGGAATTTGCTTTCACGTAGATTCATCTTGTGATATATGTTTTGGATTTTGTTTTTATTGTCCTCTGCCTTAAAGGTTTCCCTGTGGGTCACGTAGCCACGTGAGCTCGGCTTCGGGATTTTCTGATAGCCTCTTAGCTACGTGGTCCTGAGAACTACAGCTGTCATACCTTCTTCGTTTTGTTGTCGTTTTTATTACGGATGTCCCCCCACCTTTGCCCACCTCCACCCAACCCCCCTTCCTCTCTGGACATCACCTCACTGTTGTCTGCATCTATGGGTTATGCATGTATGTTCTTTGGCTGATCCCTTCACCTCTTTATCCAGTCCCCCCTCCCCTCCCCTCTGACAGCTGTCTCCTTCTTCATCTTGTATCACCACGAATGTGACAGCATGCAGAGCATGGTGTGAAGTCGGTTTTCAGGGCTTTTGTCCTGCAGAGATGATTATCCCTCTCCTGCTCCCATAACGGTCTCTGCGACCTCTCTACCCCAAGGGAAAGTAGTATGGAAACTAGAGATTTAATTTAGTTCTTAGATCTCTTTTAGAAATCCGCTTTCTGCATGCAGTTCTCCAATGCCAACTCATTCTTTCTTAGCCCAGCTTCTGCTCCTGTTTCTTGATTGAAAACAAATCTTTCTCTTTTTCTCAAGGCCGCTAACGATCCCACGGATCAAGCAACCTAGCTGCCTTCCTTCAGTGCAGTCTTCACTGACTCGCCCTCCCGGAGACCGCCCTCTTGTGACTTGACCCACCTTAGGTTCTCTTTGTTCTGCGATTCAGTTTCTACTGGTGTCTCTTTGGTTGCTTTACTGAGTTTTCTCCGGAGGGGGCCTTTGACAGGTAATTAGGGGCTAAGGGTGGCGCGCTCATGAATGAGACTAGTCCCCTTATGAAATGAGTCTGGCAGGTGAACCCCACTGTTGCAGCCGTTTCCCCCTCTCTGCTCAGCATAGGCAGCCTCGAGTTCTCACGTGGAGCCGAACACTCTCCTGAACTCCTTCGAAAGCCACTGTTCCTTCTGTCTTTGTCACCTCGGGCTGCTGTAACAGCCAGGTGGCTTTCACAGCACTGGAAGCTATGAAGTCCAAAGTCAAGGAGCCTCTAAGCAGTGTCGTTTGAAGGCCCACTTTTGGGCTTATTGATGGCTCTCGGCCTACCCTCCCCTGGCCAAGAGGGATCAGCTTTCAGCCCATCCTATACGGGCACTAGTCTTCATGAGAGCTCTGCCCTCATGACCTAATTAGCTATCAAAGGCCCCACCTCCACATACCATCACACTAGGGATTAGGGACTTTAACATATGAATCTGGGAAGGACACACACATTCTGTCCCTAGTACGTTTAAACTCAGACTATCTAGATTTCAACCTGTTGTTTTTCACCCGAGACCAGTCATGCCACCCCGCCCACTTGCAGGTTTCCATCATGCAGAATGACGGCAGGTAACTGAATTATCATCTCTTTTTTTTGGACAAATGGCCAGTCGTTGAAAGTTCTTCCTTTATAGTTCTCATGTCTTCTCCTTCCTCGCACCCACATCATCCTGGGTTAGGCCTTTGCCTCAGGCCGGTGCTACTGGATCCCTGCTGGATTTCTCCATCACTGCACGTTCTTTCTCCCCCCAGTTCCCTCTGTGGAGTGCTGCTTTTTAAACATATATATGTTTTCGCTCATTGAATTTATTCGGGAAGACCAGCACACTTGGCAGGGAAAAGGGGTATGTATCATCATTAATAAAGCCAGCACAACAGGGATATGCCAGGACTTCCCTGGAAATTGGGACAGATGTCACCCCGTCTATAGCCCATGTCTTTTGCTTCTACTTTCTGTTTACTGTCTTGTGTTATTGTTAATGCTCTTTTGATTGTGCCCTGACTCCTGAAGAAGTCTGTCCTCTAAGCTAGTGATTTTCAACCGGCGTGCCGCAGGAATTTTCACACATGCGATACCTGACTAGTCAGGGGCACTGACCTCTGTTCCCTCCTATTGTCAGATTAAAAATGACAACAGCCCTGGCTGGTTTGGCTCAGCTGTTGGAGCATCGGCCCATGGACCTGAGTCACAGGTTCAATTCCAGTCAAGGGCACATATCTCGGTTGCGGTTCATCCCTGGCCCTGGTCGGGGTTGTGCTGTTGGCAAACAGTTGATGTCTCTCTCACATCGATTCGATGTTTCTCTCTCTCCCTCTCTGCTCTTTCTCTCTATCCATCTCTCTTCATCCCTCCCTCCCTCCCACTCCATCTGAAGATAAATAGAAAAATACCCTCGGGTGAGGATTAAAAAAAAAGACAACAGCCAACACAACAGCCATCAGTGCAAATGTCCTGTCTTGGAGCATAAATATATAGGTTGTATAACAGAATTGCACCTTATTGGTCATGTTGCATAATAAGCTTGCATCTGATTGGTTAATTATTGGTACCAGAAATCTTTGTATACAAATATAGGCACCTGATTTTTTAAAAAGTCAGACTGGAGCCCTGGCCAGTTTGGCTCAGCGGTTAGAGCGTCGGCCTGCAGTCTGGAGAGACCCGGGTTCGGTTCCCGCTAAGGGCACGTACTTCGGTTGCAGTTTGTCCCCGGCCCTGGTTGGTCGTGCGGGTGGCAGCCACTCGATGTATCCCTTCACGTCGATGTTTCTCTCTCTCTCTCCCTTCCTCTCTCTCCCTCCCACTCTATCTGTACAAAAAATGGAAAAATATCCTCGGGTGAGGATAAAAAAAAAAGTCAGACTGGAGCAAAAAGGGTAGGTAATTATTTTTTTAATCAATCAAAATTTTACCTCTTTTTTGTCAGATCGGCAAAAATATATTTTTGGTGTGTCGTAGAGTTTTAGTAATTAGTTTATGTGTGTCATGAGATGAAAAGGGTTGAAAATCGCTTGTCTAAGCAGTTACATTATGCCTTATACTTTTTTATGTTCCCAGAATCTAACATTTTGCCATATGTTTTAGTAGACACTAAATTCTGCTTGTTAATGAGAATGCTGGTAGAAGTCGTCACTTAGCCATTTTTGCCTCATATTTAGGAAGTGGTTTTACCAAAGAAATTTACCATTTTTCCCCCCTCTAATTTAGCTCATTGACATGTGCATGCAGAACTGTGGTCCGAGTTTCCAGTCTCTGGTTGTGAAGAAGGAGTTCGTTAGAGACAGTCTGGTTAAGCTGCTGAATCCCAGATACACCTTGCCATTAAACATTCAGAACAGGATTTTGAATTTCATTAAGGTAAGTCTCTTGTATGCCATGGAAAACTTCTACGATTAGAGATTTGATTAGCACCTACCAATTGATTTAGCGATCTTTTACAAACCTCTGATTGAGCCAGAGAGCATTTTACTGTTTTGTTTTCTTTGTAATGATAATAGTTTGGCATTCTTTCCCTAAAGAATTTGTCATGTTCCTGCTTCCTCTCTGTTCCTATTTTATCCATGTCAGGTAGGAAAGAGAGGGGTGTGTACATTCGTTTTGCAGATAGGAAATCTATGTCTGGAGTAGATAATGGACTACTTTCAAAGTTATTTGGCAAAAGAGCTACTGCTGCCATTTTGGAATATGTCTATTAATTCTGGATTTAGTGCAGCACAAAACAATCCATAGTATCTATTCCACGATTTCATTAAAATGTTGAGGCACGGGAGTCTGACGACTCAGCGTATTTTATATCGTCCTTCTAGTCTGAAAATGTACGGTTTGTCCTTGGCATCGACAAGTCGCCTTCTCCTTCTGAGTAAGGGCCTTCATCGTCAAGCGCTCGTTTGCTGTCACCAGCTCAAGAACTGTGTTTTGTTTTTGCTGCTGTTTGCAGATGTGGTCGCAGGGTTTCCCCGGAGGCGTGGATGTGAGTGAGGTGAAGGAAGTGTACCTTGACCTGCTGAAGAAGGGTGTTCGCTTTCCTCCCTCAGCTGCAGAGGTCGAAACAGCAGAACCAGAGGTAGGTCTTTTTTGGACTCATGTAGAGTACGTTACTACGTGACATGGATCTTTTCTCATTGAAAGGGACAATCCTAGCCCTATTCAGCTGAAGCAAAACAGTGGATTTATTGGAAGGGTATTGCAGTGTCTCCTAGAATAACTAAGCCACAAGAAGGGTGGTGCTCGCTGGATCTTGTGAACCAAGCACTCAGATGCCTTGTCGCTTGTCTTGTGTACGAGCATCTGATCCGGGCTTCGTTCATCTCTCTCATTGCAGACCAGCTTCTGCCACATAGGATAATAGAGCTCCCAAATGTCCACACGATCGCTTAGCTTTTTCCGGTCTGAATCAAGATACCTGGGAGGAAGAGACCCCCGGGGCCAACCCGGGTCAGCTTTCCATCTGCATAAATCGACTGCAGGCTTGTAAGAACGTGATAGGCTTCTAACAGACATCATCTGGCGACAGGAGAGGAGAGAGCAGCCTTCGCAGGAGAGGACTGTGCTAGCCAAGGCTCGTACCCCAGGCCGTCTGATAATATACGTGCTGTTTATAATTGTTACTGTCTGTGAGAGCATATCTAGATATTCACATGCATTCTCAAGTTTGCAAATAATTTTCAGGGTTTCGAGCTGTAACACTTTGAGTGGCTGATTATAATCCACTTCCTGACTTTCTGTAATTTCCATGAATGCGAAAACGGGAGTTCTGTCCTTCCGGAGACTGAGTCCTGTCTTGGTAGCAGAAGCAACACCACAATCTTATCTCCCAGGAGGCTCTGTCCCGAGAGCCAGCTCTCCTCCGTGGTGGCCGTCGGCGTTCTGCCCTTTCTTTGACCTGCCCATGAACTCGCTTTCTTCCACAGCACAGTGGAGTCGAGAACCTTGCTACTTACCTGCTCAAAGTGTGAATGGGGTAAATCTTGAGTCTGTCCTGGACAAAACAGGGATCTCGTCTTTGCAAGGTTTCCGGGTGGCTTCTCTGCAGATTCGTGCCGAGAAGCGCTGGCTGTAAGCCCTGTGCGCGGGCTCCCCACCCAGCTTGGAAATGGAGCCTTGACTCGGGAGGTGTCCGCTGGCAGAAAAGATGCCTGGCCAGCAGCTGAGGCTCAGAGAGGCTTGACATGAACTGATTTATCATTTATTCTTTACCAGCCCGGAAGAGGGCAGCGGTGATCTCACGGGGCAGTTTGTCTTGTAGACCCTTGCTTAAAACAACAACAACAACAAAAACCACTGAAAGCATTTTATTAAATAACAGCTACACATCATTTGCTTTGCACTGTTCTCAAAATGCTGGGCAGGTTGGACACTTGGTGATTTACTCTGGGCTGACACCTTCTAACCTAGTCTTTGATTGCAAGAAAGTGAATGGGAACAAAATGGGCTTGGGGTGTTTATCGTAATAAGTATTAAATAATGATATTCCCGTATTTCTTCTTGATAGACTGCTCAGATCTCATCAAATCCACCAACACCTGTCCCTAGTGCACCGGCTCTTTCTTCTGTCATTGTTCCCAAGAACGCGACTATTACGTTGGTCCCAGAACAGGTAACAGTAGCAACCACTAAATTTCCTGACGACTTTTTCTAAGTTCTAAGCAGTTTGTATATAGTTTGTTTGTTCTTTTTAACAGTGTTATGAGGCAGGGTACATTATTACCCTCATTTTGCAGAGGAGGGGACCATGTGACTTAGCCATGGTTCAATTCTAAGTGGACTATGTGGATTCTGTCTGACCCCAAAGCCCGAGCTCTTAACCGTTCTACCTGGCTAGTGACTTCTGTGCCTTCCTGGAGGTTGGGCTGTGTATTGGATCTTGTGTGAGAGATGGCTGGTTTTTATTGTTTTTGGTAGGACTGTCTGACTACCACTTCTGAAATGTCAGTACATGGGAGCCTATTATGAGTATCTGTCGTGCTAAGTGAATTACTTTTACTTGTTTGTCTTCACAGTTTAGCACAGGTCCAGTGAGCAATTATTATACAGGGTGGGGCAAAAGTAGGTTTACAGTTGTTTGTATGGAAAGTAATACCATAATTCATAAACAATAATACAAGGAACTCTGTGTCACGTACTCACAACAGCAAACCTACTTTTGTCCCGCTCTGTATGAAGCTCCTTCCTGCCCTGCTTTGAAGGAACTATCATTGAAGACTTTGTAGTGTGATTATTCAGCATTACGTAAAATCCAAGCAGTTAATTTCTCTTAGAATTTAATCCAGGAAGGAAAAAAAAAAAGTGTTTCTCTTTTGAGTCTTTCTTCCCTAATACCATGAGAACTCCAACACCTTTATCTATTTATTTTTTCCATCAGTTGCCAAGAAACCCAGACTTAACATTTTCCGTTTAGTCCGCGTCCCTGGTATTGTCACCGTCCCCCTTCTCCATATTGTTCCTAATCTGATTTCCCCCCTTCGTTTTTAACATTCCTAGAACATATTTTTGGATTTATCACAAGCAATCTTTAACTCTATCTAGATGACTGATTATACATTTGTAAAATGTATAGTTATACTAATTGAAGTATAAATTTGAAAACATTAAATTTTACAAAAGCATTTTCTCTTCTAGTAAGTGTCCCCTGAGAGAAGGAAACAGGTAGCCATCCTTTTCTTGGGTTAATCCTTACCCGAGGATATTTTTCTATTGATTTTTAGATAGAATGGAAGAAGGGAGGGAGAGAGAAACATCACTGTGAGTGAGAGAGGGAGACACAGCGACTGGCTGCCTTTCACATGACCCCTACCAGGGCTGGGGGTCAAATCTGCAACCCAGGTACATGCTCTTAACCAGGACTCGAACCCACCACCCTTCAGTTTGAGGGCCGATGCTCTAACCGCGGAGCCCCACCGACCTGGGCGTAGGTGGCCATTCTTTGTGTCACACGTACTGACTGGTGACTGTGTCGCTCTCCACAGATTGGGAAATTGCACAGTGAGTTGGATATGGTGAAGATGAATGTGAAAGTGATGTCTGCCATACTGATGGAGAATATTCCTGGGTCTGAAGACCGTGAAGACATGGAGCTTCTGCAGGTGGATATGATTTCAGGGACAGTTGGGCCAAGTGTCTTTTTAAATGATTCTCTAAACGTAGAGCCTTGGAGCTGGAAGACACCTTAACGTTGTCTAGTCCATCCTCCTGCATCGTCAATTGATTTCTAAACTCAGCAAAAAAAAAAAAAAAAAGATGCAAGGGAGACTTTCTCAGAAATGCAGTAGTAACTTAGACACGCCCTCTTGTAACAAATAACTGACCATCATTTCATCATTAAGGACCTTACTCATATATAATCTCATATTAGTTTCTCATGGTTTTAAATGTGTAAAAGTTGCCTCTTTATTCAGCCATTCGGCAAACATTGAGTACAGTGAAGGACTCAGAAGTGAGGAGGCTGTCCAGCCCTCAAGGAACTTGTGTCCAGTGAGCAGGATGGTTTTGTGGATGCTGGGATAGAACTGTGTCTGTCGTTCAGTGGAGTGAGGGTTGGGAGCAAGGAGAAAGGTGAAGTTTTTGGAGGGTTTACATGGAGGCTGTACTCAGGCTGCAGGGAAAAGGACAGTGCACTTGGACCTGGATGAGCAGATGAGGAAACCATCACTGTTCTTTGTTCCTGGAGCCATGCCCCTCCCAGACCTTTTTCTGTCTGTAAATCCACGCCCTTTACTTTTTCCAGCTCACGAGTTGTTCTAATGACCAAGTCTACATTTTAACATATTAATTTTAGAAACACTTAGAAAAAAAGTCAATTTCTATCCCAGTAAGTTAGGAACCTTATTCTATTTCTACTTTACTTGGACTCCTACTCCATTTCTCTGTTATCTCTCCTTTAAATTCTCAGGTTGTTAGTAAGTAACATTTTTCTTGGTCGTTGCTTCCTTGGGAAGCAAACGAAAGATTTCCTCACTCAACAGGGCTTGTTTTGTCATGGCTATACTTCCCTTTGAGCTTTGCAAGGAGAAAGTCGCTCTTCCATTTTCTCTGTGGAGTCTCCTCTTTGGGGTAGATTCTTTTGTTCATCACTTTGAGTCTCATTCTTCAGCTATCCGTCTGGATTGCTGATTGTGAGCTCATTTTTGCTTTACATTCCCTGGCAGCTGGTCTGCATTCTGTGTGACTCAGCTCTGCCTTGCCGAGGGGAAGGCACGGTGGCTGCAGCTTGTGCTTGATCGCGTTTCAGAGTCCGCGGGATTGGCCTGGGGGGATGCTGAGGGGCATAGCTCGGTAGCTGGTCTTCTGAGCTGACTGTCTTCTCTTCCTGGATGCTATCAGCACCTGGAAATAATACCCTATGTTTCTATCCCAAGCATTGCTCCCACCTCAAAGCAGATATCCTGCCTCAGCTATCTGTCCGGTCTCAGAGGGGAGAGAGGCATAAGCAGGCGTTGTCTTACCTGGTTGCTTCACTGAAGTGCAGTCAAGCTGTCTGGCAGCTGCCCCTCGTGCCGTCTTATTCTCCTCCCATGTTCTGTGGCAGAGGCCATTGTGGGTGGTCTTGAATATCCTCCAGTCCAGGAATCATGCAGGCCTTGGTCTGGTTTTTGTTTGTTTTGTTTTTTAATGTTTTTACTGAGATATATATATAGATAGATAGATCGATATCTACATATATATATATATAGAGAGAGAGAGAGTTGTTTTTGTTTGTTTGTTTTTAGAGAGGAACGGAGAGGGGAGAAAGAGACATAGAAACATTTATGAGAGAGAAACATTAATTGACTGCCTCCTGTGCACCCCTTGCTGGGGATCGAGCCCACAGCCTGGGCTTGTGCCCTGACCAGGTATTAAACCAGTAACTTCTTGGTGCATGGGACAACACTCCGTCCACTGAGCCACACTAGCTGACCTTGGTCTGTTTTTTTGTTGTCTGGGAACTCAAAATAGTTTTTACATGTTTAAAGGGTATCTTAGAGAGAAAGAGGTCATATCTTGAGCTATATCTCTGCAAACCTACCTCCAGAGACCACTTTGGAGTAAGATACACCTCTTAAGGAAGTCCTCGCCTCCCCCTCCCATCACCAGTGGGTGTGAGTTTGTGGTGTCTCTCAGGTACATAGGAATGCGAAGACGTGGCGGAGGGCAGTCATTCAAGGGATACAAGCTCATGGACCAGATAACCAGATAACGTTTTAGAAAGATTCCTCTTTCTAAAGAGGATGTGAGGAAAGATTTTGGGAAGCAGTCTGAGGCAGCATTTCCTGTTTGTCTTCTGCTCTAGTCTGTGGAGGACATGACATCTGTGGTCACGTACGTTTATAAAACCAGTCGCCTGCTGCATTTCTCCTCTGGAGGTGCATAAAACCCATTCACAGAGTGAAGGCTCTAGGATTCTTTTTTTTATATATATATTTTTATTGATTTTTAGAGAGAGGAAGAGAGAGGGAGGGAGAGAGATAGAAACATCGATAAGAGAGAACATCAGCCCTGGCCAGTTTGGCTCAGCGGTTAGAGCGTCGGCCTGCGGTCCTGAGAGACCCGGGTTCGGTTCCCGCTAAGGGCACGTACCTCGGTTGCAGTTTGTCCCCGGCCCTGGTTGGTCGTGCGGGTGGCAGCCACTCGATGTGTCCCTTCACGTCGATGTTTCTCTCTCTCTCTCCCTTCCTCTCTCTCCCTCCCACTCTATCTGTACAAAAAATGGAAAAATATCCTCGGGTGAGGATAAAAAATTAAAATAAAAAAAAAAGAGAGAAAGAACATCAATTGGCCACCTCCTGCATGCCATGAGGCCTACAACCTAAGCATGTGCCCTGACCAGGAATCGAACCGGCGACTTCTTGGTGCATGGGTCGACGCTCAACCACTGAGCCACACCGGCCAGGCAAGGCTCTAGGATTCTTTAATCCAACACTTACAGACTGATTTGACCAAAGAATCCCCCATTGCTGCATGTTTATATCCTACAGAGCATCAGAGTAATACATATAACTTGAGAGAAACAAATTAGTATTTCACATCAGTGACATTAAGTAGATTGTTTTTAGAACATTTTACTTAGGAACAATATATAGTTTTGCTAAGGATTCTTGGGGTTCTTGGCCTTGGGCAAGTCATGTACTGTCACTGGACTTAGTTTGCGTGTCTGTAAAATGAAGAGTTAAAATGATACTCAGTAAACAAAACCACCTATTTCTATAGGAGGTTAAAATTAATTATGAGAGCTGCGATGTAGTATCCTTTTTTTAAAAAAGATCCACATTTGAAGGCTTTTACAGATACAAACTTCGTGATTCGTGATGTTTAGCAAGCGTGTTAAACTAAAAGATAACATTAAGTATCCAAGGAAAAGGGTAGGCGGCAGATATTTTCCCCTTAAATATGTGAGTCCAGTTTTATATGTTATGCCGTCCGGATGTGCACTGCCGTGCCTTTCTGTGTCAGTCTTTGGGTGCAGATGTTTAATTGCGTTTTGTAAGGATAATGCTAATTGGTTGGTTACTGTTTGGAAGCCAGAGCTCGGGGCTGTGTGTTGCCTGGAATAGTAAAGAGACTTGGGTTGTAAATCAACATGAGGAGCCGACTCAAGGCCAAACCAAGTTGAATGGGTTCTGGCATCAGATAAACCTGTTTAGGAGCCTATTGAAGATGTCGCTTTAATTTTCTCTCTATGCTTTTTGTTAGAAACGCATCGAAATCTGCTGTGGGGACTGCTGCTCTTAAATTCTTTTGACGGCCATAGGAGGTTTTGTTCTTTGTAACCTAACCTCGCAAGGAAAACTTTCTCTACGCAGAACACTTCTGACACCTTGTGGGTGAGGTTTTCTTCCCGTGTTTAACCAATTCTGACACTAACTCTCCAGAGTTAGCACAGACCCCCACAGGTGAAGGGCTAGTCCCAGGAGACTGCCCCCTACCCCAGCTTCAGACACTGATCACAATTAGTGGCCCCCAGGTTACCCACACCTCTGTCTGATTTGGCTACAAATCGGGGATTCCCACAACCTCCTCAGGCTCAACAATTTGCTGGAATTGCTCACAGTATCCAGAAAAATACTTTACCTCCTATAACTGGTTTACTATAAAGGATACAAATGAACACCCAGATGAAGCAGTACATAGGGCTAGGTCTGGAAGGGTCAGGAGCTTCTGTCCCCGTGGAATTGGGGTGCACCACCCTCCCAGAACCTGGATGTATTCGCTGACCCAGAAACTCCCCAAAACCCTTTACTTAGAGTTTGCAGAGAGTCCCTTATATAGGCAAGGTTGATTTCGGTCATTGGCCATTGGTGATGAAAGAATCCCCCGCCCCTGTCCCCTCCTTGGAGGTCAGGGATAGAGTGCAAGTTCCAGCTCCTGCAGCAAGCCCCCCTCTTCCAAGTCACCTCATTAGCATAAAGTCTGGTAGGGTTGAAAGGAGCTTATTATGAATAACAAAAGTGTCCTCACCGGGGTTTCCAAGGGTTTCTGAATTTCTATGCTAGGAACTGGGGTTGAATACCAAATCTATATTTTTTATTACATCACAGTGTCATCTCTCACTAAGGTCAGTCTGAAAGAATTGGTGCAGTCTATGGGGACAGAGGGCAAGGAGCCTATCTGCTACAGGGAGCTTGAAAACGAAATCAGCAAAGGTAGTCAATGGAGAAGCAAAGGGATTCCTGAGTACCTTTCCAGGGGTTCTACACCTGTCTGAACTATTCCGATGAATGGAGTTAGACCCCCCCCATAATGCTAGCTCCCCGCCTGGCCTCCCATGTAAGGGCAGGGGCTTTGGGAGGCTCTGGCGCAGCCCGGCTGGGACACCAAGGTGGGAGGCAGGGAGGGTCCCCCGGCACTGAGCACCCCAAGGCCATGTTCCGAGAGTAGGAGTGCATCTGTGAAGAATCAGTTTTGTGAGTTTTGGAACAAAACGTCTATTTCTTTTTCCCAAACCAGCTAATAACCACAGATTTTTATTTTTTTTAATTTAATTTATTTTTTATTTATTTTTGTTACAGATGTTTCTTTCTCCCCCATTGACACCCTCCTCCCGAACACCCCCGCCCCCTCCCCAGCATTGTTGTCTATGTCCATGGTTACGCATACATGCATATAAGTTCTTTTTTAAAGCTCACTAAAATAATCAACTTACCTCCTCTCTATTCCCCAAATCCCACTGAAATGACAGAAGAAATAGGAAAATAAGAATAAACTCCCCCGGATTCCCGGAGAGCCTAGCAGACGAGCCGGAGCCCAGAGCAGGAAGAACGTTCAGAATCCAATCACGTAGGCGGGACGGGACTAGGTGAGGAGCTGGCGCCTCACAGGCCATCCTGCGTGCTCCCCGGGGAGCCTACCGCACCAGGCTGCAGTGAAACCGCACGGGCCTGGGCACACACGGTGAAAGCAGGCAGCTCTGGCGCGGCTGCTGGTGACCAGTGCCTGGCGAGCCTACAGAAAGGATTTATACAAGTTTATCTGAGACAGAGTTTTGAAGACACGCCCAGAAGCAAAATCTCAACAGATTGAGAAAATGCTTCGGCGAACGGCAGTTTTCTGGTTTCTTGTCTGCGTTTAGAATCAAAGGAGAAAACATCAGGGAGGTACGTGGGATGCGTTGGTGGTAGACGAACGAGGTGGGGAAAAGCAAAGCAGGGAAACAGTAGCACTGGACAGAAAGCAAAGTGGAGAAACAGTTCCGTGACATGGTGGGTGCAGGATAGTTAGCAAAGAGAGATGATATTCAGGAACCCAGATCGCAGTGAAGGGTTGATGGCCTCGTGCACCCAGGCCTGCCGATGAGCCATTGAGGGGTCTCAAAAAGACAATCACTCTGACATTTCAAAGGTGTGTTATCCTAGACACACAAGAACAATGGGCGGGGCTCACTTAAGGTAGCGTTGACCTCTGCTAAGGAAGCTGCCTGCCTGGGACGTGCCCACCTGCTGTGGCTTGCCCAGGTAGGAATTTATGATCCATCCAGCCCATGTGTTTATTTTTGGTCACTGAACTTGTCAGGTCTGCCATGTGTTCCCCCTGAGATTGTCAGGTGTGTTGCATAGCCCCTTTTTTGTTCACACTGTTAAGGACAGAGGAAAGGGACTGTCCTCCAGTTAACTGGGTTTGCAGGAGAAGCGGGAACCTCAGCAGTCAGGAGAAGAAGGATTGGCACTCCCCAGGGTTTTAGACAGGGAAGGCAGGGAGTCTCGTTCCCAGAGATGATGATGCAATACGGCTGTTAGACGGCTCAGGAGAAATGCTTTTATCCTTCTCTTCCCAGAAGTCAAGGCTGAGATACCATTTTCCTTTGTGGTTGTATAGTGAAAGGAAACGGGTTTTTTTTTCTGTTCTAATCAAGCCAACACGACCCACATGGACCATTCTCCTATACCAACTGGGTGTCCTGCAGTACAACTCAGTCCTGACACTGCCTGGAAGAGCGTCAGATTCCACGAGTCAAGGGCTCAGACCCACAAGACTGCCCACTTCCGATGCCCGTGGCAGGGTGGGCCTTCCACACTTCTGACCAACCAGCCGTAACCAGGGCTTCCCAAGGCCTCCTGGGACTTGATAATTTGCTAAAATGATTCACAGAAACCAAACAGATACACCAGTTCATTATAAAGGATGCTACAAAGGATGCAAATGAACAGGCAGAGGACGAGGTCCAGAAGGGTTCTGAGGACAGGCTCCTGTCCCCTGGGACTGGGGTACCCACCCTGTGCATGGATATGTTCGCAACCCAGGGACTCTCTGAACCCAGTAGTTTATGCATCTTTATGGAGGTGTAGGGGTTCAGAACAGGCTTCCCCATATGTGCCTCTGAATTTTTTAGCTGAAGGCAAATCAAGACCTTGTAGGCTCAGGAGAAATTTTTACCTCTAATTTAAAGGGGCCTTGCCCATAATCAGCCATTGCTAAAGATAATGTCTTAGGCCCTGTGGAGAGGGCAGGGCAGACATCTCATTAATGAATGTCTGCTCTTCTTTTGCCCCTGGGAATGACCTTCCTTCCGAAGCCCCGGGTGCCTTGCCTCACCCTGAGCGCTGAAAGCCACGTACACCTCACTTTCACTTTGTCTCTGAGCCTTTCATGCGCGTGAAGTCTCTGATTCGCTCGTGTGTGTGGGGTTCGCAGACATACAAACGTAATTAAATGTTTTCTTCTTTTGTGAATCTGTCTCATGTTGCTCTAATTATGAGCCCAAAATGGCATCACTTGTGCTAAAGCCCCTACAGGGTGGGGCAAGCTAGCCTTACAGTCGTTTCTATGGAAAACAGTTCAGTGATTAATCAATAATGATGCAAGAATAAACTGTTTTGCATACTCACAACTGTAAACGTTTGCCCCACCCTACAGATATACCATATATACCTCAATCTAACTTTCTGTCCCTGACTCCCTCATGTATGTGTCATTCTTATGCATATGTCATTAAATGTGGTCATTTTCTCTTGTTAATCTGTCTCTTGCAAATTTAATTGTTAGACCAGGTGAAGAGCCTTAGGAAGGGAGAGGTCAGTTGCTTCCCCACCGGCTTCATCGTGTCTGCATGATCAGTTATAACTCTAACCCCAGCCTCTCTCCCCTCCCAGGGGATGGAGAGAGGGAGTGTTTCAAGCTTGTAACTATGATTGGGTCTTTCCTGGTGACCGTCCCCATCCTGCATCTATCCAGGAGTCCCCCAGGAGTCGCCTCGTGAGAACAAAAGATGTGCCCTGGCTGGTTTGGCTCATTGATTAGAGCATCAGCCTGTGGACTGAAGGGTTGTGGGTTTGGTTTCCGGTCAAGGACATGGACCTGAGTGCAGGTTCAATCCTGGCCCTGGTCAGGATCGTGCGGGAAGCAACTGATAACTGTGTCTCTCTCATATTAATGTTTTTCTCTCTCTCTTCCTCCCTCCCTCCCTCCCACATTCACTAAAAATCAATGGGAAAATATCCTCAGGTGAGGATTAACAACAACAAAAAAGATATTCCTGTCACCCAGGGATTTAAGAGCTCCGTGTCAGGGACTAGAGCCAGAGACCAATACATTTCTTCTTTCACATATAGGGAGGGACCGTTTAGGCATCCACGCTGCCTACGGGGGTCTTTGATTCATCCCCGTCATGTTCAGGAACCGGGCTTTGTCTCCTGCTTCTCAAGGTTTTTAGAGATTGACCTTGATTATTAGAGACGGGCATCCTTCAGGCCTTCCGCCTTCATTGACTCTCCTATCTCCGGATCCTATTGGGTTTTCCAGCTTTTGAGGGTTTCCCAGACTTTCTTGAAAGTTTAGACATGCATGTTAAAACATTTTTATGTCATAGCCGACATTTTAGGCATTTTTGTGATCAGAAAGTTCTTAATGTGGTTTGTTAACATGACAACCAACTTCTAAACTTGGAATTGCTTCTTGTTTTGTCTGTCACCTGCCAGCAGCTGTTCTGTTCATGCGGAACCCATGCCACCTGAAATCCAGTGTACCTACTCGGAATGCCCAGGCTGTTCTCAGATCCATGCGGAGCAGTTCAGTCCTAAAGCTCCGCTAGTTAGTTCACTGGGCTCCTGCTCTGTTAGACTCTTGGGCAGTAGCACTATTTTGCTTAATAAAGACCTTTGCCCATTACTCATGTTGCTTGTGGACTACAAACTCCGTTATGGGAGTTTGGGGGCGGGGGTGGAGAGTACTGGGTATTTTTAGTTTGCCAGAGTGGAGTACAAGGATTCTGAGGCTGCGTCCAACCTAACGAATGCGGCGATGAGTTAAGAGTGTCTGCTCTGGTCACAGGAATGCAGTGTTGCTGCCGTGTTTTTGCATTTGCTTTCTCGGCCTTGTGCACTTGGCTCTGGACTGCTGACTCTGACCTTGAAAAGCTGACTTTCCCCGGTACCTCCCTTTTTAGTCTTTCTTGTTTTTGCTTCGCCCCAGTAGGACAATGAAAGAACAGAATGTTTTTGTCTTCTGCAGAATAAAATGAGCTCCGAGTCTGAAAGTATCACTCGAGAAAGCCTCACTCGAACTTATTAGAGCTGTTTAAAATCACGTGAATGCAAAATCTGATCCTGTGAGAGTCATTTGTAAGCAGCTGAGAAGAAAAAAAAAATCTGAGAGGAAAAAAATGTCATCCTCCCCTGATCACTCTTCCTGTCTTTACCGTTCAGAGGCTGGTAAGGTATTAAGAGTGGACGGGACTGTCAGTGTCATGGAGACCATCTCCCCTCCTGAGACAAGCCTGCAGAATCGGGAAGGGGCGGATCTGCTCACACAGCGGCCAGGGATGGAGCTGGAGTGAGAATTCCCTTCTCCTGAGCCTGTATTCTATCCATTCGACCCTGTGTCTCATGTGGAACCCAGGATTAACTTTCTGGTACAGGTGGCTAACCGATTGTCATCTTTTTTTTTTTTTTTTTTAATCCTCATCCGAGAACATTTTTGCATTTATCTTCAGATAGAGCAGGAGGGAGAGAGGGAGGAAGAGAGAGAGAGAAACATCAATGTGAGAGAGAGACACATAGACTGGTTGCCACCCACACGATCCCAACCAGGGCCGGGGACAAACTGCAACAAAGTACGTGCCCTTAGCGGGAACCGAACCCAGGCCTCTCTGGTCTGCAGGCCAACTCTCTAACCACTGAGCCAAACCGGCCAGGGCTAACCAATTGTCTTTTATGTGGGTATGTGTTTTACTCTCTAGCTAGCTTGGAGGCAATGTGAAGGCCAGAACCAAGTCCTGTACTTCTAAATCCATACCGCTATGCATATTTAATATAGCGTAAACGTGTGGTACGCTGAATGAGTTCGTGCAATGTCTCTTGAAGAGCTCGATGTTCTTGGTTGAAGATTTAATGGTTTAGGACAAGAAAAAGAGCTAGGAGTTACTGAATACACAGGCTTTCAGTAAGCCAGATGTCGACAACATTTGCAGTTGGGACCAAGTTGAAGGGTTCTAATGAGTGGATGGTCTTCTTGAGGCTCTCTTGACAGTTAAGTCCTCACTTACTCCGCTGAGGCCTGTATCAGGCAAAAGAAAGTGCAGGAGCAAGTTGGGCTCAGAAGTGTTCGGTTTCGGGGTGGGGGGGTCATTTTTATCTTGAGCAGATAGAGGTGTTCCCGGGTCTCGTGCAGCCTGGGTACCGTGCGCAGGGAGAGGGGAAATATGGTACAGGCTGATAACAGTGTTGCCATGCGGATATTATTTTTAGAGAGGCTGTCAAGTAAATACATTTCTTTCTGTTCTCACTTTTTCACGGGCAGTGTCTGGGCACCTTTCTTTTCCTCCGTATTGAGGTGCCCTGTGTTGGTGAATGTGGGGCAATTAGAAGTGGAGTTGAAATGCAGAGGGATCCTCTTCCTTCATTCCCGAGCGCTCTGAAGGCGTGAGAGCCATCTGGATGCCAGAAGAGGAGGCTGTTCATGAGCTCCTTGATTTTTTTTTTTTCTTTTTTTGCTCCAAAGGCTTCTGAATTGATGCTTCAATTCCCTTGAACTTAGAAGCCGGCCTTCGCTTTGATAGGGTGGAAGGGGGGCAGGCACAGGGGCCATGTGCAGGACATATGCACCAGAAGCTGCTACTGTGTGTTTTTGCTCTCCCCCTGGCTTCCCACAGCCCCAGCCCCACAGGTGCCTGCTGTGAGGGACTTGTGACCTGTCCATGGTGCTTGATCTGCTGTTTCCAGGTGGCTCGGTCTTCCTCCGAGACAGACATCAATTGCAAAGATCACAGTGGGCTGGCTTTTGAAGAGCTTTTCCAAGCTCTGCTTTGCAGACCTGCTGAGAGATGCGGTGTTCCTTTCAAGTTTCCGTTCCCTCTGTCTCTCCCAGGGCAAAGCGGGGAGGGTCTTTGTGTGACGGGGTGCTATTGATGTTGGTTGCAAATTCATTTCAGATTAATTTCTACATTTTTTTGGTCACAGGCCTCTAGCAGCCATTGTGTTTTCTGATCTTGACATTGCTCTAGCAAGCCTCCCAGTGAAGGAGGAGAATAATTTCTGTATACTGTGAATGCAAGAACAGAGGAGCAGTTCTCACTCACCGGGGGGCATCGTGTTAAATGCCGTTCTGAGTTCTTTCCTTTGTATACTGTTGGGTCCTGGGTAGTGGTGTGAATATTACAGGAAGGTATTAGTAATCTATCTAAGCTTCTAGGGACACCTCCTGGTGCAACTAGAATACATTTATTGACTACCCACTGTTTGCCACATGCTGGGGAGTTCCAACTACACCATTTCCTGTTCCTACAACCCTACAAGATAGTTGGTATTAACTTTACTTTATAGATTTAAAAGCAAAAAAAAAAAAAAAATCCTGAAGCTAAAAGGTAACTAGATTCCGTGTCAGGTATGTACGTGGGAGAGGCCTTTGGTCTGCTGAAAGTAAAGTCACCTCTCCTTGCTCTGTATCAAGGGGCCCATAGTGAGCCAAGTTCAGCCTGCCACCTGTCTGTTTTATTAGGATAAGACCACACCATTTGTTTACATTTAGTCTCTGGTTGCTTTCATTGTTATAATGCAGTGTTGGGTTATTTTGACAGCATATGGCCCACAAAGCAGAAAATATTTTTGTAATATGTTTTTATTGATTTTATATATATATAGAGAGAGAGAGAAACATCGATGTGAGGGAGAAACATGGATCAGCTCTGCCGCCAGCACGCCCCCTGCTGGGGATCGAGCCTGCAACCCCAGCATGTGCCTTGACTGGGAACTGCGGGACCTCTCAGTCCATGGGAGGACACTCAATCCACTGAGCCACACCAGCTCGGCCAGAAAATATTTTAATACCTGGACCTTTAAGAAAAAAGTTGGTTAACACTGCTGATGGTGGCCAAATATTTATTTAGCAAAGAGGACTGCTCTCTGGCTGTGCAGCGAAGGTATATAAAACCCAGAGCCCAGCATCAGTCCGTCTGTCTTCCTTTCCCCCGCCTTTCATTTCTCATTATCTCGTACATATTTCTGTTATGATTTTGTGGCCAGTCGGTGGCTTTTACCTCTGAGTCTAAATGCCAGCCGGTAATGGTTTGATTTATTTACTTAGAGATGTCCTGTCAGAACCTTGCAGTAGATTGTTTGAGACTCTAAATGGTGTGGTGAAGGGTCAGTTTTTCAGCAGGTCTTTCTTGAGGGGAAAAAAAAAACTCTGAGATAATGTAACAGTGCGATGACTTAGCAAGTTCTGCCGCTTTCGTTTTGAAAGGGGAACGTCCCTGCACTTCTGCCCAATGTTAACAGACGAGTGTACAGATAGATTCCAGCCAAGGTGGGTTTGATAGAAACATTACTGTCTGTGTTAGGCTCCGCAGGCTTCTTTGGAGGTTTGCCTGGGAGGAAGGAAGTCGTCAGGCGGCAGTTTCCACATGTTAGTGTGTATGAGAAACACTTGGGATGCTTCTTAAAAAAAATGTCGATTCCCAGACCCTCAGCCCCAACATGAGGAATCGCCAAGTCTGCTTCTAGACTTACAGTTAACAGCTGGTTTGGGGAGTGGAGCCGAGTCTCACGGCGGTGATTCTAGGTCATGCAAATAAACACATTGTCCATGACTCCTTTTAAAATTTTGTTTCGGTTTAACTTGGAACGGGATGCTGTTGCTATGTAGTATACACGTTTATTTAAGAAGACATAATGGGAAAAGCACATTGCTGTCAATGTATTTGAACTACTTCTTTCTTCCACGACCTCTAACAATGACACTAGCATCTGATGTTGTATGTTGTACTTTTTAGCTACAGAGTTCCCCATTAGGCATATCTCATTGTGTTTTTTTTTTTTTTTTCCTTTTTATTGAATTTACTGGCTGACACTGGCTAACAAAATTATACAGGTTTCAATTGCCTAATCCTACAGCACATCACTGTACACCATATTGTGTGTTCACCACCCCAAGTCAAGTCCCTGTCCATCACTGTTCATCCCCCCCCTTACCCTTCTCCACCTCCCTACCCTCCTCATTTTATTTTAACATCAACCCTTGAGGCAGATGCGGCAAGTAGTATAATTTTCCTATGTCAAATGAGAAAATTGAAATTTCTAAAACAAGTGGTGGTTTTCCCCTAACAGTCCAGCTGATAAGCAGTGTGTCTAGAGTGCCCACATTCTGCTTCTAATTTCTAGCCCTGCATTACATGCAGTGCCCCGGTTTGTCCTTACGCCACCTATTTTGATTTTTAGAGGAAAATCTATAACTCACTGTCTTTTGATAGGAAGGATGAGCTGTCCATAGTTAAATACTTGGTCATCTCCCATAGGTGGCGCAAAGGGAGGGAGGTGGCCACAGGTGTGTACAGATTGGTGGGTCGGTTGTCTTTGTAGAACATTCCGAAGCGTGGAAGAAGAAATCTCTCTCCTTTCTTTGTTTCTTTGACAGAAACTCTATAAAACGGGTCGGGAGATGCAGGAGCGGATCATGGACCTGCTGGTGGTGGTGGAGAATGAAGACGTAACCATCGAGCTCATCCAAGTGAATGAGGATTTGAATAATGCCATCCTTAGATGTGAGAGGTGAGCAGACGGTGCACCCCTTCAACCTGCCTCCAAGTCTGGTTTCAGGACTCAGCACTCTTCTTAGAATTCCTGCAAGGGGACCACTCAGGAGGATCAAGAACACGTTCAGGACAAGGCTGCCTCCCTTCTAAGACAGGGGATCCTGGTCCTGGTCTCCTGGGAGCTTGTGATATGGCTTGTAAGAGTGTGCAGTTAGGAGCATAGTTGGGCACTCCCAGCCTGTGTAAACCCCTAACCTGTGAGCGGGACCTGGCTTTTATTCACCTGATGCTGTCTGCACTGAGCACATCATAGGCTCCCGAGTGGATGAACATCTCAGTGAAAGTGAGGTTGACCTGAAGTTTGAGATGGAGAAGTATATGGAAAGAGAAGAGGGTAGAATGAATATATATATATAAATTTAGATTTCAAGTACTTAGAACAGGGCCCAGCATCAGAGTGCTCATCTAAGCTAGCTCCTGTTAGCAACAGGAGTGGGAGTGGGGGAGGGGTTGCACGCAACGTGCTGTCTGTTTTCACTAGCACCACCAGTGTGCACCCTTGATGAATGACAGGGACTTGTTCTTCAAAAGCAGGAGGAACAGGAGGAAAGGAGAGATGCCCTGGACTCTGGAACTAGGTGGTAAAGCAGATAGACAGGCTGATGATCTGACCTGAAGAAGTTTATGGTTTAGGAAGGAAGAACATTCGCAGGAATAGTAAATCCTCTGAAAGTGTATCACGGCAGTTCCCAATGCAGAAGAGGGTCAATGGTAACATCATCTCTCCACGGAGGTCCTGCGCACAGCTCCCGGGGTCCTCTGCACTGGCTCTGCCTCCGCCTTGCCTTCCTCCGCTCAGTGTCTAGGTGAGCCTTGACTTCCCGTCATAGCGCAGAGTATTTCACATAGAGGAAATAGTCTATGAAAAACCAGAGCAGCCAATAAGGAAATTTTTTATATCAACATAGTTTTTTGTTTTTTTGTTTTTCACTCAGAAAAGTACAAAGGGAAAAAATTTTTTTAATACTCATAATTTTGTCATTAATAATTTAGTTCTAAGTTTTTTATGGTTATGTTCCTTTAGAGAACACATACTTTTGTTTCTCCCTTGATTTTATTCACTGCGTAAAAGTCTTTGTGTATCCTGTGTTTTGAAACGCTTTGGGGAAACCATTATCTTTTATAGCTATATAATGAATGGTCCACGTTTCTCTCTCATTCACTTGGTAGGCATTTACATCATTCCTAACTCATTCATTCATTCATCAGAAGAGTAGTCCTATAATCTTAGAGTAGGAAAACACTTTAAATCATAGATATCCGCGCTTGGAAACAAGTGTCATGAAGCGGAAGTACCGGAGGTCTGTCTGCTGAGAATCGCAGTGGGACCCAATCCAAGGTAGGAGAAGGAAGCTCCTGTAAGGAAGGCCCTTTAAGCCTACAGGACGAGGGGTTGCCTGAACCAGGAGCAGAGCAGGAGCAGGTACAGTGTGAAGCTGTGGGGAAGCACCACAGGCCCGGGGGAGAGCGCACACCCAGAACCCCGCCCCGAAGAGCTGCAGCGTGCTTGATTGACAGGTGGCTTTTTCCTCACTCTGAACACACAGCTCTAGAGAAGTCCCCTGATCTCTTTCCAAACCCATCCCTAGGCCTTCCTACCATAGAAATTCCCCGGACTCAGATCCCCACACTTTCTAGATCCATGTTTCTTTGTAGGAGGGATGTTGGCATTTAGGGTGGGACAGTGTTCTCTGTCCCTACTCAATGCCAGCATGTTCCTCCTAAAGTGGCATTTTGGGACACCCTTAGGAGCATCGTTTGTATTGAGAATTATTGGAACTATGTCATTGAACAGTGGCTATATTTCCAGCCGGCTGGTAGAAAATGAGACATAATAGTCCTAGATCGAATCTTGCTGATTTCAGACAAGCTTAACTTTTCTAAGACTTAGGGTTTTTTCCTCTTTGTTAGGATAATACTACCTGTTTGGAGGGTTTTTTTTTTTTTTTTTTTTTAAATTAAATGAGCTATATATATATAAGCACCTAGTTGAGTGCTAGCTCATTAACACTCATTAAATATTAATCTCTTGTCTTTCTCCTTCCTGTTAACATCCCACTGAGACTTTTAATTTATGGACGAGATCTCCCTCCCCTACCAGATCATGAATGAACCAAGAGAATCAGTGAGGTAAAACCAAGAGCTCTGAAATACGCTCTTTGCTTCGCTGTCTTGCATTGACCGACTGTCAGAGACAGTAGCCATTTACGTGAAGAGATGACAGGGCATCGACTGGCTGAGCCCCCACGGGTGTTCTTAGCTCTGAACAAACTCACAGTGCTTTGCCCTTTGTTTTCTGAGGCATAAACCTTTGTAAGTAGAAAAGTACCTATGGAAACCGACATAGTTTTCAGTAGAATGCTGCCTTCTGGTTTTCATTGGGGAGAATTCTGTTAAAAACTGTAAGACCAATGACTAAGAGCGTCCTCTGAAGGGGATGTGTGTTTATTTGGTGTGGTAGCAGGATTAATTCTGTGAACGGCCCATTCTGATTTGGCTTCAAAATCGGCTTTTTTGGTGCCAAAAGCAACTGCGGTCAATGGTGAGACAAAAACACTAAGTCTTCAGGTTCAGAGGGAAATTCTGCCATTAGAACAGATGTGTCTGGTGTACTGGTTTCCTATAGCTGCTGTAACAAGTGATCACAAACAACTTCAAACAACATACACTTTCTATCTTACAGTTCTATAAGAGTCCGAAATGGGTCTCACTGGGCTGTCATTAGGGTGTTGGCAGGACTAGGGGTTTTTGTTTTTTGTTTTGGAGGCGCTAGAGTCTCCACCTTCGTTCCCTTAATTTTTGCAGCTTCTAGAATCTTCCCACTTTCCTTGGCTCACGACCCCTTCTCTCCATCTTGGGAGCTAACATCGTCTAGTTGAGTCCTTCTCATGTGGTATCACTGCTTACTCTTCTGCCTCCCTCTTCCACATGTAAGGACCTCTGTGGTTACCCTGCGCTCATCTGTATCATCTCCAGGATAATCTCCATACTGAAGTCAGCTCACGCTCCAGCTTGGGAGCTCAGTTGGTTTGAGTGTCGTCCCAATATACCAAGGTTATAGGCTCGATCCTCGGTCAGGGAACATACAAGGATCCACCAATGAATGCATAAATAAGTGCAGCAACACACTGATCTCTTTCTCTCTCAAAAAAATAAGAAAAGTCAATCAGTAAAAATAAAATAAAGTCAGCTCACTAGCAACCTTCATGCCATTTGCTATCCTAACACATTCACCATTCTATTGACCAAGATGTGGATATCTTTGGGGGGACATCATTCTGCCTATCCCAGTCTGTCCTCTGGTTCCCAAAGATTCACATCCATCCCACATGAAAAATATGTTCACCCTATTCCAGCATCCTGGAACTCTCATCTCATTACATCCAGGAATAGTTGTGCAAATAAGGAAATGACAATCTGTTGCTCAAGGCTTGCCTGTGAAGGGCATTCATACCCAGCACGTAACTAGCTTACAAGAAGCCAATGGCATAAGTAGATGGAAGAAAAAAACACGTGTTTTAGAAAGGGAAAAATCCTTAAAACCAAGTGCATGTTCCCATTCATTGGAAGCTGTTAAACTTTAAAGTGTTTAGGTGCACGGAGTCAATGTGTCATCATAGTAATACCGTGTTTCTCAAGCAACGCCTAGTTTGCACAGCATTCCCACATCCACCCACCTGTCTTATCACTGATCTCTTGCCCCTGAGAATAACTTTCTGAGGTGATGGTTCAAGGGTAAGGATCAGGAAGTCCTATTTGTGGTCATGTAGCTACTTGATAATATGCTGATACTTGAACCTTGGACTTCTACCTTCAACTTTACTATTTTTTCATAGCCATTTGTTGGTTAATTTTTTATTTATTGAATTATTCATCCTTTATCCCCAGTGTACAAGCAGTATGAAAATTTTTAAAGTTATAAAAGGTCAATACTGTTGGTAGGTATCAAATGTCTTCTAAAAATGAAGATAAATGGTGAAAATACGATATGTATTTGAATTTTTATGGAAAATTATAATGGCAAAATTGGAAACACAAATATTGGAGAATAATAAGAATAGTTAAATATGTGATATGTTCATAAGGTAAAATATGCAGTCACTAAAAATTGTATTTCTGAATAACTAGAAAAATGCTTGCAAAATAATTTAATTAGGATACAGAATTATGTAAAGGATCATTTCAACTAAGTTTAAAATAGATTAACTTACAGAAAAATATACTGGAAGGGAATACATCGTTATGTTAAGGACCATTTCTAGGTGATGGAATTATTATTTTTAATACATTTCTGTTTTCTCTAAGGGCATTATTACCTCTATAAACTGGAAACAGTTATTAAAGTACTTTATTGGGAATTGAGTGATGATGAAGCTTATTGTCTTTTCCCCTAAATATTTGCATATTAATAATTTGTTCATTATTGTAGCATGTTCATATCCATTTTCTTTTAAATATTTAATTTTTTGCTAATTCAAACAGGTTTACTCGAAATCAACAAAGGATTTTGGAGCAAAACAATCAGAGGGGAGATGCCAATGTAAGTGAATAGAAATGTTATAAAACACACAATAGCACAGTTTACAAAATGTACAGTATGGGGTTCAGCTTATGTTAAAATAAGTCTTTAAAAAGAGGAGACATTCCTTAATGATTGGGGTGGATTTTGTGGTGTAGACTACTTGCCTCAATAACTTGATGTCACCATAAGAAAATGCTCCAATTAAGCAGGAACCCATGTAGATGGTGAGATGCGCTTAGTACTCATGGTGCCCATTGAATGGAGAATTCTCCCTCAAGATGCATCCAAAATAGGATCTTCCTTTCTCCAAAGGAAAGCTTCCGGAGAGAACTTTTAAGTGATAAACTACCTGATACAGATTTTCCAAGTTACGTTTTTGTTTGCTTTGTTTTCAGACTACCAGCGAACCTTCTGCCCCATCCTGTGAACTTCTTGACTTAAGCCCCACCTCTCAGAACCACAGGGCCACTCTGGAAGAGGTCAATGCCGTGAATGCTCAGCTTTCCAACTTAAGTAAGCAAGCACATGGGCCTTTTAGGCCAGAAGAGCTTAATGGGAAACAGCCCTTGGTTTCATGATTAAGTGCAACCAAAGAAGGGCTGAAGTCAGTTTGAATATCAGAACTGTATCAGGAGATGTAGTTACTTCTTGGTCAGTGGTTGGGTCATACCCAGTGTAGGAAGGAGATGTGACTTGGGGAGGAGGTCCTTGAAACTCATCCCACTGGCTCAGAGTCCCCTGGCATTCACACGGCCTGCTCTGTAGAAGTGGTTCAGTTCCATGGCCAGTACTTAAGTCTGCTCCGAACCCACACACTATTGTTTTGGGGCTTCTCTGCCATACTACAGCATCAGATGAGGGAATATTTGATGTAGAGAAATTCCGGAATTAGGAGGCCTTATCCACATATCCGGTGAAATGTAGAGGGGAAAACACAGGCTTCTGAGTCAGGAATCCAAGTTGAAATCCCAGTTCTGCCACCTCTTAGCCACCTAACCTCTGGGTTGCTATGAAGGTAAACGAATGATGTTTATAAAATGCAGGGTTGGCCTGGGGTTGTTTATCTTACCTGTCTTACTTGTCGTCTCCTAGTAACCTACCAAAAAATTTGGGTAAATTATAAAATAAGGAGGATGAAAAATGCTGAATGAAGCCCAGAAGTTTCTGCCAATCTAAAATCAGTTTGTTTTTCTCGGATGGTAGGTTTTTCCAGAGTAAAAATACTCAGTGTCTGAATTTGTGGTTTTCTGATCACTTCCTTCATTTTTGAAACGTTGGCTGCTTGTTTATGTAGCCCCGTGGGATGTGTGGGGTCCATTACATTAGAGAGCTTCCTTGAGTTTTTGTCTGGCATTTTCAGGGTGGGGGAACTAATTATTCTCTTTGGGGTGTCTCACTGAAGATGGGACGTTACAAGTTTGAAGAGGTCAGGGTCGAGCTCTGTATATACAATGGACTTTCACTTTTGACTTTGGCAGAACATGACATGTAAACTCCCTTTCATTCCTGATCAATTTGGAATTTGAAAAAACTCGATACAATAGCATTTGTTATATTTTCAACAACCTCTCTTTGTGGCAGGGAATTTCTTTCCAGTTACCCTAAATGAGGTTCTTTAATTTCTGTTGGAGGAAATTCCATAATTTTATGGTGACAAAAATCAATCTCTCTCTCCTGCGCAAAAGCCAACAGAACAGGTTACTGACAGAATGTTTTAAAGCCAAACAACAAATCCATTTTGTGTTCTAGGTTTCAGCTCTCCAAGTCCTGTTGGAATGAAGATCTTGCAACCCAGCGTTTGTCCACAGGTGGATTTGCTGGCCTCAGAAAATACAGAAACAGCCCAGTAAGTGTGTCAGTCATACTCCCGAACTAACACACCTCGTTCAGATTCCTCGCCCTTCAGAAAGCATGACCCAAGAGGAAAGCGAGAGACTTGGGAATCAGACCCGAGTTAGGATCTCAGCACTGCTTCTTCCTACTAGCTCTGTGACCTTGGATAAGATTCTTTCCTAGTGTGAGCCTCCATTTTCTTCTAAGAATAGTTCCTGGGGTTCTTACGAAGCGTCTATGAGATGCTGCATGCATCTCCTAAGATAGCACTTGGTAGATGGCAAACCTTCAATAAATTACCTCTGTTTCTGTTATTTTTAAAGTGGTAGCAGAAAGTAGAGGAACTACAATGACAAGGGAAGGGATAGAGAAATGAGGTTCAGAATCATTAAGAGTAATGGGCACACACCAGTTGCCGAGTACTTGCTACATGCCAGGTACTTTGCTAAGCTGTTTTTGTTTAGTTCATGTAATCTTTGCAAAAGGGTCTCGGGTCAGTGCTGTTACCATTATTCTCATTATATGGGAGGAAAGGCTGAAACTTAGGGAATAGAACTTGTCCAAGTTCATATAGCTATTAAGTAGCAGTTCTTTTTACTCTCTGATCTCCTGGGTCTCATACTTCGATGTGTGTGAAGATCATGCAGGTGGCTATTGAAATGTAAAATTGTGGCCCCCCCCCCAAATTCTAATGCAGAAGTAGAGGCAAAATCAACCATCCAAATATCTTAGGCTCTTGACACTTTTCCACCCCTCATGTGTTCATCACAGAACAAATGAGTGATGAGATTATTCAGAATGAGTGATGGAAAACAGTGATGATGGGATACAATCATTGGTCATATGTATAGCCCACTTAGCCAATAGGCTAAGAAGAATAAGAAATGCAGCCCTAGCCGGTTTGGCTCAGCGGTTAGAGCGTTGACCTGCGGTCCAGAGAGACCCGGGTTTGGTTCCTGCTAAGGGCATGTACCTCGGTTGCAGTTTGTCCCTGGCTCTGGTTAGTCGTGCAGGTGGAACCACTCAATGTGTCCCTTTCACGTCGATGTTTTTCTCTCTCTCTTCCTCTCTCCCTCCTGCTCTATCTGAACAAAAAATGGAAAAATGTCCTCAGGTGAGGATAAAAAAAAAAAAAAAGAAATGCCTATAAATGTCTTGCTGGTGTTCCCAGTAGGCCTGAGGGAGGTACCCCATCATTCTCATTTTACACGTGAAGAAGCCGAGACTGAGGAAGATGAACTTGCCAAAAGTTACCCGGCCTGGGCATGAACGGGATTCAGATTCAAGTGAATCTGATTTGAGTGCCTGCTCTCTTTTGTTCTTTCTGCACTTTGATTTGATTTTTAAATTTTTCTTATGGGCCTGGCCAGTGTGGCTCAGTGGATTGAGCGTCGTCCCAGGGACTGAGAGATCCCAGTTCAATTCCCGGTCAGAGCACATGCCCAGGTTGTGGGCTCTCTCACATCAAGGTTTCTCTCTCTCTAAAAAATAAATAAAAACATATTTGAAAATAAATAAAATATTTTAAAATTTTTTCTTTGTGGCAAAATTGATACCCCCCCCCTTTTACATACAGTTCTATGAAATTTAACATATATGTAGATTATGTAACCACCACCACAGCCAGGACACAGAATAGTTCCATCACCCAAAAAACTCCCTTGTGCTATGACTTTATAGTCATACCCTCCCACTCCCAAACCTCAGGAACCATCAATCTGGTCTCTATCACTATAGTTTTGTCTTTTTGAGAATGGTTTGTAAATAGAACCATACAGGATGTAGTCGTTTTTTAAAAGGTTTTGTAAAACTAGTGTTTGCTTCATGTATTTTGAAGCTCTGTTGTTAAGTGTCTATGCATTTAGGATTGTTGACCCTTCTATCATTATGTAATGTCCCCCTTAGTCCCTTGTAATTTTCTTTGCCCCGGGGTCTACTTTGATGCTAATACAGCCATCCTAGCTTTCTTTCGATTGGTGTTTGTTCCATCTTTGTACTTTCAACTACATCAAAATATTTGAAGTGAGTTTCTTATAGAGATCATATTATTGTGCAATGCATTTTTATGTCGTCTCATCATTTGTCTTTAACTGGTATGGTTAGACCATTTCCATTTCGTGTAATTATATGTTTGGATTAAGAGCTACCGTTGTGTAATGTTTTCTCTTTGTTCCCTTTTTCCCTCAGTTTCCTGCATACTTTGGATTATTTGAATGTTTTCAGTATGCCATTTTATCTATTGCGATTTTGACTGTATCTCTGTACAGTTTACATATGAGGACGGGGTCTGGCTGCTCTAGGGATTGCAATATGCGTAACTGTCAAGTCTGCTTAGGACCAGTATTTGACCACTTGAAGTGAAATGTGGAAACCTTATCACATATAGATCCCTCATTTAAACTATAGTTATATGTATTACATCCATATACATTGGGGAAAAACTACCACCAGACAATAGTATAATTTTTGCTTGCAACCCACAAATATATTTCAAAGAACTCAAGAAGAGGCGAACGGTCATATTTACGTAGTATTTACCATTTCTGTTGCTCTTTTATTTTCTTCTGGTACATTTTCCCTTCTCTCTGTAGACTTTCCTTAGCCATTGTTTTAGAGCAGATCTGTCCGCAGCGAAGATCTGTTAGTATTAATTCACTCGAGTATGTCTTTATTTCATATTTGTTCCTGAAGGGTATTTTCACTGGATATAGAATTCTGGATTAACAGTTTATTTCTTCAGCAGTTTTTAAACCTTGCTCCACTCTCTTCTGGCCTAAATGGTTTCTGAGAAACCTACATTCATTCAAATTGTTGCCCCTTATAGATACTGTGCCGAATTCTCTGACTGTGTTTTAAAGAACTTTTTTTTTCCAATTTTGAAGTTTGATTAGGATGCGTCTGGGCATGGATTAAGTTTATTCTGTTTTGGGTTTGCCGAGTGTATTAGTTTCCTGTGGCTACATAAAAAATAAAAAAAATTACCACAAACTGGGTGGTTTAAAACCACAGGAACGTATTTTCTCATAGTTTTAGAGGCTAGAGGTCTGAAATTCAGCAGGGCCACACACCCTTCAGGGCTGCATTCTTTTCTTAAAAAATATGTTTTCATTGAATTTAGAGAGAGGAAAGGAGAGGGAGAGACAGAAACATCATCGATCTGCTGCTTCCTGCATGCCCCCTACTGGGGATTGAGCCCTCAGCCTGGGCCTGTCCTGGGACTGGGAATCAAACCGGCAACCTCTTGGTGCATGGGAAGATGCCCAACCAGCTGAGCCACACCTGCCAGGGCGAGGGCTGCATTCTTTGGCATATTGCCACATCAATCCATTTTCTGTTCCCACCTTCACTGCCTTCTCCTCTGTCTAAAATTTCCACTGCTTTTTTCTCTTTCAAGCTCCCTTGTCATTGGATTTAGGGCCCATTGGAATAATACAGGATGATATTGTCATCTCGAAATCCTTAACTTAAATGCATCTGTAAAGACCCTTTTTCCAAATAAGGCAACATTCTCAGGTTCCAGGAATTAGGACACAGGCATAACGGTTTTTGGGAGCCATCCTTCAATCAACTCCACTGAACTTCTTGAATCTGTGGGTTTATGTCTAGCAACACATTTGTGAAGTTTTCAGCCTTTATTTCTTCAAATACTTTTTCAGCACGATACACTTTCTGCTGTCCTTCTGGGACTCTTGCTGACACAAATGTTAGATCTGTTATCATCATCTCAGATCCCTAGGGTTTCACACTCTTTTTCTTTCTGCTTTTTAGATTGGAAAATTTCTACTGATCTATGTTCAAGTTCACTGATTATTTCCTCTGTCATCCCCATTTGCAGCTGAGATCATTCTGTCATTATTTTTAAACATCAGTTACTGTATTTTTCAGTTCTAAAATTACCATTTGACTCTTCATATTTTGAGTCTCTTTTCTGAGACCACTGTTTCACTCTTTTTCAAGAGTGTTTGCAGTGGCTTGTTGGCGCCTTTGTGTGAGAGCTGCTTTAAAATCTCAGGTGATGTCAGCATCTGCCGATTTGTCTTTTCCCTTGCGATTTGAAATGTGCTAGTTCTTCAAATGCCTAGTAAGTTTGGATTGTATATTGGACAATTTTTTTTTCTTGTTTATCCTTACCCAAGGATATTTTTTCCATTGATTTTTAGAGAGAGTGGAGGGGGTGGGGGGAAGAAACGGAGAGAAAAACATTGGTGTGAGAGAGACACATCAATTGGTTACCTCCCGCGTGTGCTTTGACTGGGGCCGGGGATCGAACCTGCAACCCAGGAATGTGCCCTTGATTGGGAATCAAACCCAAGACCCTTTGTTGCAAGACCCAGTGGTCTAACCATCAGGGCTTGGACATATTTAATGTTATGAGATACTTGATTTATTTTAATCCTATTGAGAATGTTGATATATTTTTTTCCTTTATTGATTTCAGAGAGAGAGGAAGTGAGAGGGGGAGAGAGATAGAAACATCAATGAGCGAGAACATCTATTGGCTGCCTCCTGCATGCCCCCCACTGGGGATTGGGCTCAAAATCTGGGCATGTGTCTTGACCGGGAATTGAACTAGCATCCTTGTGGTGCATGGATCGACGCTCGACCACTGAACCACACTGGCCGTACATGTTGATATTTTTATATTAGGAGGCAAACAACCTTGCTAGCTCGGTTCATGCCTCAGCTTTAACTTGCCTTATGTGTGCTGCGGTTCCCATGCAGCTAAGTTTTCAAAGCCTTTGAAGACCAGTCTCCCATGTGGATCACTTACTGGTCAGTCTGAGGTCTGAACGGCAGGCTGCATGTTCACTTCTCACTGTTTTTGGCATCTGGACTAGGAACAGATCCACAGAGGCACAGATCAGAGGCTGAGCCCAGGATTTCACACACAACTTTATGAGTTTATTTTCCCGAATAAACTCTGGTCCTTGACCTTCCTGGGAATCCCCTTTTCAGTTCTCCAGCCAGAAACGGAGGGTTACTATGTCATGCATTTTCTTCACTGCTTGTGACGGGGACCAAGAGGCAGGACAGAGAGTCAAAAAGAACCAAGGGAAGTTCACCCATCCTCTTGGGATCACAGTTCCACCTGTTGGAGAGGAAGTTTCCCCTCACTCAGAGTTTTAAACCCCTACAGGTCCCTGTTATCTCTGATATTGCTGCAGCCACCTTGGGATTGCCTAGGGTTAGGGGTGTGAGAACAGAGAGAAGAGGGGGCAAATGGGTGCGGGATTCCCAGACTCTGAGCACACTGCTCCTGGAGTGGGGACGAGGAGGCTCCTCCTGGAGATCCGTCTGTCCTCTCTGCCCCCGGCGGGGTTGCGGGCCGAGTTGCATTCAGGTTAGGGAATACCAGAGGAGAAACAATGGTAAGTTCACCAGTGATTCAGTGATGCTCAAAATCTTGTCTTCTTTCCAAATCAGCCTACAAGTATTTACTTTTCAGTCCTCAAATATTTGCCCCGTGCATTCATCCTGTCCAGGTTTTCTGGTTCCATGTATGGGAGAGACAAGGTGAAGTGTGTTTATTCCATCTTACCCAGAGCCATAACCTTCCCCTGTTCCTTCCTAACCTCCACTCTGCATCGCCTCTCATTCTTCATGAAGTGATGGTACAGTTGCTGCTCAGCTGAAAACACAAGGCTCTGATTTTACTAGTGTACTGCGCATGCTCCAGTGTCTCAGGGCTACCCTGCCAAGGGACGGTGCTGTCTTTACCCTCTGGTACTTGGGCATCATGCCCTGGTGGGCACTGAAACCATTTGGAATTGCTTTATAAAATTAATGCTTTTGTATAGTCTAAAGGTACATTTTATATTTCATTTTTAGGCCAGGAAAGTCATCTTACTTTTTGCATTTGTGTTCTCGCTGTAGGGTAATCATGCTGTGTTATCACACTATCCTAGGTTTGCCCAAAGGACCAGCCCCAACCTTGCCTCAAGAAGCCATACATACGAGAATGTAAGTAATGAAACCCTTTCCTGGTGGAGCACCTAGTCAGATTATCGTGACCAAAAAGAAACTCCTGGTTGTCAATTCTAATGTTACTCTCAATGTCTCTTTGTATTTATAATGTGTTGATGTAGCCCTCATTAAGAATTTGCAGTACTGTCTTTTTAATCTTTTATTTAATGTTTTAAATTATAGTCGGCATACAATATTATGTTAGTTTCAGGTGTACAACACAGTGATTAGACATGTATTTAACTTACAAGGTGTTCATCCTAATAAATCTAGTACCCATCTGACACTATACATAGTTATTACATTATTGACTATATTCCGTATGCTGTAGCTCACATCCCCATGATTATTTTATAACTGGCAATTTGTACTTCTTAGTCCCTTCCCCCTTTCACCCTGCTCCCCAAGCCCCCTTCCATCTGGCAACCATCAAAATGTTCTCTGTATATATGTGTTTGTTTTTGTTTTGTTTGTTATTTAGAGCCCACACACAAGTAAAATGCTATTGTCTTTTTCTGCATGACTTATTTATAGATGAATAAAGTAAGGTGGTACATATATACAACGAAATGTTACTAAGCCATAAAAAAGAATGAAATCTTGTATTTGGCAACAACATGGATGTTCCTAGAGGGTATTTTGCTGAGTTAAATAAATCAGACAGAGAAATATTTTAAATCTTTTAAGAGAGCCCTGGCCAGTGTGGCTGCTGGTTCAAGCATCATCCTGTAGTACAATACAAGGTGGTGGGTTTGATTCCCGGTCAGGGCACATGCCTGGGTTGCAGGCTCCATCCCCAGGAGGGAGCATGCAGGAGGCAGCTGATCGATGTTTCTATCTCTCTCTCTCTCTTCCTCTCTCTCAAATCAATAAAAACATATTTAAAAAAAAATTATCCTCTAAACCCACTTATCTCCTCTAAACCCACCCATGATTTTCTTCCTCACTCCATTGTTCTCAGTAAAAGCCTAAGATGCAGATCTGACCCCTGCCATTACCTCTGCAGCCTCACCTGTCCCCTCTCCCTTGCTCACTCTGCTGCAGCCACATTGGCCTCCCTCACTTCGGGGCATACGACCTTGTGTGTCCCCTCAGATTTTCGCAGGGCCTGCTGCAGAATCAGGGCTCCTCTCACTGTCTGCGGTGGTGAGACATTCCCTGCTCACTAAGGTCACAGCAGTATCCCACCCAGCCTCTCCTGTCCTTGTGACCCTGCTTTTTCCTTAGAGCACTTGCCACCTGACATCTGTTTACATTTGCTGAACATCTCTCCATGAGGGCAGGGATTTGGCCTGTTTTATTTATTGCTCTATTTGTAGTGCCTGGCATCTAGTCGGCGCCCAGGACATATTTGTGCAAGAAATGAGGAGAATTACAAGAAATGTATTTTGCCCTGGCCCGTTTGGCGCAGCGGTTAGAGCATCGGCCCGCGGACCAGAGAGTCCCGGGTTCGGTTCCCTCTAGGGGCACGTACCTTGGTTGCAGTTTGTCCCTGGTCCTGGTTGGGGTTCTGTGGGTGGCAGCCAGTCTATGTGTCCGTTTCACATCGATGTTTCTCTCCCTCCCTCCCGCTATATCTGGAGATAAATGCAAAACTGTCCTCGGCTGAGGATTAAAAAAAAAAAAATTAAAAAGTCTATCTTTCTAATTAAGACTTTTTAAAAATTAATTTATTTATTTTTGTTACAGTTGTTTCTCCTTTTTCCCCAACTAATATCCACCCCCCCCGCCCTGTCCCCAGCTTTGTTGTTCATGTCCGTTGTTCATACATACATACATATAAGTTCTGTGGTTTATCTGCCCCCTACACTCACTCTTGGGATTGTTAGTTTGTGCCCTTCCACGTCTCTGGGACTACTCCGTTCCTCAGACTGTTATGTTCATTATATTGCACAAATAAGTGAGACCATGTGATATTTGTCTTTTTCTGCTTGGCTTGTTTCACTTAGGATAATACTCTCCAGGTCCCTCCATGTCATCTCAAAGGATAAGTGATCTTTCTTTCTTACAGCTGCATAGTACTCCATTGTGTATGTGTACCACTGCTTTTTTACCCATTTGTCTACTGATGGACATTTGGGCTGTTTTCAGCTATTGTAAATAGTGCTGCTATGAACATGGGGGTACATATTTTTCTTCTGATGGGTGTTTCAGGCTTCTTAGGGTATATTCCTAGAAGTGGGGTCACCAGGTCAAATGGCAGTTCAATTTTTAATTTTTTGAAGTAACACCATATTGTTTTCCGTGGTGGTTGCACCAGTCTGCATTCCCACCAGCAGTGTACAAGAGTCCCCTTTTCTCCTCACCCTCGACAAAACCTGTTTGATGATTTGTTGATGGAGGCCATTCATTCTGACAGGTGTGAGGCGATACCTCATTGTTGTTTTATTTTATTTATTTATTTATTTTTTTATCCTCACCCAAGGACATTTTTCCATTTTTTGTACAGATAGAGTGGGAGGGAGAGAGAGGAAGGGAGAGAGGGAAACATCGATGGCTGCCACCTGCACGACCAACCAGGGCCGGGACAAACTGCAACCGAAGTACGCGCCCTTAGCGGGAACCGAACCCGGGTCTCTCCGGACCGCAGGCCGACGCTCTAACCGCTGAGCCAAACTGGCCAGGGCACCTCATTGTTGTTTTAATTTGCACCTCTCTGATGATTAGTGATGTTGAGTATTTCTTCATATGTCTCTTAGCCATTTGTATGTCCTGTTTGCAGAGGTGTCTATTTAGTTCCTCTACCCATTTTTTAATTGGGTTCTTTGTCTTCTTTTTGTTGAGCTGAATGAGCACTATATATTTTAGAAATTAACCCCTTATCTGATATATCATTGGCAATTATGCTCTCCCATAGAGTGGGTTGCCTTTCCATTTTGGTGGTTGTTTCTTTTGCTGTGCAGAAGCTTTTGAGTTTGATGTAGTCCCATGTGTTCATTTTCTCTTTTGTTTCTGTTGCCTTAGGTGATGTATCAGTGAAAATTCTGCTGCGTATGATGTCTGAAATGTTGTTGCCTACAGTTTCTTCTAGGATTGTTATGGATTCACAAGTCACATTTAAGTCTTTTATCAATTTTGAGTTTATTCTTGTGAATGGTGTAAGTTGATGGTATAGTTTCGTTTTTTTGCACGTAGCTGTCCAATTTTCCCAACACCATTTATTGAAGAGACTGTCTTGACTCCACTGTATGCTCTTGCCACCTTTGTCAAATATTAATTGAGCATAATGTCTTGGGTCCATTTCTGGGTTCTCTATTCTGTTCCATTGATCTGTCTGCCTGTTCTTGCACTAGTACCAGGCTGTTTTGATTACAGTGATTTTGTAGTGTAACCTGAAATCTGCTGATATGATTCCTCCAACTTTGTTCTTTTTTTTCAAGATTGGTGTGGCTCTTCGGGGTCATTTTTGGTTCCATATGAACTTTTGAAATATTTGTTCTAGTTCTCTGAAATATATCATTGGTATTTTGATGGGGATTGCATTGAATCTATAGATTGCTTTGGGTAGTATGGACATTTTAATGATGTTAATTCTTCCAATCCATAAACAAGGTATGTGCTTCCACTTTTTTATATCTTTCTCTATTTCTTTTTTCAATGACCTGTAGTTTTCTGGGAATAGGTCCTTTATTTCTTTGGTTAAGTTTATTCCTAGGTATCTTAATTTTTTTTCTGCAATGGTAAATGGGATTGATTTTTTAGTTTCTCTTTCTGTGAGTTCATCACAGGTGTATAAGAATGCCATTGATTTCTTGACGTTAATTTTGTATCCTGCTACTTTGTCAAATTCATTTATTAAGTCTAGTAAATTTTTGATGAAGTCTTTGGAGTTTTCTACATATAGTATCATGTCATCTATGGATAATGACAGTTTCACTTTCTCCTTTCTAATTTGGATCCCTTTTATATTTTCTTCCTGTCTGATTGCTGTGGCTAAGACTTCCAGTACTATGTTAAATAAGAGTGGCGAAAGTGGGCATCCTTGTCTTGTTCCTGTTCTTAAAGGAAATGCTTTTAGTATTTTCCCAGTGAGTGTGATGTTGGCTGTAGGTCTTTCATATATGGCCTTTATTATGTTGAGATATGATCCCTTTATTTTTTTATCAGAAATGGGTGCTGAATTTTATTGAATGCTTTTATATGATCATATAGATATGATCATATGATTTTAACTTTCATTTTGTTTATGTGATGTATCACATTTATTGATTTGCGAATATTGTATCAGCCTTGCATCCCTGGGATGCATCCCACTTGGTCATAATGAATAATTTTTTTGATGTATTGCTGGATTCAATTTGCTAGTATTTTGTTCAGAATTTTGGCATCTATGTTCATAGGGGATACTGGCCTATAGTTTTCTTTCTTTGTAGTGTCTTTTTCTGGTTTTGAAATTAGAATTATGCTGGCCTCATAAAACAAGTTTGGAAGTCTTCTTTCTTCTTGAATTTTTTGAAATAGTTTGAGGAGAATGGGTATTAGTTATTCTTTGAATGTTGGGTAAAATTCCCCTGTGAAGCTGTCCAGGCCTGGGCTTTTGTTTGCTGGGAGAGTCTTGATTACATCTTCAATTGCTTTTGTTGTCATCGGTCTGTTCAAGTTTTCTCTCTTTCCGGTTCAGTTTTGGGAGACGATGTGTTTGTAGAAAATTGTCCATTTCGTTTAGATTGTCGAATTTGTTGCCATATAATTGTTCATAATATTTGTTAACGATCCTTTGTATTTTGTCAGTTATTATTTCTTCTCTTTCATTTGTGATATTGTGTATTTGCGTTCTCTTTGTTTCTTGATGAGTCTGGCTAAGGGTCCATCAATCTTGTTTATCTTTTCAAAGAACTAGCTCTTTGTTTCATTGATCCTTTGAATTGTTTTTGTTTTTGTTTTTGTCTCCATGCCATGTATTTCTGCTCTGATCTTTACTGTTTCCTTCCTTCTACTTGCTCTGGAGTTTTCTTTCTGTTTGCTTTCTAGTTCTTTAAGTTGTGAAGTTAGACAGTCAATTAGAAATTGTCCTTGCTTCTTGAGGTAGACCTGTAGTGCTATGAACTTCCCTCTCAGAACTGCTTTCGCTGCATCCCACAGATTTTGTGTTATTGTGTGTTCATTTTCATTGGTTTCCAGAAGTTTTTAATTTCTTCCTGATCTCCATGGTAACCCATTCATTGTTCAGTAATATGCTATTTAGCCTCCATGTGTTGAAATGTCTTTGCATGTTCTTGTTGCAATTGATTTCTAGTTGCATACCATTGTGATCTGAGAAAATGCTTGATATAATTGCAATCTACTTGAACTTGTAGAGACTTTGTTTGTGCCCTAACATGTGATCTATCTTTGAGAATGTCCCATATGCACTTGAGAAGAATGTGAATTCTGCAGTTTTGGGGTGTAATTCTCTGTAGATATCGATTAAATCCATTTGATCTAGTGCTTCATTTAGAGTCTGTGTTTCCTTGTTAATATTTTGTCTAGAAGATCTATCCAGTAATGTCAGCGGGGTGTTGAAGTCCCCTGCTATGATTACATTGCTGTTGATTTCTTCTTTGAAGTCCTCCAGAAGATTTTTAATATATGTTGGTGCTCCTATATTGGGTACATATATGTTTATCAAGGTTATATCTTCCTGTTGGATAGATCCTTTCAATATTATGTAGTGGCTTTCTTTGTCTCTAGTTATGGTCTTCATTTTGAAATCTACTTTATCAGGTATGAGTATTGCTACCCCAGCTTTTTTTTTGTCTTTTGTTTGCTTGAAAGATTTTTTCCCATCCCTTCACTTTCAACCTATGTGAGTCTTTTGTTGTGAGGTAGGTCTCTTGTAAATAACATATATGTGAGTCATGCTTTCTTATCCAGTCAGCTATTCTGTGTCTTTTTATCAGAGCATTCAAACCATTCACATTTAAGGTGATAATTGATATGTACTTATTTATTGCCATTTTTGTTTAATGTGGTTCTACTTTTCTTCCCATTTCTTCTACTAATTACAGCAGTCCTTTTAGCATATCTTGTAGTGTTGATATATTCCCTTAGCCTTTTGTTGTCTGGAAAGCTCTTTATTTGACCTTCTATTTTGAATGATAGCCTTGCTGGGTAGAGTAGTCTTGGATTCAGATCCTTGTTTTTCATGACCTTGATTACTTCATGCCACTCCCTTCTGGCCTGTTTCTGTTGAGAAGTCAGCTGAGAGCCTCATGAGGTTTCCTTTGTAGGTAACCTGTTGCTTCTCTCTTGCTGCCTTTAGGATTCTCTCTTTGTCTTTAATTTTTGGCAGTTTGATTACTATGTGTCTTGGTGTGGGCCTGTTTGGGTTCTTCTTACTTGGGGCTCTCTGTGCTTCTTGAACTTGAATGCTTTCTTCCTTCACCAAGTTAGGAAAGTTTTCTGTCTCTATTTCTTCAAATATATTCTCTAACCCTTGCCCATTTTCTTCCTCTTCGGGGACTCCTATGATGCGAATGTTATTACGTTTCCAGTTGTCCCACTATCTCTGTGGGTTTTGGAGCCTGCCAAATTTTCCCTGTGGTTGTTGGTGTTCTGCTTTTTGTGGCTCCCTCTACTGGGTTTGGAAGAGCCAGGGCAGGCCCACGTTAAACACCACTGTCAAGTCTTACTTTCCTGGGTAGATTTGCAATTCCAGGAAAGGTTCAGTTATTCTCTAGCTTTTTCCTGGAGGCTAGTAGTCTCAGTTACTCAGTGCCTTGGAATGTAGCCCTGGTGTTCTGCACAAGAGGATTTCCAGAGGATGGGATAGATGCTGGTTGTTAATGAGCCTCAATTTGCATTTCTTTGCCTCACCTGGGAAAGGCTGACTGCACTGAGGGGGGGGTGGGGGAGGCTGCTGCTTTTCCCCACAGCTCTGGGAAGGAACACACTGGCCACCATCCTTTGTGGTCACAACTCAGCAAAACTCTGAGTGCCCTCCAAATCCCGATTGTCCCCCCCAGAGTTCTAGCCCAGTCTGCCCTCCTTCTGCAGTAGCCCCCAGGTGAGTGGCTGTGGCTATTTTAGCGCTCTGTCTGGGTTCTCTGGGCTGTGGAGTGGGTTTGGTCTTTATTCCCCAAGGGTGCTGCTCACAGCTAAGACTGCTGCTGTCCATGGGCTCCCAGCCCGCCACCCTCTCGTGCCTCCACAGATCCTACCAGTGCCCCTGGTTATATGGTCCTGTCCTGCTGCTTTTCTGTTGCTTTTTTTTACGAGGATTTGTGTTTATTTTAGTTGTAATTCTTGTGTGGTCCTGGGAGATCGTCTGTGTAGCTTCCATTCACTCCGCCTCCATTTTCACATCTTCTATGCCTATCTTGTGTGCAGTTGGGTCGCACGAGTGAGGGTGCCCCCACACCCTGCAGGTCCCACGGGTAACTGGATTGCACAGTCCCTTTGGGGACCAGGCTCTATGCCTGTTATGGGCTGCTGGGTCGCACAGGCCTCTCTGGTGCTTAAGCACCCTGCAGGTCCTTTGGGTAACTGGATGGCACAGTCCCTGCAAGGTCGCACAGGCCTCTCTGGTGCTTCAGCACCCCACAGGTCCCGTGGCTAACTAGATCGCACAGTCCCTGCTGGGTCACACAGGCCTCTCTGGTGCCCCTGCACCCTGCAGGTCCTGTGGGCGGGCAGCTGGATCGCACCAGTCTCTCTGGGGCTCCAGCTTCCCACTGCTCTTGTGAGCTGCTGGACCTCACAGGCCCCTGTGGAGCCCCAGGTCTTGCTGCTGGCGGCTGGGGAGTGCTGCTGCCCTGTGGGGCTCAACTCCTGCGCAGCTTTTGCTGTAGCTTTTGGGGTGGGTCTCAGCTGCTGGTCTGTGCTTCTGTTGCCTGGGGATGGATGTCTGCTCCCCAGCCTCTGTTGCTGGGGGTGTATCTGGACTCTGATCGGGCTGCTACTGTGGGGGATGGTGCTGGGCTCCAGGCTGTCTGCGGCTTCCATGACCAGCACCTTGGCAGCTCCACTACTGTGCACCAGTCCGTGTTGACACAGAGTGTCCACTTGTCCCATGGTGCTAGGTGCTCTGGTGGGCTCAGGTTGCTGGGGCCTAGCCGCTCCCACTGCCTCCTCCCAGGGAAGACCCCGGATCTCCCAAAACAGTGGGGCCTCCCCGCAGGCAGGGAGAAGCCCCTGAAGGGCCGCTCACCGCGGTAGCCGGTGCTCCGTCCACAGCACAGGCGGCTCTGTACTGCTCGGGTGTGGTCGTCCACCTTCACGTCCACTCACACTCTCCCACTAGCTCACTCTCTCACACTCACCCTCCCTCCGGTCCTGTGCGCCGCCATCTTCCTCCTCTAATTAAGACTTTTAATCTTTGTTAGTCCTTTTCAAATGTCATCACTTGATGTCTTTAGGGTCAAGATACTTTTTCCCTGTTTGTGGCTGAGATTTTGTATCTAGTGAAACAGCAGAATCTGGACTGAGCTATACAGGGTGGGGCAAAAGTAGGTTTATAGTTGTGAATATATGAAACAGTTTATTCTTGTATTATTATTAATTATTGTGTTATTTTCCATACGAACTACTGTTGCCCCACCCTGTATATTCCTGCTTTAATTTCTTTTGAAGCAACATGTTTATTCGGAATTTTACATGGGAAATGAGGTGCAGTGGGCATGGAACCAGACAGTAAAGCAGTACATTTTATAGGTGGTTATTACCTAAAAAACGAAAATAATGGTTCATAATTACTAATTCTTGTCCAGTTGAGAGTATACGGTTCTTAGAATAGTGCCACTTGGAAGGCTAGGAATCTAAATAATAAAAAAAAAAAAAAAAGAAAACTTATCGAAGAATGTTTATTTGAACATGCACTCTGCTTTCTTCAGTTTTCGGAACATTCATCTTCAGTGTTACTACAGCCAGTGAGTGTCCAGACCATTCCGGCCACCCCATCAGACCAGAGACTGCCACCCTTGCCAGGCAATCACCCAGGTAGTCGACGCCCTATTATTTGCATCAAATGAGGAAAAATAGTGAGACTGCATGAGTCCTCCAGAGATTTATTGGTAATCGAAAATAAACTTATAGAGGAAAAATTAGAGGAGTTTATTTGCATTTTTAAGTTCCATGGAGTAAATTTAGGGCAAATACCATTATGACTGGCATTAGGAATTGTAAAAATGTGTGCATTGTGCTGAATCTTGTATTTGGAGTACTGAGGGTGAATTACCCCACAGGTGAAGTTTGAAATCTTTTTGTTATATAGATTTGTCGCACACAGGAGTGGTATTAGAACGACAGTGTATTTGTTTCTGGTTGTCACTGTTTGTTAGGATCTCATGTTTGAAGTCTAAATCATAAAGAGAATACTAATTGTGCCTACTCCCTCAGACAGCATAATGTGTGTTTACCGCTTTTTTTTTTCTTTCTTGCCTAAAGCGATGACAAAGAATGATCTCCAGCCACCACCCAATTACTACGAGGTAATGGAGTTTGATCCCTTAGCTCCTGCTGTCACGACAGAGTAAGTCATTTACAAAATGATTAATTTATGTTTTGCCTTGGTTCTCTTTGGTAGCAGAGCTAACAGGGCTTGCTTAGACATTTAACTTTGCTTAGATCTTGGCACAAATGGATGACCTTATTAAAAATGACTTATGAGGTTTTATGGGAGCTGTTGCTCTTAATGGTCTTACCACTCTCAGCCTTGTGACTGAAACATAAAAATGCTGGGGCTGCACATTAAGAAGTAACCGGAGCCATCTCACGCATTAATGGATTCCTCGTGGACGCCCTGGCAGAAAGTCAGGTGCTCTCCCGCCTGAGAGGGGCACTAGTCACTGATTAATAGCAGAGTGACACCACACTGATGGGCTATTTGAGCTGTTCTTTGACTGCTGATCCCCCGCTACATATGACAACAATGTGCTTGGATTAATAAAACATTAGTGTAAAAATTATTTAACTTGAATTCCTTAAAGTACCATTATTTTATGATACCCTGTTGGTCAAGTGTATATAAATACAGGGTGTCCCCAAAATATATATATACAGGGTGTCTGTAGATTCTATTACATTTTAAAAATGAAATGTATTTTAATAAACAGTGGCTTTATAATTACTCAAAATTGTATATACATTCTTTTGGGACACCCTATACTTTGATTGACTGAAGGTTACCCCCAAAATTATTAAAAATGATGAAAGCAAGTTTATGGAAATCCTTGTTCATAAATTAGCAGCCAGGAGGCTGTCTCTGCCTGTTGCTGTTTCATTTGACTAGTGCAAAATTTAAATTATGCATTTAAGCCCAGCCAGTGTGAGTCAGTGGACTGAGTGTCCTTCCATGGACTGAGAAGTCCCGGTTCGATTCCCAGTCAGGGTGCATGTCCAGGTTGTGGGCCCGATCCCCAGTAGGGGGCATGCAGGAGGCAGCCACTTGATGTTTCTCTCACACATCAATGTTTCTCTCTCAAAATAATCAATAAACACATATTTTTTTTTTTAAAATGCACTTAAAAATTAATTGCTAACAGTTAAACACTTGGGTATTTATTTAAAAAATACATCTGGATGCCAGGTATTTAAAATGCCAGGTCTACATTTTTACATGCTAGCCATAGGTTGGGGCTGAGGAGGGGCTGCCTCCTTCAGACTGGGCAGGCTCTGTAGTCCACCAGCCTCCCTTCCCCTGTAGTCCACCAGCCTCCGTAGTCCACCAACCCCACCCCCCACCCCCGCCACCTGCATGCTTTCTTTGACTTGCCTGACATGTGTAGAAATTTGAGGTTTTGACCCCTAGTTTAAATGTAGTGATCCATTTTGGAATAATTAATGGATAAATCTTAATAGACTTACATGCTCATTAAATAATGTTTTCCTAACAGGATTTGACATTTCCCTAGTTCATTCTGCTTGATAAAGTTATCACTGAATGTGTTAGTGGTTTAAGGAATTAGAAATTGGTTAAACTAGATATGCTGTCTGGAAACTGAATTTTTTAAACCAGTTTTTGCATCCAAATAAGAACAGGAAGTTATTCTAGTTTACTGGGAGAGTTTTAAGTAGATATGGCGGTGCAACAGCCATTAAAGGCGAGACAGTAAACAGCTGGAGAGGCGAAGCTTAGGAATTCTCTACCCTCTATGGTTCTTCCTTTCGGGGGAGTAAGGGTGTCTCACCCTTTGACAGTCTCATGAAATCCAGGGAACTCTAAAGGAAAAGCACACAATGTTGCAGAGAAGTTTTGGGATTTTCACATCACTGGTTGTCTGTGAACTCCAGGTATATGAGATATTTATGAGGATATGCACACATACCTGCACACGATTCATTCATTTCCCAAATACACTGAACACTAACAGTGACTGGCCCAACTGATCATGTTGAACAAGAGACATGCTCCCTGTCCTCGTGGAGGTTAAATCTAGTGTGGAGGCAGAAATTAAATCAGCAGGCAGAAAAATGTTTACAATATGCGTTAATGATATGAAAGAATATGGTGACTTAACACTATAATAGGAAGGACTAATTTAAATGAAGGTTAGAGAAAGCTTGAGGAAGTGGCATTAAAGTTAAGATTGCGATTGTTTTAGTCAAGTGACAGGTTTGGGAATCGGTGTTAAGAGGCCCAGGGAACACCTGGTACTACGACCCAGAGGAGAGAGTTTGGTACATTCAAGGAAAGGGAAAAGCCAAGAGCCAAGAGGCAACAGGGAACCTTTATCAGGTGTGGAAACTGCCAGTTAGAAACCAAAAAAAGGGAGCACACAACTGTGACGAACATCAGTGAGAGGACAAGATGAGGACTGAAAACTAGATAATGGATTAAGTAACAGGAAATCATTGATTTCAGTAAAAGCCACTTTTTCTGGTAGATGGATGGGGATAGAAGCCACATTTCAGCGCATTGATAAGTTAGAAGTGGAGTAGTGACACATGACATGAGATGCTGGAAGTGGTTTGGCAGCTAGAGGGCTCCTGAGCTGATTCCCCTTAGCAGACATGGGATTACGGGCTGCATTGTTGAGGCTGGAGCACCTATGAATGCTGAGGGGTAGGACCCAGTAGACAGGGAGGAGGATTACTAAAGGAGGTAACTGAGAAACCAGGGCTGGAGAGGATCACAGAAGTAGATGATGTTGCAGATGAAAACAGACTTGAAGATTCGGGAAGATGAGGAAGTTTCCATGTCAAGGCATTTAATTTATTAATAAATGAGGCTTCTGCCCTGGCCGGTTTGGCTCAGCAGTTGGAGCGTCAGCCTGCGGTCCTGAGAGACCGGGGTTCGGTTCCTGCTAAGGGCACGTGCCTCGGTTGCAGTTTGTCCCTGGCCCTGGTCGGTTGTGCGGGTGGCAGCCACTCGATGTGTCCCTTTCACATCGATGTTTCTCTCTCTCTCTCTGTTCCTCTCTCTCCCTCCCACTCTACCTGAACAAAAAATGGAAAAATGTCCTCGGGTGAGGATAAAAAAAACAAAAACAAAAAAGAAATGAGGCTTCTGACTCAGTGAGAGGAGATCGCAGACTTGAGGAGAGTGAAGGAAGTTGGAATAGTTTTGTGGAAAATGAAGACAAAACTTATTAGGGAAACTTTTTAATATATCTGGACAACGCTGGGGCTTTCATGCCAGTGATCAAGGCTTCAGAGTGGTTTCTCTGACATTCCTTCAGCCATGTATTACTGTGTATGAATGTTATGTTTATAGATATTTCCTAGCCACAAACATCTAAGACATAAAAAGAACTGAATAAAGGATGTCACAGAAAAATTATTTTATATAATATATAAAGTACAAAGATGACATTTAAGCTAAAGATGGCTCAGGAGCTCTGGCCAGTTCGGCTGAGCAGTTAGAGGTTGGCCCGCAGACTAATGAATCACGGGTTCAGTTCCGGTCAAGGGCACACACCTCAGTTGCAGTTTTTTCCCAGCCCTGGTTGGGTTGTGCAGGAGGCAACCAGTCAATGTGGCTCTATCACATCAATGTCTCTGTCTCTCTCTCTCTCCCCCCCTCACTATCTGGTAAGTAGAAAAAAAATATAGCCTCAGGTGAGGAATAAAAACAAAAAGATAGCTCAGGAGTTTGGACTGTAATAACATAGGTTAAACCAGCTGAAATCAATGTATTTTTTAAATGTTTTAAAATAAGGAAAAGCTGAACAAATTTTTTTTTAAAGCAAACGCCAACTGTCCAAATTGTAGCCATATTTTTCATTAAATCACAATTAAAACGAATTGATTCTATATTCTTAAGATGCATAGAAATTGCACCATTAGGATCTAAGGATGCTATAATGTAAGATTCAGGGAAGAGAGTTTTGTTTTTATTCACTTACACAGCCTGAAGAGCTAAGGGCACTAGATTTTTAGTTAAGATGATATATGACCCTTCTGCCACAATGGCTTGTTTGTTTCAGAGCTATTTATGAAGAAATTGATGTTCATCACCACAAAGGCTCTCAAAACCATAGTGACTGTTGAGGTAAAGACTTCCACTTGTACAACTTTCATGCCACATTCTATGATTTCCGTGTCATTATCACTCTCTACTTTTTGTACTGACATTTTGTAAGGGCCACCTGAGTCTCAGACACTTTGATGAGTGAAATAATATTATACAAGTTCCTCCAAATCAGTCTAGTGAACTGTTTGTTCAATAATGAAATACATTCTTTGTGATCTTAGTTAACTAAAAATAATAAATCTTGGGAAAGCAGAAATTGGTTTGTGTATAGAAATATTGATGTGAACAAAAACAGATGATCAATGAAAACTTTTTAGCACTGGAATCAATTTGTCTTTTATGTGCGATTAATACCTATTAACTGAGACTGGTAGAAGCCATTCATTGTTAGCCCAGACAGGTCTGGATTATTTCTATTGGCTCTACTAGTCATCCCATTTATTAATGAATGCATGACTACTAATAGCCTATTAACCTTAATTATTACCTTCACACTCACTGCCCCCCACCCAAGGAAATGGTACTTTCCCGCCTTTCCTCTACTAGTTGTGGCTCTCTGATTGTCAAGGAATGGGGAGAGGAGAGGATGGGAGCGATGGCTGACCATCTTCTATTTGTTCTTCTATTTGTTCTTCTATTTGTTCTAGGTGGAAGTGAACGACCAGCTCACTAGCTGCATTCAGGGCAACAACTCTCTAAGAGATAGACCCTGCCCAGCGTTGAGGCCCAGAAGACAAAACCTACCAACACATCAAAAACCATGGTAGAAAATGTCTCCTCTACAATAGTGAAATTTAAACAGAAGAGGAACAGCTCAAGGTTTATCTCAAAAAAACTTGGTTTTAACATATATTCGCTTAAACCTTCAAAGAAGAAAAATTCGTTGTACTGAGGCCAACCAGGTTAATAGGAGCATCTTATGCTTCACGGGTTTTCCTACATTTAGAAATCATCACATGGCTGTGATGAGAGGAGATGAATATAATTCTGATTAGATATAAGCACGAAATGTGAGAAACTCAATATATCATTCAGGAAGAATAGTGCGTGCCTTCATTTCAATGAAGTCAAATAGAAAAGTCAATTTGTACTTCTTTATAAATAATATTCTAATTTAGAATTATAAATGTAAAAACCTTAATATTGTAGTTTATATTTCAGGTACCCTGAGGACACTACATCAAGTTGCCTTTAAATAAGATTCTTTATAATACTAAATGTTCTTTTTGTCTTTTTAATGCAATTTAATGTTTTTATCTGGAACAAAGACTACTGGAAAACATTCAGAATAAATTATGCATTCATTTATGTCATAAATTACAATGGCAAATAAATTACTATTAAAACAATTTAATTCATTTTATTTTTTTACAGAGTTTGTTCATTGCAGAACTTCTAATGTCAGTAATCTTCACATTTCTCACACATTTTAATATTCAGGGACTTGGAACTATCATAAGAAATATTAGAAGTCCAGTAGATACTTGCATTTCATTTCAATTTCATGATCCAAATATTTCAAAGTAGTTTTTCAGTACTTTGAACGTAAATTGCCCTACATCTTAAAGGAAAAACAGTCACATCTGTAATCAGAATAAAATATTTGAGCAAACTGTTAGGGCTTAGTGATTCCTCTTCTGTTTTGAGCTTTTTAAACAGAGACTATACACAATGAAAAAAAAGTAACTACCTGTTTTAGAAATATAGTCAGAACTTCTGACCTAGAACCTAAAACAACACTGGACATTAAAAATAAAATTACTGCTACAAGTATGAAGTGCTAATAATTTGGAAGGGGACTATACCTACATATTTAAGAAACAAAGCAGTTTTTTTTAATACTTGGCAATACTATGGTTTTGAATAGTCATACATTCTAAATAGGCATGTTGATTCCTTATGATAAAAAGCTGAATCTGTTCTCTCAATTTTAAGTAGGGTAAATGGGGGAAAAAACATCAGTACATAATATTTAAAACAGAAGGCACAAAACAGAATGGAATACACTATAGTAGAGTGTTTCTCTTCTGAGAAGACAAGATACATGATTTTTCAAAAATCACTAATCTGAAGCAGGACTTAGTTGCCAACTTCAATTATAGCCCGGAACTGGCAACGTGTGCCCCTCCTTGGCTTCAAAAAAAGTATAAGAAAGAGTGATGAGATCAACATTCACCATTCTTGGGTCTTCAGCAAATTCAGGATCAATGTAGAAAAACACTGGCATATCTACTTCCTCTTGTGGATTAAGCCTTTGTTCTTCAAAACAGAAGCACTAGAAGTTACAGAAAAGTATTTGTTTATTAGTATTTCTATTCTAGTATCTATAGTAGAAACTAATGGTGCATTTCTTGGTTTTAATGAGCATACTGTTAAACATAATCTTTAAATTCTGTGACAGGGTAACAGCATCTTTTCATCCCAGATTAAGTTCTGCTTTAAGGATTGAGAGTCAACACATTCTTCTAGTCTTAAAAGCAGATTTCTATGCGGTCTGGCTCTAACCCTCTACATAGCTGTTATAAGCAATGGGAAAAACATTTTTCGAAGTTTAGAATAAATGAGTTTTCAGAAATCAGTACCTACTAAAACACTGCAGTAAATTTAGTACTAAACAGTTTTTTTACTTTTATCATATTCTACAGTTCACATTTAGTTGTACCTGTATTTTATTGAAATACTGTCCGGCTTCAAATGGTACAACATTGTATGTAGAAATTCCAATTATTGGTTTGTCAGTAGGATTCTTAGCTTTATAAAACGCCAATGCAGTCTCTCCAGGCACTACCTGTTTTTTAAAAAATATATACATTATCAATACTTTAAATCTCACATAGCTCCTTTCCCTACTAAATCGATCGTATTTTTCCTACCCATCAGACCATAATACCTAATCTGAACTAATGTTAAAAGTCAACAAAATAGTGAATACTACCCGTGAACATCTGACATTCAAGTTTTATTTGTTTACAGAAACAATGCTTATTTATGCATACTTACTTTTGGATTGTCCTCTTGTATACCTGAAGTCTTCAAACAATAATCTTCAAATTAATTGAAAATGTTTTCAAGGACATAACAGCTCAAGTCTAATTTAACACTTATTCCTAAATATTATTATGATTGACTAAAACTTCTTTCAAAAAGGTTACCAATATTAAACTTTGCTTACAGAGTAAATTAAACTCATAACCAGACTAAAGTAGACTGAATAGAACTTTTATTTAACCAAAGGGCACCAATAACTTTTTTAAGAAAGATATGTTGCAAAACTTAAATAAATTTCTGTTACTTGTACCAATTCAGCCACTGATACCTTGTATACTACTATGTGAATAAATTAATATTCAAAATCATCACCTATAAAACCCTCAATCATTGAAGTGATTCAGTCATGTTTACTAACCTGGGAAAGCACTGTGAAGGGTTTTTATAAGAGTTACAATTAAGATTTTCTGGCTACTCAGTTCAAGAAATAATTTCATTAAATCCTCCTGGAGTCCAGTTAGTCCAGATTTTAGGAAACCTTTAAGGTACATTCTTTCTGAAGTAGAACATGACTACTATGGTTACTTTAATAGTCCTCAAAATTTATTTTTTAAGGAACAGGCATACTTTTGATGTAAATTTGTAAACTCTACTTTTCATTTTAAGCAATGATTTTCAACATTTTTCCTATCCAATCATTTAAACTTGAGGAAAAGTCAACTATGTAACATAACAGCTCCTTTTCTCAAGTACAGACCACAGAATAACTTCTTCGTGAATTCTTAACATGATTCTAACAGAAACACGACATTTTCCATTGTTTCAAAATGACTTTTATTATAGCACCATGTAACTGAAAAGTTAAAGCATAGTCTGTTACATTACCTGTTGGGCACTGTCAAAAAGTAAAAAGTAATTGTGGGAATAAAAGAATTACAGTAATGGAGTCTGTCAATATTTTGAAGTGAAATTTAGATGAATGTTTCCTAAATTATGAAAGTTTAAGCAAGGAAAGGAATTTTTACACTGAAATAAGTCATCTTTTAATCAGCATTTTCATCACTTACATATATTTCTGTTTGCTGAGGTCTGAAGTTCCACTGGAGACTTGCATGCACATCCGCATTAAAGGTGACTTTAATGATGCGATCCTTAACGGGCACCATGTTTTCAATCTGGTCTGACCCGTGACCTGCAGTTACTGATCCTCCAAGTCCAGTAGTCTAGAAAGAGAAAGTATAATATGTTACTTATTTCTTCTAGGTGCTGATGATCTACTGGATAAAATAATTTCAAACACCATTTAACTTTAATAATCCAGTAGGAGCCAAGTTTACACACTATCACTGACCATTTTCTGTGAAATGTGCCAAATGGTTTAACCACTTTGGGTGTGCAAAGGGCCTAAATTTGTTAAAGTCATATTTTTTCAGTAATCATTTGGCTATATGGCATGGTAAAAAATGAGTCATTTAACCTGGCTGGTGTGGCTCAATGTTTGTGTGTCGACCCATGCACCAAGAGGTCACTGGTTCGATTCCCTGTCAGGGCACATGCCCAGGTTGTGGGCTCAAACTCTAGTAGTGGACGTGCAGGAGGCAGCTGATTGAAGTCTCTCTCTCTCTCTCTCCTTTCCTCTCTCTCTAAAGAAATCAATAAAAACATATTAATATAAAAAATGAGTAATTTGGAATAGAGCAGACACTCCACTGAAAAGACAGCTCAGAATATTTAGCTTGTTCATTAAACATACTTTCCTTTATTGCTAGCATTTCATATGAACTATTAATAGAAATAAAATTTACCCACAATCCTGTCATGTTAGTAAAACTATTTAAATAATTGCATTTTTCACACTCCTGTCTGGTCCTTTTTCTATTATACCTTTTTAGCACAAATTAGTTTTAGCTTCACTTCTGCGGTCTGCTTTTCTCAAGCATAAGTATTTTCCCATGTGGGTAAATGGTTTTTGTAATTTTTTTTCTGTATTTTTGGTATAGTACAGCTACTACAGATATCCATCAATTAGAGAACTTAATCCCTTTAGCCACTGAATCAACTAATCGTAAAACAACGAAATAATCTGTATGACACGTCTTCCCTGTCTTCATTGACATTATTTCATCATCAGAGATGCTTAAAAAAAAATCCTTACTTCCAGGGTCATCATTCTTCTGATGCTTGAGGTTGCCAGAATTCTGGTCTCCGGATAATTAATCTGTTACTATACTAGGAAAAAAATACCAAATTTGAGGCTTGGGGAAGACTCCCAGCAAAATATAGTATTATTATCTTCCACTTGTTACACAAGTCAGCTAGCTTCACTTGACTGCCGCTCAACATTATTCAATTACATTATAATCCTAAAAGGATGCAACAGGAGGCAAGTCTTTATCCTTGTTTAATAGATAAGAATATTCTTCTGTCCAAGAAGGCTATAATACTTAGGTTTTAAGATATAACTCCTTTTCCTAAAGAATTTGAGTCACTTGAATATCAATTACTTAATACATTCTTTCTGACAAAGTCTTTGAATATATTTAAATTTATAAGTCTGATGATCAGATAAATAGAAAAGGGCACTGAAAAAATATGTCCTAGACTCTAGTTCTGCTACTCACTGGCTCCAAGAACTGAACACATCTTACTTTCTTTGGGCACACTTTGCAGACTCAGAAAATGAGGTCACTGTATTAAGTGGTTTATATAATCCCTTATTTTTGCCTCTAAAGTTCTGATTCCAAAAATGAAAAAGATACTCATCTGGAAATGTCACTATTTAACATCCAACTGATTTACATTTAGGATCACAAATTACAACTGTTCTTACTTTTCTGCTCTGCACATGCATACATAAAATACTTTCATAAAACTTCAGTTTGGGGCAGGATTTCTCAACCTTGGCATTAATGACATTTTGGGATGGATAATCCTTTTTTTTGGTGGTGGTGGTGGTGGTGGTGGTGGTGGTGGTGGTGGTAGGGGTGGGGGTGTGTCTTGTTCGTTGTTAGATGTTTAACAGCATCCCTAACCTCCACCTACCAGATACCCACCCTCCTGCCAGGTTGTGACACCAAAAATGTCTTCAGTCACTGCTAAATATTCTGAGGAATAAAAGCAACTTCCCCCTCCCCATGTGGTTTGTGGAAATCCATACTTGCTGTTTTGGGTTCAGTTCCGCTGATTTAATCAACTGGTAGTTTCTGGATTCATGCTCCAGGTTGGCCTCCAATGAAAACTAATTTACATTCTACACTCATCCTCCACAAATCAAGAGGTTGCACTTTCCCACATAAATGCTGGTATTAGGAGACTGAAAAGTCCTTTTGACTTCTGTTTCAGTCGTAACAAATAAAGGCATGTTAATCTCTGTAAATTCAGGGGAAGTACGCCAGGCACTAACAGTGGAATCAAAGATTCTGAGGAATCTTTAAAATATTACTAGTGCCCGAGTCCCACTCCAAGACATTCTGATTTAACTGGTTGGGGATATGATCTGGATGGCAGGATTTTAAAAAGCTCACCAGGTGATTCCCACTTATGACAAAGTTTGGGAACCATTCTCAAACACTAACAATCCAATATATAGCTCTTACTTGTGGCATCTTTTGTAAATTCCTGGTCCCTACCCAAACCACCTAATCAGAATCCCTGGGGGTAGCACAGCCCTGGCATGTTAACTTACGAAGCTCCAAGGCTGATCCTAATCCCAGCCAAAGCTGTAAATTACTACTTAAGCACTAAGGAGTAGTATATGAAGTAGGTGAAGTTTGCCTTTGCCAGTGGTCCTCAAACATTACTTTGCATCAAAATCACCTGGAGGGCTTATTAAAATACAGATTGCTGGGCTCTGGCCCTTAAGTTCCTCATTCAGTAGCTGGGACCAAGAATTTTACTTAAGTTCCTAGGTGATGTTGATGCAGCTGGTCCCCAGGACCAGACTTTGAGGGCCATTTAGTTTCTTATCTAAAGGGAGCCCAGGATAAGCACATTACAGTTATATATTAACGGGAATGAGGCTCTCCAAGGCCTAATTCATGTCTCTTTTTATGGATAAAAAGCTACGCCCTGTGTAAGCACAAGTGACACGCAGACTCCCATTTCCAGGGCTAACCTTCGCACATAAACCGTGTGGTTCACAGAATTCATGCATTAATACAAATTACATTTCAAAAGCGGGCACGTCTGTGAGCAGGAGGGTAAGGCAGATCGCTGGACCCGGAGTGCAGGCTGCGGACCTTTCTGGTGCGCTCGGAGGTCAGAGCATTTCACCCGCAGCGTGGTCGGCAGAAGCACGATCAGCACAGGGGGCTGGGTTCCACTTGCAGCTTTGCCGCTACTTCTTTGGTGCCCTTGGCCAAGCCACCTTTTTGAACCCGGTCCCTCTTGGGGTCATGACCTCGGTCGTCCCTTCCAACAGGACACCGCCCGGTGGGCAGCGCCAGCTCCTACCTGGCAATAGAGCCGGTAGAGAGGCACGGCGGCGTAGGACGCCCCCAGCATGCCCACGGCCGCCGCGGCCACGTACGTGAGCACGGTCTTGTTCCGCCGCCGCCACTCCTCCTCCTGCGCGCGCGTGTAGGGGTTCGTGCTCTTCGGCCGCCGCGCCGGCTGCACGGCCAGGTCTGCGGTCAGACTCGGGCGCCTCCATGTTCCGAGCCGCCTCGGCCCCCTCTCAGCACCCCCTGTCCCGCTCCCCCCCGGCCTGAGACCGTGCTCTACCCTCTCCGCAACGCCGGTCGGGAGCCTCAGGGGCCTCCAGCACCAACCACAAAGAGCGACGCGACTCCATCCCGGACGCCAGAGCCCTCCCATAGCGTCCGGAAAAAACGCCCGTCCGTCACGCGCGAGGTAAGATCTCGCGAGGCCTGCTCTATCTCGCGATATCGGAGTTGAGCCTGCCGCTACCTTGGCTACCGGGCTACTCTGGAGGCTGGCTGCGCTTGCAGCGGAGCTACGGAGGCCGGGTTGCCAGGACACGGTAAGTTCGCGTTTTGCTTTATGACTGTTCCTCCCACTTTGCTTGCTTCCAGTTACCTAGCTCACTTGTGGGAAAACGCCTTGCATTCCTCCGCGTGCATCCGTCATCACTTGGGTCTGTGTCCCTGGTCTTCCTAAACTCCATCAGCCTTTGTCTCGACCTGGCGGCCCCCAGTGGCCGCTGTCCCGCGGCCCTTTTACCTGGGGCCCTCTGGCCGCCCGCCCGCTACTTCCCGCCCCGGACCTGGGCTCCAGGCTCACCTGTCCTAGGAAGCCTTCCCGTGGTAGCCAACCACAGCCCACGCGAACACTCACGTGCATTTTCTCAGCTCCCGAGAGTCGGCTTCTACTGCCCTGATGACCCTGTGCTCCTTGCCCGCTGAAGTCACCTCTTGGGGCAGGAGAGACGCTGTCCATCTGAAGTTAGTTCACGGGAGAATGGCCAGAACAAGGATAATTTCAGGAAGGACTGAAGGAAAGGGGGATGCTCATCTTGGGAAAGAAACGTGTAGGGGATGGAATAGCCCTCTTCAGTTATCCCACAGGACACACTGGGATCTGCGGGGGCAGCGTGGCCGATTTTGCTGTGATGGAAGGAAACATCTTTCTAGATGCTATAAAGTAGCAGTTAAGAGCTCAGAAGTTAGGTCTGGATTCATACCTGGGTCTCCACTTTGACCTTGTGGCCTTAGGCTTAGTGACCTGATTTGTAAAATGGGAATCGGGATAGTGAGATTATGTATGTAACATGATTTTCACAGTGCCTGAGACATAGCAAAAAAATTTAGCAAAGTTAGCTTTCTTTCTAATGACCAGAGAGAGCTGCCTGAGAAGGGAAATGATTTTAAGTCATTCAACATTTATTTATTTCACTCTTGCTGTGGATCAGACCCTGTTCAACCTACTGGGGCTACAGCATAGAAAAAGTCAAACAAGATTACTTCTCTTATGGAGAGTATTTTCTTCTGATGACTCAGGAGATAATCAGTAACAGATACATAAGTAAGGGACTTTCACGTAACATTCTGTACAATGAAGACAATGGGATGAGATAATAGTGTGATTTTATTGCGTGTTTTTTTTTTCTTTCAAGGGTAAAATTTTTGTTTTCGAGGAATCATGCTGCACATTTTCAAAGAGAACCATATAAGAAAGCAAAAATGTTATCTTCTCCATAAAATTTCTTTTTAAATCAGGACACTTGGGCCCTGGCCGGTTTGGCTCAGCGGTTGGAGCGTCGGCCTGCGGTACAGAGAGACCCAGGTTCGGTTCCCGCTAAGGGCATGTACCTCGGTTGCAGTTTGTCCCCGGCCCTGGTTGGTCGTGCGGGTGGCAGCCACTCGATGTGTCCCTTCACGTCGATGTTTCTCTCTCTCTCTCTCTTCCTCTCTCTCCCTCCCGCTCTATCTGAACAAAAAATGGAAAAATGTCCTCGAGTGAGGAAAAAAAAACCAAAACAAATCAGGACACTTGGAAGTTTATTTAGCACCAGCACTCAAAATGAACAGAAAAGGGAGGGGGAAAAGCATTTACTATATATTAAAGATTTCTTTTGTTGAGGTTCTCCCCAGGTGCTATTAATATTTCTTCTTTCAATTCATATTACCCAAACAGTAAAAACCAGGGGGGGGGGGGGGGATATATGTGTGTGTGTGTGTGTGTGTGTATATGTGTGTGTGTATATATATATATCCTAGTGGTTGCTGAAACTGGGAAGGTTTCTCTCTTGCCTTCTGTGCAGGCATTCCTGGAAAAATGGCTGGGAAAATCGGCTGACCGTCTCTTTTTATGCTAGTTTGTTTTGTAAAGAATAAAATGTCTACATCTTGGTTATCGGTCTTTCACTTTATTGCTTGGATGTTTGGTGTTGGTAAGATCCTGGTCTACTTTTTGTTTCATATTTAGAATGGTCATTAATTCTTTAGGTCACCTGCTGATGGTGAAGGTGCCTGGGGAGCCTGGTGGTACTCAGCACTGCTCTGCTGGGGGGCTGGAGCAGGGTTCTCAGATGTGGCTTCACCTGCCTTGGTCTCTTTGCCATCTTGTGAAGGAGCATTAGTTGTAGGGGCACCAGTATCCACTGAGAGCAGATAGCTGGTTTGGACCATTGGATGCTTGTTGACCATTGGAGGCTTCAGCCTACCACAGCTAGGGTAGGTCAAGGGCAAGAAGGTCCCCTACAGTACCTTGTAAGATAAGTTGGATTTCAAACCCATCCCTGAAGTTGCACTCACTCTGGAACTCCATCCTTCATCTTTCCAATCTCACCAGCATTATGAGGAGGTCCATGGCATCTGCCGTAGCAACCACATCTGTACCTACCGGGGCCCATTAGCAGTGTAGCGGCTCCCTTCTGCAGATACTCTACCTGGGCCAGTCACATTGGCTGCTTCAGCACCCTTCTCCTTCAACCGCACCAACTCTACAGTTCCTCCATCACCTACACAGCACGGGCATTTCCGTGGGTTATTCTTCTAGATGGCAGTCGGTTTATAAATCCATATCCATTTCTGATGTTAAACCATTTGACAGTGCCAGGGACTTTGGTGGTGAGAACTTTTTACCCCACCGTCTTCACTGCCCGCTGCTGCTGAAGAGGCAGGGCCGCAGGGCCACAGGGATTTCCTACAGCAGGCACTGGGGCCCGAGGCCTGGGGTATCTCGCCCACCAGGCTCTTGGGCGCAGGTTCCTGGGGGACCACGGCAGCCGCCCCCACGGAGCCTGCAGAGGGTGGTGGTGGAGGTGGTGGTGGCCTCACCAGTCTCGCTTATGCCACCTCCTTTGCTTTCTCTTGGGCACCTCGGTGGCAGCTATTTGGCGGTTAGCTCTGCTGGTGGTCCCAGCGGCCTGCATCGCTCTTGGGGAGGCCTGTACGGATATCTAGGCGCCGGTGGCCCCAGTCAGGGTCGGGTCTCATGGCAGAGGTGGCTTGAGCCCTCCGGCTGAAGTTCCTTGATAATTGTGTGATTTTTAAAATATGTTTCTATTGATTTTTTTAGTGAGAGAGGAAGGGAGAGAGAGAGAGAAACATCAATGTGAGAGAGAGACATCTATGGGCTTCCTCTTGCAAGCCCCCGACTGGAAATGGAACCCCAACCCGGGCATGCGCCCTGACTGGGAATGGAACAGGGACCTCTCAGTCCATGGGAGGACGCTCAATCACCAGCGGATAATAGTGTGATTTTAAACAATGAGGAGGAGGCATCAAGTCAAGTCTTACTGAAGATGTGACATTTGAGCCTAGTCCTGAATGATGATGAATTATCTGTACAATGACAATTCTAAGCCATGCAAAGGCCCAGAGTCAAGAAAGAAATAGCTACCACCGAAGAACAAACAGGAGACCAATGTGTTCCCAGTGCAGTGAGCAGGGAGGAAAGTGGTGGGAAGTGAAGTCAAAGCAGGGATACAGAAGCCAAACAATGCAGGAGCCTTTTAAGCCATGTCCAAAGTTTTGGGTTTTATTCTAAAATTATTAGGAAGCTGTTGGTGAATTTGAAGCATACAAATGATATGGTGTGATTCACATTTTTATTGTTTGTGTTGTAGAGAATGGATTAAAGGGAGGGGGACAAAATGGATGTAGGCAATTGCAGTAGTCCAGGTGAATGATGATGGTCACGTTGAGTGAGTAATTGATTAACTTGTGATCACAAGGCCAGAAAATTACAGTGCCAATAAAATCCAAGCACCTCTGACTCTTTTATACTCAGGCACAAAAATCTCAAGATTCTATGATTTTACAAATTTATTTGTATTGTTTTATGAGAATGTTTGAAAATCTTTTTCGTCTCTATCTCCCTTAGCTCTTATACCAGATTGTCAGATCTTTCAGGACAAGATCTGTCATATTTTAAATTTCTTACAGCATAGACTCAAACCCCATGCAAACGTTAATGTCACTGAAAGCAAGAGTACATTCTCTCCGACATTCTTTTTTTCATGTAGCAACAGGTAGCAGTCATAGTGTCTTTGTCTTAGATTCTATTATTTGATTTTGTTTTGTAATTGCAAATGAAACTATTCCTTTCCAAGGTACAATAATTATGATAGCAATAAAGTCGTGTTGGCTGCAATTCCTGTGAATCTGAGTCTACTTGTGATAATGCATAAATTATTATGATAACTAGTGCTAAATAGTGGGTTCTACCTTGAATGGAATGGGAGCACCTCAGAGCAGCACTAGTACAACCTTGTTCTGCAGGTAGAGATGTTGATTACGAACTTAAAATATCAAGGGCTAGCCCTGGCCAGTTTGGCACAGAGGTTATTAGAGCATCGGCTCGAGGACTAATGAGTTGCGAGTTTGTCCAGTCAAGGGCACGTAGCTCTGTTGTGATTCATCCCTGGCCCTGGTTCGTACCTGCAGGAGGCAACCAGTTGATGTGTCTCTTTCATATGGATGTTTCTATCTCTCTCTCTATCTCCCTCGCACTCTTTCTGAAGATAAATAGAAAAATATCCTGGGGTAAGGATAAAATAGATATAGATATAGATATAGATATAGATGATATAGATATCAGGGGCTGGACTGAGATTTCAGACTTGGGAGCTTTAATTTGTAATGCCATTCTTGTTTTTTGTTCAGATAGAGTGGGAGAGAGGGAGAGGAAGAGAGAGAGAGAGAGAGAGAGAGAGAGAGAGAGAGAGAGAGAGAAGCATTGACATGAAAGGGACACAGTGAATGGCTGCCGCCCGCACGACCCAACCAGGGCCGGGGACAAACTGCAACCGAGGTACGTGCCCTTAGCGGGAACCGAACCCGGGTCTCTCTGGACCGCAGGCCAACGCTCTTAACTGCTGAGCCAAACCGGCCAGGACTGTAATGCCATTCTTCAGCCATAAATAATTAATCCTTGTGAACCCTTTCTAGTTAGCTGTGATCTTGTCTAATTTTACGTAGTAGGTAAAATAGGTTGTTATGTTTGTACAAGTCATTTTTGAGACGGGGAGTGAGAGAAATGGTAAAGGTGAAAAAGAAAGAAAAAGTCAGTGTTGATAGTCACACGGTGTTTTGCTATCTGATTATTGCTATTCAGACTTTCTGAAGACTTAAGGGTTATAAAGCTGTGTTATTTTTAAAATTTGATCTCTAATTGCTTTTTTAGGCACTTTATTGGATAATATAAATTAAGGAAATTGCAGCTTAAAATTTAATATGTTAGTCACTGAGCCGTATTTCATAACTGTCTGTTTGTCTAATAAAGTGACTGGGTTCATTTGGCAATGTGAAATACCTAACAATCAATCTAGCATGACAAACAACTCTGTATTTGGTAGCTATATATTACAAGACTTTCCTTGTACCTAAAATAGGAAGAGTAATGCATTTGAATAAATAGTGAGACAAATGAATTCTAGTTTTTGCAGGAGACTAGGCTGAATAATCACTGCTTTCCAATGAGATTAGTTCACACCATGGCACACAGTTGCCTCAGTATGTCTTGATATCCTAGTTTCTTATTCCTGGCATCTTCTTTTAAGCCACATTTTTCAGGGGCTACTCCATTTACAAGGCTTTAAATGAGTTGATATGATTGACAGATAAGATTAAATGAAAACAGAAGTTGTTCATCAGTAGAAGGCATTTATTTTTTTTCAAGTAACATTTGTCAAGATCAGGGCCAGCTTCGTGGGTGTGTGACCTGTGCAGCTGTACAAGGCCTTACTTTTAAAGGGGCCCCAGGCTTAGTGGGGCTCGGTACTTGGTTAATGCTCTTCTGTCAGGATCTTGAGGTGTTGTTGTTTTTTAATCTGGGGCTTGCATTTTCATTTTGTACTGGCCCCAATATACATATTATATTCCAAATGAACTCACAGACTGACATTCTTACATAATTCAGGCTAAACACAGTCAGCCTATCTGGAATAAGCAGAGGTCAGCGGTAAGAGATAGGTCTCCTTTCTGCAGCCCATACGGCCCTAATTAATCTAGACCCTGTCTACTTCTCTAACTTTCTATTCGATCTATGTCTGTCTGCATTCACCATGCTCTAGCCACTCTCCTTTCTGTGCAGTAAACACCCCAAATTTATTTTGCTGCCCTGAGGCCTTGTCTATGCATGTTTTCCTCCTGACTGACCTATTATTTCGATCTTGGCAGAAACACCGCTGCCCAATCTGAATTAGTATTCCTCTGTCTAGTCAAATTTGACTATATCATCTTTTAGTGTCTAAAAGTTAGTTCATTTTGCTCTTCCTTTTTAAAAAAAAAAAATATTGTTTTTCTCCCAACACCAGAAGGTAAATACTGTAAAAGCAGGGACCTTGGATTGTTCAGCATAATAACACAGGCACTTAGCATAGTGTCTGGCCATGACTGTGCCCGGTAAATGTATGGTGGATGAGTGCATGAATGTAGTAAGCAGAAGGGAGTCAGATAATCTAAGGAAGCTTCTGAGAACAGTGCACAGTTACTCTGACGAGGATCTCATGTTTCAAAAAATCTAGGACTCCTTTGAAGCTTTCTGGTATTTCCCACAGGATTGGACTGTGTATTACAGGCAGACGCTGTGCGTCAACCCCCAAGACAAATGAGCAGCATTCCTGAACTGTTTAGATTCCTGAAAGGGAAAAAAATACACTAGTAGCTGGAAAATTGCTTTTGGGTACAGAATATAGGAGATAGTAAAAGAACCCTTTGATCTTGCTTTATATCTTGATTTCTTGAAACTTTCATGTCCTTTTAAAAAGATCAATTAAGCAAAGTCTAGCCCAAGGAAGGGAGTTATTCCTGATTTTTGCCTGTGTTCTTAAACAACTGTAGGATTATATAAATAGCACATGCTATCTTGAGGAATCTCTGATGTGATAAAATATACAAATTACCAGTTTCTAACCACTGCTATTTTTTGGCTTCTTAAGTATAACTCTGAATCTACAGGTCTAACTTATAACAAGCAATATTTACATTTTTAATATCAGTTCCAGTGAATCAGTGAAGTGTAGGTATTTCTAACTTGTCAGTCACAGAATCCACACAGATTATTTATTGGGTACCAGCACCATTGTGCCCTCCTCCTCTTGCGAAATGACCTTAAGATAACATTTCACTAAATGAGTACTCTTTTTCACTCCCTGCAATTCCTCCCAAATGACCCACGTATAGGCTGCCCCATTCCATTCATGGACCAGACTGATCTTAAAGGTTTTAAAAATAAAATTTAAAAAGTGTTTTTATTGATTTCAAAGAGAAGAGGGGAGAATGGAGAGAGAGAGAGAAGCATCCATGAGAGAGACATCTATTGGCTGCCTTGTGCATGCCCCACCCTGGGGATCAAGCCCACAGCCTGGGCATGTGCCCTGACTGGGAATTGAATTGGTGGCCTCTTGGTGCATAGGAGGACGCTCAGTCCACTGAGCTACACCAGCAGGGCTTTAAAAATATTGGAAAAAACAATTCTCCCCTCAAAAACAAAAACTGGGGAACTTGTAGTTTAATAAACCTGGAGTCGAATTTTTTTTTTTTTTTTTTTTTTAGCCCAATAGAACCTTTACAGGTCATTTTATAAATTGCCTTGTCATTCTGCACATGAAGAAACGGATGCAGAGTAGTTGAGAGGCCGCTCAAGGTCGCATGGCTAATGGGCAGCGGAAATGGATCTCCAGCTTGGATATCTTCGCCTCCAGACCCACGCTCTTCCTGATGCATTGCACCTTTTTTTCTTCTTCTTTTTCAATCAAACGTAACTGTTTATTACTGGAGAAGAGAAAAATGTATACAAGAAAGTCCAGATTTCTTTTCCTCATGCACTACTTTTGTAATACAGTTCCAAATGTTAACTTTGAAAATATTCATAAGGATAACTTTTTTTAATGTGACCATTGTGGACATTTTAAAAATAGAAATCATATACTTAAACTAAATAAATTCTTATAGTTTACAAGAAGCCTAGAACATTGTATTAACAGAAGACAATATATTTTGCTGCAAAATATTATAAAAGTGATAGTTTCGTACCTCTTAAATGCTTAATTACTTGATTTGAACAAATCAATGAGTTAAAAAAAGAACTGAACAGGAAAATCAAGTCAGGCCTGGCTTTAAGTTTTTTTGTATTCGATGGGTTCTACTTTCCCGTCATCTCCAATTAGCTGATACCCATGAGTGACAGCTGTAGAAGCCTGGCATGTCTATCGGCACAAATGAAGGAATAATGTTTGTTTCCAGGCATTATATGCACCAGTGGCAGACCCTGGGTTAATGTAGAATTTCTTTTCATGCTCCAGTGCTTCAAATTTGTGTGTGTGTGTCCCAAGATAAGAAGGCCCACATCCAAGTGCCACTGTGACAGGGTTAAGCTGGCCGTCTCTACCCGTGGAATGATGTTATGTCTTGAACTGTGGAGCAGCCACAGCTCTGTTCTGGGTAATCCAGGTCCTCACCAGAGCCTCCTCTCCCAATATGAACATCACTTGCCATAACTTTCTTTGGTGCAAAGATTTCCAGGGCAGAGAATGTGTTGACTTTTTTCTGGTAACAGCAGTTTTTTGTTTGTTTATTTTGTTAATTCTCACCCAAGGATATTTTTTCTATTGGTTTTTAGAGAGAGTGGACGGGAGGGGGAGAGAGAAACATCAATGTGAGAGAGACACATCGATTGGTTGCCTCCTGCACATATCCCGACCAGGGCTGCGATCGAACCTGCAACTCAGGTATGTGCCTTTGACCAGGAATTGAACCCAAGACTCTTTGGTGCAAGGGCTGGCGCTCTAACCACTGAGAACACCGGCCAGGGTGCTGTTTTTTAAACCCAGCCGGCAAACTGTTGCACTAGTGTAGGATGTTCAGTTCTCGTACTGGCACCAACATCCTGCCACTGGGCTTCACCCAGTGCACTTTCAAAGATAAGACCAGTGGCAAGGAGAATTCCAAAGTGTTTGTTTTTTCAAACAGAATACTTTCAGGTGAAATTGACATTAAACACTGGAATTAATTCTTTTATTTATTCATTAACATTGTGAGTTTATACTGTTTGTAACCCTTTACTCTCATATTAGTGGCCTCTTTTCTTGTATGATTGTTTAAGTTGATTTTTAATGAGAGAAGAAGAAGGAGGAGGAGGAGAAGGAGGAGAGGGAGAAGGAGAGGGAGGGAGAGAGAGAGAAACATCCATGTGAAAGCGAAACATTGATCTACCTCCTGCACATCCCCCTACCGGGGATCGAGCTTTCAACCTTGGCATGTGCCCTGACCAGCAACCTTTTGGTGCTTGGGACGATGCCCAGCCAACTGAGCCACCCTGGCCAGAGCTTAGTGGGCTCTTTTGAGGGTAAGAAGATACAAGCCAAGGTCAATCTGCCATTTTTAACTGAAAACCAAATTTTTAAAAAATTTAACTTTGTTAAGGTATAATTGACTTATAACAACGTATATTTAAAGTGAACCAATTTGGTTAGTTTTGACAAGGGTATTCATTTGTAAAACCATCACTATTGCCTACTACACCTGTAAAGAAGCAGGCTCGGAAAAGCCTGGCAGCTCAAATTGGAACCCAGGTGTATCTGATGTCAAGATCATGCTCTCGGTTCTGCAGCCTGAATTCGAGCTAGGGAAACACCATTGGCTATTATTTGTGTAGGGAAAGTACACTGTTTCTAGCTACTCATTTCTTTAAGAAGATTGAGTTGTGCTAAAGTAGCGTAAAATCTTTTTTAGCTTCACGTCTGTATGCGTCATATTTCTTATGAAGAGGTGGTAAATCTCTGTTCAAATATTGGTTTTTTAATTAAATGACACCACTCTTCTCTGTAATCTTCACAGAGAAGTTATAAGAGACATTAAAATAATTTATTTTCTTTTGATAGGAAATTATTGAAGAACCTTGCGGAGTAATATGAGTCAGAGTAATCTAGGATCTACGGGAAGTCCCTCAAGATAGTTGGTGAGACAATAGGAATTTCTGTTTTCTTCAACAGCCTATTGTGTAATTATTTGCAGACATTCTGACTATAAACTTCCTAGCCTTGTGCTCACAAGAGACATTTCCCTCAGTCTTTTATTATTATGTGCTTTTTAAACTTACTAATGGTGGAAGCTATTAATAGTTACCTAAAGCTTACCTGTGTTCTTCACTTCTGTCAGAAATTGCAGAGTTCATATAGATATAGATGTTGATTATCATACCAAGTATGTTGCTATACCTATATCTACTTATCTATCTGCAGAACTATCTTTACATTTCTCAGATATTATAGGCAATGACTGAAATGACATAGCCCAAAATAAGTAAAATTCATCTAACATCTATACATAGGCATGTATTGTGCATGTGCCAAGTGTATGAAATGTTTTTATGCAAAGTTTAAAGCACATTTGACTGTTCTAAGATATGATACTGTTTTCTGCCTTCCCAATCTTAGGAAAAGAAGAATTTATAGACTCTCCATCAAGATTTTCATTTACACGGCCGTTAAATGCAAGGCTACAGTGACGAAACCATGAATAAAAATACATCTGCTGTCGTACCATCCAGTCTACCTGAAAAGTAATTGTTAAATTAAATTTAGTATGTTTTGAACTATTATAGTTTGGAATATGAAGAATATTAACAAATATCTGGGGGAAAGTCGTGTACTGCTAGCAGCCTGTGCTCTAGGATGGCCGTAATATCTGGGGGAAAGTCGTGTACTGCTAGCAGCCTGTGCTCTAGGATGCCCGTAGTATCTGGTGGAAAGTCGTGTACTGCTAACAGCCTGTGCTCTAGGATGCCCGTAGTATCTGGTGGAAAGTCGTGTACTGCTAACAGCCTGTGCTCTAGGATGCCCGTAGTATCTAGTGGAAAGTCGTGTACTACTAGCAGCCTGTGCTCTAGGATGCCCGTAGTATCTGGTGGAAAGTCGTGTACTGCTAACAGCCTGTGCTCTAGTATGCCCGTAGTATCTGGTGGAAAGTCGTGTACTGCTAGCAGCCTGTGCTCTAGGATGGCCATAATATCTGGGGGAAAGTCGTGTACTGCTAGCAGCCTGTGCTCTAGGATAGGATAGCAGTAATATCTGGTGGAAAGTCGTGTACTGCTAGCAGCTTTTGCTCTAGGATAGGTTGGCCGTAATATCTGGTGGATAGTCGTGTACTGCTAGCAGCCTGTGCTCTAGGATAGGATAGCCGTAATATCTGGTGGATAGTCGTGTACTGCTAGCAGCCTGTGCTCTAGGTTGGCCGTAATATCTGATGGAAAGTCGTGTACTGCTAGCAGCCTGTGCTCTAGGTTGGCCGTAATATCTGATGGAAAGTCATGTACTGCTAGCAGCCTGTGCTCTAGGTTGGCCGTAATATCTGATGGAAAGTCGTGTACTGCTAGCAGCCTGTGCTCTAGGTTGGCCGTAATATCTGACGGAAAGTCGTGTACTGCTAGCAGCCTGTGCTCTAGGTTGGCCGTAATATCTGATGGAAAGTCATGTACTGCTAGCAGCCTGTGCTCTAGGTTGGCCGTAATATCTGGGGAAAAGTCGTGTACTGCTAGCAGCCTGTGCTCTAGGATGGCCGTAATGAGAAGCTGCTCAATAATCCCCTTACAGTGTGAATCAGCATGGAGGCCAAGTCTGCATTCTCTTTTACAATTGTTTTTAGAGTTTGCTTTATAAAAAAAACTTGATGTAATTTTTGAATATCTAAAACATTTTACAATTTTGGTATGAAAATAACATAATATTAACTTTTGCTGAGTAGCAAACCACCCCCAGAGTGCCTTCAAAATGCAAGCTTTTGTTCTTGTCATGATTTTGTGATTAATTCATGTGTTCTGGAGCCTTACCCGGGAAGGCGGATGACTGAGGTCTCTCTCCACCGCGTCACTCATCTTCCAGGAGGCTAGTTCAGGCTTGTTTATATGGCGGCGGAATGGTTCTCAGGAGAAAGCACACGTGTTGGCCACATGTCTGTTTTCCTCGCATTTTCTGGTGCACCGTTGTCTGAAGCAATTTAAATAGTCAGGCCCAAATTCAAGGGGTAGAGATATAGACTTTCCTTTTTAATGGAAGGAAACAGTAGAATCGCTTTCCAAGAGGCATGCAGACAGGGATGGGAAGAAATGCTAGCCATTTTGTAGTATGTAACACACACAACGAGGGATATTCGGGGAAGTCTTGCATTTATTCTTTTCCTTCACTCTGTGCCCTCATTCCTCCCATAGAGAACCATTTTTATTCTTGGGTTTTTTTCAATGCTTCTTTTTGCATAAGTAAATGCATATATATATAAATATACATAAATGTTTTATATGTGTGTGTATATGTCCATGTACACACATATTGATATGTATTTTTTTCTCAAAGCAATTTATTATGTACAAGGTTCCACTATACTTTAGACATCTACTCTTGCTTACACAGTAACCAGTGTGTACCAGCCCTTTGACTCAGGTTCACAGGTCTCCCCTGGAGAAGGGTGTCAAGTCTGTTAAACTCAGGGGACCTTTCTGTGATGCTTCCTCCTGGGAGCACTGGAAGGGTCGTCTCCAAGGGGCACCAACCGGGTCCGGCTGTGTAGTGTGCAGAGTTCCATGTACTAATGCTGAGCAGCTTGCTCTCTGGGACAGCACAGAGCTTTTTTCAGCTACTTCGGGCAAATCAAGCCCATAAGAAAGGGTCAAATGACTGAGGTAAGATGTCCCAAAGCACCTAGGCCCAGCTCCCAGGCTCCACTCATCACATGTTCCTAACAAAAAGCTAGCCTATTATATACACTGTTTTGATCTTGCCTTTTCATTTTTACTTAAAATTACATCCTGGTGATCACTTCATATCAGTTTATAAAGATCTTCCTTGTACCTTGTTATAACTGTACAGTATTCTATCAGGTGGATGTACCATAGTTTGTTCAGCCATTACTTTATTTTTTTTATCCTTACCCGAGGACATTTTTCCATTTTTTGCACAGACAGAGTGGGAGGGAGAGAGAGGAAGAAAGAGAGAGGGAAACATCAATATGAAAGGGACACATCGAGTGGCTGCCACCCGCACAACCAACCAGGGCCGGGGACAAACTGCAACCAAGGTACATGCCCTTAGCGGGAACCGAACCCGGGTCTCTCCGGACCGCAGATGGACGCTCTAACCGCTGAGCCAAACCGGCCAGGGCAGCCATTACTTTATTGATGGACATTTGAATTGTTTGCTATTTTTGGTGATTTCAAATTATGCCAAAATGAAAAACCTATCAAGTCATTTCTTATTTTCTGCCAGCGTATCTTTGGTACAGATTCTGAGAAATGAGATTGCTCAATTAGAGGGTAAATTTAGAGATTACCGAATTCCCTTTTTAGGGGTTATACCATTTTGTATTTCTACCAACAATGTACAAGAGATACCTCTTTCCCCACAGCCTTGTCATCAGAGTATATTGTCAAAGTTTTAAATTTACATTGATCTGATAGGTGAATAGCAATATTTCTGTCTAGTATTAACTTATAATTTTTATTATGATTAAAGTTGAGCAACAGAACTATTTTTATAGCAAAAAATAAATATCAGTTCTTAACAGAGGAATTTAAAATAGGATTCTCACAAGTAAATACACGACTGTTTTGACAGTAGATATGGTGTTGGGATTAGACAAAGGAGGATTCCTCACTGAGACAATAATATATGCTGGAGATTGTGAGTGTCCCCATTGAAGGAAATTCACATTTAGAGAGTACAGGAGGTGCCTAATGAGGTACCTTTGTTCTCTCCCATTTGTAGGCTTCACTCTTTTATGCCCTTGCAACTTAATGTCCCATCAAAAATGGGTGGAGGTTCTGAAACCCGCGACAGGAGAACATTGTGGACTCAGCCCTGTCCTTTTGCACCTGTTAACCAGACAGGCCTCTGCCACTAGGGCTGAACTCAGTATGATGCAACCCTAGATGATGTGCTATAGAGGGAGCAAAATATTCAAAAACAGGGAGCTTGTAAGGTTTTTAAAAAATACCTTCTATTTTTCAATAATCTAACTTTTGAATACAAGTTTTCTTAAAGATGTACAAGAGGTCCTCAACATCATTTTGTTCAACGTCATTTCATTATAACGTTGATGAGATGTTGCAGGAACTTAACTCTTGTTCATATCAATTAACCCATGGTAAAATCGGTTTCATTAAATATCACTTCCATGTAAGTCCTAGAACCTGTCAATGATGCTAAGTGAGGACTTAACTGCAGCTAGAATTTTTATGGCAGAAACCAAGAGAGCTTTTTCTAAAAGCTATAATCATCTATAAGATATGAAGCAAATAACTGTTTTAATAGCAGCTTCAGTTCTTTGGTATGTTTGAAGAAAGCTGGATGTCCTATATTCAGCAGTGACTTTAAGCTCCAACGAAGCAGGTCTCAGTAAGACAGACTGGGTTCACGTTGCTGTCCTCCAGTTTTGTAACCATAAACCGCCAAGTTAGTTTTCCCAGATTTTGGTTCCTTTAGAAAAATGAGGGTAATATCTTAGTGATTGTATAAATACTAAATTGTATGGCATAATGTAAGCACAATACCCAGTACATAATAAATAAGCAGCCCTAAGCCTTATTTCAAACTTTATTAACCAGTAAAAGTCAGTGCTCTGATCAGAGTAACTTGGAGGTATACCTTTCACAGAATTTTTTACTGGTTCTTTTTTTCTAATGTCATTGCTCTTATGTCTGACAGAAATTACAGCTAGAGCAAGTGCTTTGTACCAGGAAAATACTTTTCCAAAGTAAAAGGATAAACTGTTTTTTTTGCAACTCGAAAGGAGGTTACATTTATTTTACTTAAAATGGCCGCAGACCTGTCTTTTAAAATCATTTACCTAACTCGTTATTAAAATATTTAGTATTAGAATTCTTCAGTGTAGTGTAAAAATCAATATAAGCAAATCTTTTCTGTTGCCTTTAATAAATTTTTTAATTTATCTCAATAATACTTTGAAAGAATTTTTTTTGTTCTCCAAAGAAATGAACCAAACCCATTTGATTGCTCTTGTGGCACCATACTTTTTAAAATGCAGTTGCTGGTATGTAGTACTGAGTACTCCGAGTTATCTAGATCCAAGAGTTTGATTTGACAAATAGTTTAAGGAAAAAGCAGGATCTCTAGGCTAACCTGTGAGTGCTAATTTCCTTTATCTTAGGGATCCTGCCTTTCAGATGATTACAGTTACCAAGGAAACAGGCCTTGGTCTGAAGATCCTCGGAGGAATTAACCGGAACGAAGGTCCCTTTGTGTATGTTCAGGAAGTCATTCCTGGCGGAGACTGTTACAAGGTAAAAATGAAAATGAAAAACACAAAACCTTCATCAAAAAAACAAAACCACTAGTAACGCGATTTGTTTCTCTTTTCTTTTTTCTTTAATGGAAGAGTAAATTAATTTTATTGACTGATGAAAAACTAAAGTGATAAGAAGTATGGATGGTAAACAATAATACTTGCATTCCGCTGGAATTCTGTTTCTCTGCTTTTCACTTCAAGCCAAAAGGACAAGGATTTGTTTTTCTGTTTCATCAGTATGTTTTCAGTATTAGCTGAATGCCCACTGTGACCATTTCTAAGGGAAAGATACAAAGGAACTGGAAAATAGACCTTTATTCTCAAGGAGTTTTAACCCAATAAATGAACATGAAATAAATGTGAAAATAACAGATTTCAGACTCTAACTGAAGATTGCATATTTTTAATTACATGCCATTCAACTCTTATCCTATTTTTAGTTGAGAGAAATTGTGTTTGAAGACATGTTATCTATCCACTGCTCTGAGTTTGGATTGAGTTGGATCACTTCAACTTTAACTGTTTTTATTTAGCCTCTCCTAAGTGCAAAACAAAATAAACAAAAACGCTCAGCAGAAAAAAATGTGTTCATTTCTGAATTTACTGAAATTTTTGTTGAGTTTGTTAATTATATCACTAATTAGTTGCCCACATGAGAAATTAGACTTAGAATTAAGACCAGAAAATATCCTTTTTTTAGAAATTAGAAAGTCTTACTCTCCTCTTCAATGTAAGAAATATGTAATTTCCTGGTTTCCTTTTTCCTCTGGTTGCTAGGAAGCTCAGACCCAAGTGGGAGCACAATACCAGCAACTGAGGTAGCAAACTGGCTGCTATATTTGCATTCTCATTTCTCTTGGATTTTACTGGCTATTTTGTTTTACCAATGTGATTATATATGTCTTTTATTGAAAATCTCCTCTAGCACCTTTTGGAAATATATAGACTATATATTTAATTTAATTTAATAAATATTAAGAATTTAATAAAATATTGTATTAATATGAAGCTGTATGGTATGAGAAAGGATTCTCTTATCGTTAGGTTTGTTCATATTGTTTTCTTATTACACTTGTTTTGAGTGAATAAATAGTCCTACCCTTTTCCTTTTCCTATTCCTACCCCAAACACGTGTTTAGTAAGCAGTTTAACTAGTCTACTGGACTTTTTGTCTTTGAAAAAAATCAGTTTTGCTAATAATTTCCAAAGTAATAGAAATGATTTTGTTTTGGACTTGTTGAGATAATAAGCTATCTTCCAAATACATGAGTTGTAAGTATTATACAATAAGTTTGTGATATTATAATGATATGAATTTTTGGCTATTGAATTTAAATTATTAACCAAATAACATTTAAATGCTAAATTTAAACAAATTCAAACAAAAATTATAAGAATTGAAATAGTACTACTTTAATTTTGAAGCTGAGATATGTGTGGGTGTGTGTTTAGTATAGCTAAGGAATTTCTTAGACTGCGCTTGATGTAGTGCAATAATAGAACATGGTACCTAACAAGTGATAAGAATTTGTTTTTAAGACAAGTATCAATTTGGGCTTTTATATTCCATGAAAAATATTTGTAATTAAAGTAATAAATTGATAGTGGTGTTGCTGAGGGACTGTTTATCAGCTGTCAGTGATAGCAGACTAAGAAATTATACTTATAATATATACTTTCTCTTACTGTTTTTTGTTTTAAAATTTTGCTGTTTGAAAGGGTATTAAAAAGCAAAGCCCTCTAATGGACTGTATTGTATATTTACCACTAGAGAGCAGCACAGAGTTATTAATGTTCTTTGACTGTACCTGGTCCTGTCCAAGAGAGCTGCTGAAATAAAGGTGTAGACAGAAAAGAATGAATAAGTTTGCAATGCTTGCATTAATTTTTGTGTCCTGTGTCATGAAGGAGATTTATCTGCATGTTTACTCTACAAATAAAAAATGGGTGCTATTTTATTTAAACGTTTTTTAAATTAATGATAATGGCATTTACTGTGATCTAAATACTGTGTGAGAATGTTAGTAAAAGCCTTATCTGCACAAAATTTCTGCATAGTAGGTGTATTCAAAATAGGAAACACAGGCTATAAGGTTACCCTTATTGTTGAACTACACAACTGTTAATATTTTAAATGCATATGAGTGCTTTGACTTGCTCTAATATCAACATATTGTTTCAGAACTAATAGGCAGTCTCAAGCCTATAGATGGATTATATTTCATTTATATCCCTAAACTTCATGTGTTAGGGGATTATTGGAACTCAGAAGGAATCTTTAGTGAATCATGGTTAGCTCCACTGCCCCGCCCCCTACACACACACACACACACACACACACACGTTTTTCACCTGGCAAATACAAAATACATTACTAGTTCAGTAACCAAAATACCATGTTTCTTTGAAAAACATGTTCAGAGTTCAAACTTGTGATATCTTGAAAGCATGTTTCCAGTTCAAGTAAGATTGATTATCTCAGCTCTAGGAGCTAGAGGCAGCCTATAGGTTGAAAACCAATATACTAGGCACTGAGTTAAGGAAGCACGAGAACTCCACGTCCCCTTACATCTCACCGGCCAGTCCATATCGGTCTGGAGTGCTCAGCCTTTACTCGTAGACCTTTTTCTGCCTATCTGCTCCTTGAGGCTTCATACCCACGCATCCAGTTGCCTCGTCCACATTTCCCCTTGGATCTCTAAAGGCATCTCAAACTTAACATGTTTGCGACAGTGCTCCTGGTAGTCACTCCACACCCTTATGTGCCCGTCTCTTCCCAAGCAAGCCCTCTTCCACTGTTCCCAGTCCTGCTGAATGGCGCCTTCTGGTTGCACAGTCAGAAAGCCTAACAGCGTCCTACCTTCTACCTGTCCCTGAACACCCACATTCATTCATTAGCACATGGTGTTGACTTTTTATTCTCTAAATACTTCTGGAACCCACCAGTCCTTTTGCTCTTCAGTGCCATCACCAGAGCTTAAACTCTCATCAGTCTTTATTAGACTTCACAACAGCTTTGTCTGCTGATACGCACCAAGCCTAATGTTCTCCCAGCCTATTTTAGGAATACGTAGCTGCCTGCAAGCCTCTGTATAACGGGACTCTGCTCATGACTTCTTTGGCTCCTTGGCTCTGTATTTGCAGAGTGGCATTCTTTCAGTTCCTAGCAGGACCCGTGTTTTTTCTTATCTCATATGCTGTTTCGTTTGGCTGGGAACAGCCCTGCCTCCCCCCACACATGCTTTCCCGTTACTTCCAGATATCGATTCAGAGACTGCTTCCTAAGGAATGTGTTCCCTTTCCACCCTCTCCCATGTTTTCTTTTTCTCTTTTTTTTTTAAAGGAGAGAGGGAGAGAGAAACATCAATCAGTTAGTTGCCTCCCCAAACACTTCCTGACTGGGGATCAAACCCACACCCCAGGTATGTGCCCCAACTGAGAATCAGACCCACAGCCTTTTTGGTGCATGGGACAATGCTCCAACCAACTGAGCAACCCAGCCACTGCCCACCACCACCACCACCACAGGTTTTTTATGCCTACGTGTGCTTCTAGATCCTGTTCATTTCTTTCATGTCCCCTATCTCAGTTTGTAATCATATGCTGAAATCTGTGATCATTTTATCAACTCTGCCTGAACCACAACACAGTGTATTTCCTATGTGCAAGGATCTTACCTGATTTTAGTCGCAGTAAAATTCTTAGCCCTCAGTGTGGTGCCTGGCACATACTGATTGCTCAGTTAATATTGTTGAATGAACGAGTCAGATGCCCTGTCAGTCTGTCGTGTTTCTGAGACTTACTGATCTGCCCTTTAACCATGTTACTGCCACCATCTGGACTCAATACCAAGGTGCCTCCTCTGGCCCTTTGTGTCGGATTCTGGATAACACTTTGAAGTTTTCAAATGGTTGTAGTTTGTTTTTCTTCTAATAATGTAAGGAAAGTAGGCAGGAATCAAATGCTTTACTTCAAACCTGATACATTATTTTCTCTCTCTGTGTCTCTAAAATTGAGGTGGTTCCTACAGCCAACGTCAGAATGTAATCGGCAGCCTTTTTCTCTTAGTGATACTTACAGTAACGGCATATCTTACAATCGAGGTCATCTTAGGCTTGATAAATTCAGGACTTTGTTTGAGTCAAACCTCAGAGATATAGACAAAGACCACAAAAACACAGGTACTAATGGTTAGTCATTGTTCACAAAGGACTGAAGTAGGACATTTGTAACTTTCAGAGGAAGGCTATTTTCAGAATATGCTGGGCATGTCACGGGAAGTGGGACCAGGGCTTTGCACATAGCTAGGACCCAGGCTTCTGATGGCAAAGGGTAAAGGAAGTGCTCCTGCTGGCGGAGCCGAAGGAGCAGCCGCCAGGGGGCTGGCTTTGCAATGTCACTCTCTCCTCCTTTGCCGAAACTATTTCTGCTAAAGCCACCTAATTTCCTCTGTTTCCTGAACCTCGTTAAATTTTTTTTTTTTTTATCCTCACCCGAGGGCATTCCTCCATTTTTTGTTCAGGTAGAGTGGGAGGGAGAGAGAGGAACAGAGAGAGAGAGAGAGAAACATCGACATGAAAGGGACACTTCGAGTGGCTGCCACCCGCACGACCGACCAAGGCCGGGGACAAACTGCAACCGAGGTACGTGCCCTTAGCGGGAACCGAACCCGGGTCTCTCAGGACCGCAGGCCGACGCTCTAGCCGCTGAGCCAAACTGGCCAGGGCATGGACCTCGTTAATTTATTGGGACTTATTAGGTACCTGGCACCATGCTGGGGGAGCACTAGGACAGGGACAAGGTTTTGGCCAACGGAGAGAATCGGTGCTGCTAGTTTGGGAGGCGCTGAATGAATCCGCCCTCGTGGCAAGGATATACGGTGAGTGAAAAGTAAGGGCCGCACAAAGTGATGCAATCATATTGGTAAGTAAAAGAGCTTTTGGAGCGAAGAAAAAGGAACGATTAAGTAAATCTAGGGAGATGGGGAAAACTTACAGCAGAGCTCACGTTCGATGGTGGCTGTGAAGTTTAAGTGAGAGTTCACCAGCTAGAGAAGTGGCAGTGTAGGTGGTGTCATTCGAGACAGACAGTAGCACGTGTCAAAGCGTTAGGGTTCGAGGAACATTTTCCGAAAATAGAGTGAAGAATTTACATGCCGAGAAGGGAAGGTGGATGACGAGGCTAGAAAAAGTAGGTTGCTGCTAGTTTGTTTTGCTGAGTTTGGGAAGTTAAGGAGTTTCAACTCTTCTAGCAGTGGGCAGTCATCACAGGTTCTTAATTTAAGAGGAACAGGATTAAATTTGTTATCAGTGTGAAAAATTGCCCATAACAGATTTGGGATTCGGATTCAACTCACCTGTATTTAACACCTACAGTGTGCTAGGGTTTTATATATGTTATTTGGTCATGACTTCAACCTTGTGTGATAGGTATTTACTCCCACTTTCCAGCTAAGAAAATGGAGTCTCATGGAGGTTAAACATCTTACTCAGATTCACATAAATAACAGGTGATAAAAGAAGGATACCTCAGGTTGCCAGTTTATGACAGTGCAGGCAAGGATCCAAAGGCTTGCGAGAGCATCCTTTAGTACTTAGAAATAATGAGCTAGTTAAATCAGTCAGACAGTGTAGATGGTTTCTGATAAGGCAACACGTTATTTAGAAAACTATGTAGCCGTCTTTATCATCTGAAATGAACAGTGTTGGTAGTTGCTAATAGAAGTACTTAAGTGGTCAGGAATGCATTATTTCAACATCTGTGTAAATGTCAACCTGGAGGATTTCAGACTCCGAAGTTGCGCGCGTGAGAAGTGGCTGGCGCCTTGCCTGTCGTGTTGCATAGTTGCTCAGTCACTGCTGAATCAGAATCTAGACTGTGGGGGAGGCCTCTGGAGTTAGCATCTCCATGTACACATTAATCCAGCTGGGGCAGAATTCACTGGTTCCGAATGCCAGACTTGTACAGAAATAGCTTTGTTTCAGTTTGCAGGTTCTGACTTTTAAACAGGTTCAAAAATTCACATGATCAGCTAAGATTTTATTCTAGGAAGCAAAGGAAAAACCACTGCTGTGAATACTTTTTAGAAGCCGTCGTCGGAAGACATTGTTCTTTCTCTCTTTCTGATTCCTGCCCTGCTTGAAAATGCTACTTCAGTACATCAATGCGCTTTCATTTCTGTTACGTTGCCTTTTGCAGAGCTTTTTCCTCTGTACTGCTGATACTGGACAGCCTGCGAGGAGATTGGGGGAGGCTGGAGGTCCGCCTAAACCCTGTTGCCTGCTTCATCTTCTGTGGCCTTTTTCTCTGCAACCCTGACACCCACTGTGATTTCTGTTAGATGCATAGTTACAGGAGCTGCCTCAGACACTTGAGAATTTAGTTCTGTGTTGTGTGCCTCCCCATCCCCCACCTTCTCCCTCTCTCTCTCTGAACATCCAGCTAGCGAGTCATGGAGCTCAGACTTGAATTCAGGTCTCTCTGGTGGCCAAACCTGTGCCCTGTCCACTGCAGTCCGCTGCCTCCAAAAGCTCCTGCCCAGATGAAAGATGGTTGAGCTGCCATCTGACTCACAGCCATCAGTGTAGAATTTCCTCCTTTCAGGAACGTTTAATAGAGGAACTGTTAATGCTTAGTCTTCTCCAACGTGACTATTGTTTTACTCCCTATACATTAATCAAATGGGAGGAGAAAAAAAAAACAAAAAACTTGTGAATATAGCAATTGTATGTTATGATCTCTGACTTTGACTTTGGTAGTTATATTTAATCATATATTTATAAAATCCAAATTAGTTTTTAAATTTTATATATAATTAAATAGGCTCTGTTGGCTTAATTTTTTATAATGTTTATAATTCAGAGGAGTCATAGGGTAATTATACATTTATATCTTTTAAACAGTATTGAAATAACATGTTTTCACAACAATTTTGATAAGTATTTTATATTTATTTGTTTTCCCGTGTGCTCAGTATTCAGTGTAAGAGGTGACACTAAATATTTTTCTAATATATATTTTTTATTTTAGAGAGAGAAAGGGAGAGAGAGAGAAAAAACATCTATGAGAGAGAGAAACATCACTCGGTTGTCTCCCATATGCGCCCCAACTGGGCATCAAACCAAAAATCTAGGTATGTGCCCTGACCAGGTATTGAACCCACAACCTTTTGTGTATGGAATGATGCTCCAACCAACCGAGCCACCCAGCCAGGGAAACACTAAATATCTTTTATTTTAAGAATGAAAATAATTTGTTATTTAGCAGTAAAGGAACTGTAAGTTATATATAATGTAGTTCAGATCAGACTGATATCTTAGATAAGACTTTGAAAAAAAGGTATTTTCTTGAATTTGTGGAGTTTACTTAATTGCCGTCAGGGTGAACATTTAGCCTTTTAACCATGTAAGCTTCTTCCTTAGTTATTCAAATAATGCTTTCTGTCCTTGTACAAATGATAAATTCAGAAGTATCTTAGGAACTGAAAACAAAGAGAGCTCATTCTTGTCCGGTTTGAATTAAGACAAAAGACAGATGGGAACTGAGAAACTTGCCTAAAAACTGTATCAAATCTTGTCACTGATATGCTCTGTCTTACTCAGACTAATTATAGGCAGAGCTCGAACTTAACAAAGACAATGCCAGACAGCCAGTTTCAAGTGGTCAGTATTAGTAGGCCATGACTAAAGCTATATGCACAACCAATTATATAAATGAAGAATCTCACTTCGCGGAAATTTATTTATTGTCGTAGAGTCTGAAACTGATTAACCGTGATAAACGAGTCCTGAGCCACAGGAGAGATAGTAGGTCCAATAAAGAAGATGTTTGATCATGAGCTGAAATATGGGTAGTATCAATATAATTAAGATCCTTGATTGCATTTAAAAAAATTCTTACTGTGGAATGTATCTCAGTGGCTTGGTGGGATGAAAAACGCAAGAGTGCTCAGAAACTAAAGCGAACGAGTCTTGTATTCTGAAATAGTCCAGGGTTATTTGGCCCACTTTATTACAGCCTGGCCACAGTACCGAGCTTTTGAAACAGGCCTCCTTTCTTTGTGTACCAGGTTATGTCTTCAAATATCCAGGGTTCCTTAGTGTGCAAGTTTGTTCAAGGTATACACGAACTGTTCCTATTCATTAGCAAACCAGGCTTTCATCAGAACTCTTTGTTTTGAGATTCTTTGTCTAAGATTTTCCTTATACTCTTTCTTTATGACATTCTTCACTAAAACTTTGCTTTGCTTTAATTGCATCAATTAATTTTTTTTAAAAAGTCCTCATTAGTTTCTTCACAAATGTTACTATTTTTGTTAGGATGGACGTTTGAAGCCAGGAGATCAACTTGTCTCAATAAACAAGGAATCTATGATTGGTGTATCATTTGAAGAAGCGAAAAGCATAATTACCAGAGCCAAGTTGAGGTAACTATTCTATCCACAGGATAAAATGAATCATTCAGCTTGTCTCCTGAAAATAGCAATTTAAGATGTCTAAAGTACTTTGGACCCTGAAAGAAATATTTTTAAATAATATGTGAAACATGACTTTAGAATTTAATTGTACTATACCCATAATATATTCGTAAAATGATTTCTTTTTAATGCTAGGTCAGAATCTGCTTGGGAGATAGCATTCATAAGACAAAAACCTGATGGCAGTCACCCCGAAAATCCATCACGTACGTCCCTTTTGCAAACCTCAGGAGAGTATGGACCTCAAGCCTCATCATTTAGTCTTCTTTCTTCTCCCTCTGAAACACTGATTCCAAAGACCTCATCAACCACTCCCAAAACTACAGAGGCTATTTTGCCTTCTTTTAAGGTAAATTGGGTAATATTAAATTTCTGTTTATTTATGCAGTCTGTAAATCCCCTGTATGTTGTTATATTTGTTATATACATAGAGAATTATAATTTGGGTAATACAGTTTGTTAGCAAATTGATATTTCCTCGAAAGATTTTTTCTTTTTTCCTTTTAAAATTTTTATGCTGTGCTGTCAATAAATATAATTTTTTAAAGTCAATGGGCCTTTTGGCCAAAAAACCATTATCTGGAATGGCATCACCAAAAGAGGTGTAGATATCACTCAGAACTATGTTTCGAATGTCATGTTTATTTTCAGATAGTCTTTAATATGGTTCAGTGCGTTCTTATTTCTGTTTTCCACTTGACTGAAGACAGGCAGTGTTCCTTCATGTTCCTTAGCTTCTTTCCTACACAGCGAGGCTAATCTTAACCATCCCGTGTAGGTGGATATGTTCCTCATGTGTGTCTGCTAGAATACCATTTACCCCAGCAGATTCACACAAAAGGGGGCGTTCCTACATCAAAATTGATACAATTAATAACTAGTTGCTACAGTACCCTAATAAATCACAGTTATAAAATAGAATATATATTCTTTAAATTTGTGTTAGCTATAAAGTAAAATGGGAAACTGGGGTAGGCTTTTTTTAGTCCGTGAAATATAATTTGTCAAAGGTAACTTCAGTTTCAGGTACATGCTAATCAGATACAGAGTATCAGACCTTCTGTCAACCCCTTACACTTTTTCATTTGGGTTATAATTAACCTTTGCAAAGACAGGGTACATGGCCTCCTACTTTGTTGTCCTTGGATGCTAGAACTGAAAGCAGTTGTTACCTTCAGTTCTGCATTGCTTTGTATGAAGATGAATGTACCAAAGTTTTACAGGTTTTATATTTTTTGGACTATTGCTTGAATCACTTTGACCGTTCTTTTTATGTTAAGATGAGCATTTAGTCTGGTCTTTAACCTTCTTTAGAAAATGACATTTCATGTGTCTCATCTTCTTTCATAGTTAAAAACTGGATACAAGAAAACAGAACAGGCTTCAATTACTTCTTTGGACCACAGCCCTTCGGATATGTCTAATACAGGTAAATGCACATTTAATTCCTCTTTCCTGTTACTTTTTTCAATTACCCTCAATGAGGAGTACATAATGTGACTTAATAGACTTTAAAGAAGGATGCATTAAGTCCTTTTTCCTTCAGTGAATAAAAGAGCAAAATGAATGCATTGTGCTGTGGTCCCTGTTAGATTATGACTTTTATTGGAAATCTCCCTGAACCAAGGGTTGAAATTTTCAGATGCATTATGATAACAGTGTCTATGAAGCTGCAATAATCAACGAACTGTTGAAACCAAGTAATGAAAAATTTTTATAAATCAAGATTAGGTTGCCTTGCCCTGTTAGTGAATTTCTGGTGAGGTATATTAAATGCACCTTTCATAGACATTATAGAGGGGAATATAGCTTAAGAAAAGATATACTTTTGAGTTTTGGGGGAGAGATTATATACATATAAATTAGAAAGAATATTAGTATTGTTTATTCAGTGTCATTGGTTTTTAATTACCATGAAATGATTACTGACTGTTTAAAATAAAAGATTGTGTAAGCTACCCATAAGAAAAGGATTTTTATCAAGCTGTAAAGCGTATATTGGCTCAACTATGAAGCAAAATTTCTCCCCTCAAATTATCTCTGAAAGTTAAACACAACAGTCAAAAAATTATACAGGATGGGGCAAAAGTAGGTTTACAGTGATTCATATTGAAAACAATAAAATAATAAATAATAATATGAGAATAAACTGTGTTTCACATACTTACAACTGTGAACTTACTTTTGCCCCACCCTATACTTAAATAAAAGTTAATTACGTGTCAAAATGATAACGCAAATTGTTACCCATATATTTAAATTTTTAATAACTTCATTTAGATCAGAATTTCAAAATAAGAAGAGTCAGTATGAATTACATAGTGTCTTAGTGCGTTTGGGCTCCTCTGACAGAATGCCCAGACGAGGTGGTGTCTGTGCAGCAGTTCTTTATTCCTCGCCGTTCTGAAGGCTGCAAGTCCAGGGTCATGGAGCCAGCATGGTCAGGTGAGGGCCTTCCTTCAGCTGTAGGCTTTTCATCATGTCCTCACGCGGTAGCAGGGGCCAGGGGACACCGGGGGTCTCTTTGACAAGAGCACTAAATAACCCCATTCATGAGGGCTCCATCTTCATGACCTAAGAATCTCCCAAAAGCTCCACCCCCTAGAACTCTCATCACTGGGGTTAGGATTTCAACATACGAGTTTTGCAAGAGCACAGACAGACCGTTGCTCACAGCTACCATACTTACCAGGAATTCATAGATTGCACAACGGTTCCCTCTGATGTGGAGCAGTATTTCCTACTAGGGCAGGAGTAATCTTTAGCCATATGTAATACCACTTAGCGTTACTTGGCGGGATTGGTGAACTATTAGAAATTGTGTTAATTTATTCCCTTTATGTGATTAATTTTTATTCTCTTGATATATTATTTTTACTTTGAACTGTGACCTCATGGGAGAAAAAAGATAAATAAAAGAAGCAAACAATGGTGAGGAGATCTTTATATAACATGTTTTTCATCTTGAAAGTAATTGAACTACTCATTGCTTCTTTTAGCCTTTTATTTGTTCAGTAAGCATTTACTGAGTATGTCATGTGTGCAGAAAACAGTCCAGTAGGAATTATGAAGGAATTAGGATATTTTCTGTGAGATGGTAATATATTGTAAAATAAAACATGGAGTTAAAAACGTTCATTATTCAGATTAGAAAATTAAATGTGTGTGTTTAGATGTGTGTGTTTATTTGATCGAATAACTACTCTTTACAGTATCCTATGTTAACTAGTGCAGGGTGGGGGTGGTTTTAACACTCTAAGGAGCATCTCTGCTCTCTTGTGGATGAATTACACATTTGAACAAATAGTGTAAAGCCACAAACAAACTGGACCAAGGAGAGAAAGTAACGCATGACCTGAGTGGTGTAAGGAAGGCAACGTGGTCAATCTCCAGGCTCTGAATGGAAACTTACGTTACTGACCTTAAATGCCAGGTTCTTGAGTCTCAATGTCATAGAAATGAGCACTGAACTCAGTACAAGATCCAGCAGATCGAGTTGATGGAAAAGGGCTTGTGCACAAGGGAGTTGACCGGAAAGGAGCAGTCGAGCTCCCGAGGGGTTCCTGCGGATGGCTTAGACGGCGTCTCGGGGGTGGGTGTAGGGCTTGGGAGTGAACATGAGCTCAGTTGTCCCATGATTGTCATCTTAGGCAGTTGACCCAGGGTAGTCACGAGAAGTTTTCCAGGGTCAGTGGACCACTCAAAGGGTCTGTAAAGTAATGCTCGCACAAATACCCTAGTTACTGTTGAGTTGACAAAACAACTATTTTGCTGAACATGATGTTAAGAAAGGGTATTATCCTCTGATAATTCTTTCCTTTAAGGATGCAGTTAGGCTAATTTTAATTATGGAATTTTACTGAAAGCAAGAAGTCATAGTCAGGCCTCTAAGATGGAGTTCTTTCCGTCAAGTTGGAGTCCAGTGTTACCCCTGTATTGTCTCACTTAGAGGTTCAGATCTTCACTCTCAACTTGAAATATTGCCTTGTGGGATTGTTATGGGTATGAAACAAAATCATGCATGTCAGTCACTTAGCATTGTAATTGGTACATAGTACAAGTTCAGCACGTTTTGGTGTTGTTATTATTAATGCTACAGCATTTGCAGACCAGAGTGTAGCTCAGATAACATCCAGGACATGTTTCAGAGCAGAAGTGAAAGCTCGTGTCCTTTAATTTAAACTTGCATCTTACCCTCAGTCCTCAAACCAGTACCTATTAAAGGACTTGTCCCAGTATGCAGAGTTTCTTGGCAAAAGTCATCTAAAATTCAGATCTTGAGGGAGGTGGTAAACCTCAACTGATAAATGAAGGTAGGAGATCGTCCTAAGTGAAGGAAGCACCATGAACAAAAACAAAGAACTAAGGATCAGCTAGAAGTCAGGCGATGCTAGAAGACAGATCTGAGTAGACGAAAGGGATCCTGGAGTAGTGAAAACAGTGAGGTGAATTTCATCAGTGACTATAAGAAACAATGCTAGATTTTGTAATAGAAAAATAATTTCATGAAAATACATTTGAGTGAGTGAGGTGTATGTAAAGTAATTAAAATGTAACATTTTTCTAGGATAGAAAGAGCATTGACTTAGTCCTGTTTTCTTACTTTCACATAAACATAATAGGCCTGATGTTTTTTTGGGGGGGTGGGGAGTATGGGGAAGAAAAGTAAACTCAGAATTATCTCTCAGTAACTTATATACATTGTGATGTGTCTGTTATCAGTACTTAATTAGAGACTGCTCCCAAATTAGGTCCTTAACCATGACATCTAGCCTCCTTCAGCCAGTTGGTATTTATTTACAACATATAAATGAGTTTTAATGTTAACCTCCACAAAAATAAACTTAATGAGACAAGCCTACCCCAGTTCTCATCTAAAAATCATTCCAAAGTGTAAAACTGGTTAGAATTTTTAAAATCCACATAATTCTTGAATATGTTTTTAAAACTGTTCTTTTGTATAAATTTCTAATTTCAGAATCTAGAGTCATTTACTATTGCCATCAGCTGAATAACACATGAACTTTAAGTGAGCGAAATGCATTCTAAAGACATTGCTAAGGAAATCAGCCAAGAATTGGTGCCTAAAGAATTACTTTCATTACTTTAACTTTAGCCTAACACAAGCCTTAATTCTCCTGCTCTAAGGCTTTTATCATTGAGACATAGCAGTGATAGGGAAAAATGTCCAGGGAGGGTTCATGGTATTAACCAAATGGTGTTGAGCCTACCCTTATAAAACATTCTCTTTCTTCTGCTCCTAAAACGAGAACTAGGAAGAGAAGATCCAAGAGAATAATAAGCCATACTTCGAAAAGTCTCACTCTGTCAGAGAAAAGCAAAAAATATAAAGGGTTTGAGGCTGAGGTTGGGAGATGCCACAGGCACAAAGCTGTCTACAGTGGTTTTCAGGTCAAGCTGCTCAGAACTGTCAAAGCTGCTGGATTTTTATTCAGAGCCTCCTCCTGAGGAGGATCAGAAGTACAGGTTTAGAGGAAGGTTGGCTGAAAGACGGGGAGATTTTGTTAAGCTGTGAAGCATATTATTAAATGGAGGGTTAATTCTACATTAAATCTCCTATTTAAATACAGTGTCTCTGTCATTATTCAGTAGTTTTCCACGATTTTGATTTTGACTTTACAATTCCTGTAAGTTGGTTTGCTTTAGTCTCTCTACTTCACAGGTGAGAAAACTGGCAATGAGGGATATTGACACATTTCAGAACCTTGGCTTAGGGAGTCACAAGAGATTAGAGCCCTAACATGGACACCGTCTAGCTATGTGATCTTGGGCTAGTTTCTTTAGTTTTCTGGGCCTTGGTTGGTCTCTTCGTCTTTGGGAGGGGAATGATAACACCTATATCACTGTGGTTATTTTAAAGATTAATGAGCTTATATATGTAAAGTACTTAGTGCCTTCCTGGCTAAAAGTACGCATAAATAAGAGCTAACTTCTGTTATTTCCACTGCTACACAGCACAATTTCAAGCTTATACAGGACCACATAAGTGAGAGCACATGCCTTAGTGTGTGTCGATGGGGGTGTCCCTCTGCCTCCCTCTTCCTCCCTGATCTCTCTCACTCTCAGCTCCTCTCGGTGTGTACTTATGAGCTGAGTAATGCACGCCCAGAGTTGTCTTGGTTGGAGACCGTAGTTAGGTTAGCTTGGGTCCACATAGTATCAGTGTGTCTTAATTGTAGGAAGGTCAGGACCAAGCTGAAAGTTATTGTCAAGCTTCACAAGTCCAAAGCCTAAAAATGAAAAATAAAGTTGGACTTACCTGCTCTTTGATCTTTCATACCATTCCACCCCATGCTCCTTTTTTATACCACACTTTAAGTTTGGCAGAGAATTTCTCTTAATGTTACCAAACCGAACTGAACGGAATTGAACACGGCTCTGCCCACCAATGCACAGCAAAGCCAAACGCTGAACATCGAGGTTTGCAATGGAGAAATTAAAGTTGTCTTATTGGCAGGGCACCAAGCAAGGACAAGGGGAAGCTGGTTCCGCAGTTACATTAAGAGAAAAAATATACATGTGGTATTTTTTATCCCATGGCCAATGGTATCACATTAACAAAGGAAACTTTGTTGCTTTTATCAGAGTTGTAAAAATTCTTTTATACCAAAATCAGTCTTCCTCAACATTTGATTCCATTTGAAGCTAAAAGTCAGTAGCCATTTTTTTATGATCTTGACACATATAAGCTATATTCAAGATTTTACATAGAATGTTAACGATGTGTTAAAGGTTTAGAGGAAGACTATTTATTTTCATATGCGCTTCTTATGTTCTTAAGAGAATGCAAATCATTTTGTACTTTGAGACAGATGCTCTGAGAAATTAAAAAAAATTAAAACACTGCATAAAGATGTGACATTTTAAAAAGCTTTTTCTCTTCCTCTTGTTTCTATGTAGAACTAGTAAAATATCATTTAAAAGTGTATGTAGAATAGTTACAATTTAGATAAAAGGATTGACATGGATTACAGGAATTTGTTTTACAAACTTTGGCATATTAAAACAAACACTTTTTTTTCCCCAATTCTAGTCCCTGGTGGCACCTGGTGCCTTATTCACGCAATGAGGACAACGACTTAATCTAAATAATCAGAGTCCATTGAGAAGGTGCTAAGAATGGTATATAAACTCAACTCTTGAAAGTCCATTTATGCTACTTGAAATATAACCCTTCTGTTCAGTAAGAAATAGGATTTTTAGTTCAAGAAGTTACAAGTCTATTATAGTTTATGTGTAAACTTGAAATGATTGGCATTTTTGAGTTTTTCTGTAGTACTTCCAGAACTCACATAACAAAACCACTTTTGCCAGCCAAAGAAATATCATGATCTTTTTTAATTTCTCACATGATTTCACTTATTTTGGAAGAGAAAAAAAAGACTTTTCTCATTACAGTTAGTAAGGCATCGTGATGACAGGGCAGTGGTCATAAGATGTACGTTTGTCTTTTACATTAGTATTTCCAGGGGAGTTCATGCATCATTGGCCACTCTTTTTATATCATATATTTTAGGGCTCAAGTGATGCTGGTTTGTGTGATACATTTTAGATTTAACAAAAAAATACCCCATGAAAACAAAAGTGAAATCTGCCAGCTGATTAACCAGAATTATTTTTGAACAGCAGGAGTTCAGGACACATCCTGTCAGATGAAAAGTTCTACTCCAGTGGCGTGTTCATTAACGTGCCCCCTGTTGCCTCCTAGATACCGCCCCTGTCCGGACGGATCATTACGGAGCGCAAGGAAGGAAGATTTCCCTAACTCCCTCCGTTCGCCTTAAGGTGGAGAAACTGGAAACGGTAAATACTTTAATTTTCATTTTTCTTCCATAAAACATCAAGGAAGGAGTCTTCTCTTGGAGAGGATCAAAGACTGGAGCCATTCGTTTCTTGAAAGGTTATTTATTTGCAATTAAATGAATGGCAATTTGGATTTAAATTCATTTACTCATGTTTGAGTTGGGCAGTTCATGTTGTTCACTAGTACAAAATAGAAATAAAGCCTTTTGTCACTACATTGACATTCAAATCAATCTGTTTCCTCCTGTGTGTAAATAAGACAAATGTGATGTTCTACAATGTAGAACCAAAGGGAACATGGAATAAATCATGATGAAGTGTAGTAGATTTCATATGTAATAGCATTAAGTGCAAGTAATACTCCATTTGTTTAATTTTTTTTAAAAGTATAGGGAGCCCTGGCCAGTTTGGCTCAGTGGTTGGAGCTTTGGCCTGCGGACCAAAGAGTTGTGGGTTCAACTTTGGTCAAGAGCGTGTACCTCAGTTGCGGTTCAGTCCCTGGCCCTGGTTGGGGTCATGCAGGAGATAACCAGTCATGTGTCTCTCTCACATCAGTGTTTCTCTCTCTCCCTCCCTCTCTCCCACTCTATCTGGAGATAAATGGAAAAATATCCTCGGGTGAGGATTTAAAAAAAAAAAAAAAAAGTAAAGGGAAACTAAATCCTAAAGAACCAAGCAGTCAGATGCTCATTAACTACAGAAGATGGTAGCAGTGTGCTAAGGCACACACAGAATTGTCCTGAGGAGAGTAAAAGATTGAGAACTTCCGTATGTAAAAGAAACTTAAGATGATTGAAAAGAAAAATTAAAAGTAGAAAAGCATTTTAAAACTGGTTCTTGTCAGGTTACTTGGGAGCTGACAGCAAAAAACATGCTTTTATTTTTTTAATGTAAAAATGGATCTAGTGTCGAAGGTTTTACGTTTTAGGAATGGTATGAAAATGCAAAGCTAGAATAAAGACACATTGTGTTTATTCCATATTCATGCCTTTGCATGGTCCTATGACAGCATCCTATTCATTGCCAATTTGAGTCTTACCCGTTATTCAAATTCTGACTCAGTTCCCACTCCCCCATCCAGATTTTGCTAACTATATAGTTAGGGCCAATATCACCTTATTTTGCACATCTGTGAATCACTTTTTAGTTCCTTATAATCTTTTCTGTATCTTGATTTATCAGTGACCAGTCGCTTCTTCACAACAGTGCCCCGTGTACCTAGTACTGTTTAAACACCTGGTTTGTGCTCATGAAACTTTCTGATTAATTAGATACTTGACATGTCTTTTTGATATTTTCAAAATCCTGAGTATCTTTTGCTAACTTGTACTCTGTTTTTAATTTTGTTTAAAGTGTATGTTCTGGATTATGGCAAAATTTACAATCAGTTAATATTAACATTTTCAAAAAATAAAAAGTTTGAGGTTTGAAAACATATTACTCAATATCTAAAATGAATAATTATTGTTGATTTAATATGCACTCTGAACATTCAAGATTTAATGCTAGCCATTTGTCTGGACAAGGAGAAAATTATCCAGCTAAACACTACCTGGCAGCATTTATTTTTTTACTTGGTTTAAATTTTCTAGTGCATGATATATATATTTTTTAAATCTGTAATTTTCTTAGAGGTATGAAAAGTATCTGAATTTGTATTGATTCTGAGAAATACGAGTTCCTTGTCTCCTGAAGCAGAATTCCAGTTTTAGTTTTCCTTTTAGCCTAAGCAAATTGATTATTTTTATAGAAAAAGTAAAATAGCAGTTTTACTGGAAAAGAAGCCCACATTCTGTGTAAATTCAGCTGCCCAGCTTTTATTAAAAATATTTTTAGTGACTGTATTTAGTGGAGCATTCTTTGTTTTCAGAGTTTGCAACTGTATTTCACTTTAAGTATTTTTTTAATCCAAATTAGCGTCTATCCACCCAAATATTTCCTAAGCTGTTCTTCCTTTTTTGGATAGTTAGCTATTACTGTAGTAATATCTATGTCAATTTAATTTGAAATTGGTCCCTTATATTTTAGTTGCTACTTTGTAGCCAAATTCAACTTTATCATCTATTACATTTTTTTTAATCCTCACCTGAGGATATTTTTTTATCTTCAGATAGAGTGTGTGGGCGGGGGGGGGGGGGGGGGGACATTGATGTGAAAGAAACACATCAACTGATTGCCTCCGGCTCGACCTTGACCAGGGCCTGGTCCTAACCACAGTGGAGGTATGTGCCCCTGACCAGAATCGAATCCGAGACTTTGGTCTGCAGGCCAGTGCTCTAACTGCTGAGCCAAACCAGCCAGGGCATCCATTACATTTTTTACATATTTTCTATTCAGTAATAGATAAAGACAGTGTGATCAAGTATTTAAAGTGTAAAAAAAGTAAAATGTAATAAAGTTGTATCTTTTTATCTTCTATGAATATATTGCATATATTATCTAGAAAATTGGTACTTTAATAAGATTTTACAAGGAAAAGGTATTGACTGATTGTGTGGTTATTAATTAATTACCCTACTCAGTACAATTTTTAAGAAGGGCAGAGAGGTTAGAATTTGACGAAGGACAGTACCTGTCAAGACATATGTATGAGTGATATTGTCTTCGTGAAATCCTTTTTTGTTTTTCTTGTCTAAGTACACAATTCCCTGGAAAGTGATTTCTCACATTGAACTAGTTATTTTTTTTTAATTCATTGTCTGAGAAAATGACTGCCTCTTTCCATGAATACTCTGAGAATGATTTTTATATACAAATACTTTTAGATACTTTCACCATAGTTATTTAGTGATACATTTTTTCAAAAAATTTTTATAAGTACCATGTGTTTAATTTGATCCTAATGTTAAATTTATAAGTAGGTATGGTAAACATAGCAAATAGGGATACAGTTTATTAGTTGGTTTGAAGACAGCTCTATACCGTCTATATTTTTGTGCCTGGGAAAGATGCTTTGGCATACAGATGCCATTTCGCTGGTATTTACTTTACCTTTTGCCATTTCTGTAGCATTTGAAGAAAACTGTAGTGAGCAATGCATACCCGATGTCTGATTATAGTTAATGAGATCTTCTTTGTTATTAGGCTGGGAAGTATGAGACTAATATTATACAGAAGGGACTTTTCAAAATTCATCTTTGAGACATCAGAAAAAGTTAAGGACAGGTATTGTCCAATTAATACGTTTGCATTTTTTAGGCTAAAAGATGACATTATTCAATAAATTATAAGAACCTACTTTTTGATAAAAAATAAATTACTTCCACTCTAAATTCATGAGTTGCCTCGCTGACATGCTGTATTCATCTAGAATAAATTTCACACTCAACAAAACTTGCACCTATGACGAAGTTTAGCTCTATCTAGGCCAATTGATACTGTAGTTAATTGCATTTTGAAACTATTATTACTTGATATAATAAGAATCACCATCTATTGAGTACCTTCTGTAATAGGTGTTTTATTTGCATTACTTTTATAAAATTGTTTTTATATTTTTACAATATCAATTATGCACAAAATGATTATATTATACATGTGTAGTTTAAACAAGAATAAACACATGTACCCACCACCCAGCTAAGAATGAGAACTTTAGAAATTGTTTATTCTTGATCATATATAACATCCCTCTCCCCAAGAGGTAACTATGTTCTAAATTTTGAGTTTTCCATTTATATGCTTTTAAAAAGTTAATTACTAAAATATTATAAAGTCAAAGGTTTATTTACCTCCAACTTTACTTAAGGTGTTACCAAATTTTCACTTCTGTTTCTCCAGCTCCTAGAAAAATGATTGGTTCATAGTATATGCTCAGAAAATAGTTGTTTGATTGGTAAATTGTTTTCTAAAGTAGTTTAGTTAATTTTCATCCTCACTAGTGTTAAGAGTTCCCATTGCTCCACATATTTTACATTTAGTCTAATTATAATGCATTTTGATTTATTTTTATCATATTTTAAAACATTCTTGTTATTCTTTTTATCACTTCTTTTCTCCCCTTTATTGTATTCTTTTGTTTGATTATATATATTTGCTTACATTGCATTTTATTTTTCTTCTCCAACTTGGTTAGAAAGTATACGTTCTCTTGCTATTCTTTTAGTGATTACTGTGCATTTTTAACATGCATATTTTACTTAATCAGTATAAAGTTACTCAGAATCTTTACCCTTCTTTCAAACATACAAGGTACTTATAATACCTTAACTCTAATTAGTCTCTTCTCAACTTATATGCTTATTATCGCCCAGTATTTTAGCTTTAGTAAGACATCGTTTCTCTTTCTTTGCAGCCATCTGTTAGTTCACATACCCACTCAGCTTCTAGTTTATTATCTACCTAGTATTTTTATAATAATATCTTGTTCCTGCCCTGGCCGGTTTGGCTCAGCGGTTAGAGCGTCGGCCTGCGGTCCAGAGAGACCGGGTTCGGTTCCCGCTAAGGGCACATACCTCGGTTGCAGTTTGTCCCCGGCCCTTGTTAGGTTGCACGGGTGGCGGCTACTCAATGTGTCCCTTTCACGTCGATGTTTCTCTCTCTCCCTCCCTCCCTCTCTATCTGAATAAAAAATTGAAAAAATGTCCTCAGGTGAGGATAAAAAAATAAAATAAAAATAATATCTTGTTCCTAACTTTTACTCATGATTCGTCTTTTATAACTTAAAAAAGGATAGCCAGAATGCAATGTGTGTGTGTGTATGTGTGCGTACGCACGCACACCCATGCACAATGAATTATTATTGGGCCATAAAGTGAATGAAGTTCTGATACATGATATATGGTTCATAGATAAACCTTGAAACATTAAGCTAAATGAAAGAAACCAGACACAAAAAGCCACAAATTGTATGATTCTACTTGTATGAAATGCCTAGAATAGGCAAATCCATATATACAGAAAATAGATTAGTGGTCGCCTGGGGCTGGTGGACAGGGAAATAGGAAATACCTGCTAATTGGTATGGGGTTTTCTTTGGGAGGTGATGAACATTTTCTAGAATTAGTGGGAATTGATGCACAGCTTTGTGGATATAATAAAAACCACTTAACTCTACACTAAAATGGTGAATTTTGTGAGCTGTGAATTATATATCAATAAATCTATTTATAAAACAAAAAGTCACATATTTATATATAGAGTATTATACCATTTATACAAAAATCAAAACTTAAAAATATTTTTTAAACTATTCATAATATATATTCATAGAAATATGAACTAATGGTATAAATACATGCATGGGAGTTGTCCATAGAAGCTCCTTAAAAAGAGAATATTAAAAAGTGAAAAGTTATACCAAAAACTGGGAGAAAACATGTAATAAAGATAACATGTAAAATACTAAATATATAAAGAACTCTACAAATCAGTCAGAAGAAGGCCCACCAACACTGCTCCTAGGTGTTCACCCTAAAGGGAAGTTTAGCCTTGTGCTGTAGTAGATATGTACAGGAATGTTCATTGCTGCTTTGCTGGTAAGCAGAAAGCCCCCGTGTCCATCTGCAGGGGGAAGATGAATAAATTGTGGCATATTAATCTAACTAAATACTGTATTCGTCAGTAAAGGTGAATGCATTAATGTTACAATAGCATATAACCACATGGATAAATGATAAAACCATACCGCAGGATGAAAAAAGCAAATTTCAGAAGACATCTGCAGCATTTCTATGAAGCTTTAAAAATAGAACAAAATAACATGTTAGGGATATATGTATGTGACAACCCATTTGAAAATAAATAGTATGGAAATTTAGTATTGGCAGTTTTGTAATTCTTAAATGGATTCATGGATGTTTTATTTTATTTTAATGTCATTTTTTTTTTTAATCCTCACCCAAGGATATTTTTCCATTTATTTTCAGACAGAGTGGGAAAGAGGGAGAGAGGGAGGGAGGGAAGGAGGGAAGGAGGGAGGGAGGGAGGGAGGGAAGGATAAAGGGAGAAAGAAAGAGAAACATCGATGTGAGATAGACACATCGATTGGTTGCCTCCTGCACGATCCTGACCAGGGCTGGGGACCAAACCAAAACCAAGGTACATGCCCTTGACCAGAATCAAAACCGTGACTCCTTGGTCCGAGGGCAATGTTCTAACAGCTGAGCCAAACTGGCCAGGGCCATGAATGTTTTATTTTATTGTCCCGTTTTAAAATGTATATGTTTGTATATATTGTTTTTTTGGTACTCATAAAATATTATATAATAAAATGTTTGGGAATATTAAACCAAGTGTATGACAGTTGTTACCTCTGGGGAGAAGTTCAGAAGGGCCTTTTGCAATGTTCAGTTAAATTCAAAATCTGATATAAATATACTTAAATGCTAAGCTTTAATATACTATTACAACAATTTTTAAAAGCATGCCAAAGATCTAAAGTCTACAAGATAGAAAGCTGTGATATATTGGTAGTTTTTAAAAACATAGAACACTCAATATTAGTATAATTTAACTTTTGCAAAAAAACACATAATGTATATATATATTTTTATAGATAGGTGCTATATTCATAGAAAAAAAAAAAAAAAACAGAAAAATTATACACCTAACTGTAAGAGTTTGTCCCTGGAGCAGTGGTTCTCAAGGACAGAGATGTGGAGTTTGCCTCGGGGGACATCTGGCAATGTCTGGAGATATTTCTGGTTTTCACAACTGGGAGAAGGCCACCAAATTAGGAATCACTAACAAAAACTTTGTGTATGAAAAGTTAAAAAACATTGCTGAGTTATTTGTGAGTCAAAAATATTGCTAATCAACATGGAAAAGGAGTTTGATCTCATTTGTAATTAGGGGAATTCAAATTTACACACAATGTACTATTTCATGTACAACACATTGACACAAAGTGTGAAAACACAAAATGCTGTTAAGAATGTAGAAAATAGGAGTGTTATATACTAGAAGTGTGCATAAATTTTTTGGTACAAGCAGTTTGGAGAGTTATTTTATAGTATCTAATAAAGTTGACTATATAAACTATGATTCCACATTTCCTCCTCTAGGGATATACTGTAGAGAAATGTTCACACATCTATCCAAGGAGACATATATAATGTCTTGCAATAAAAACCAAGTTGGAGTAATTATAAAAGCCCAATAACCAAGGAATGGGTAATAAATTGTAATATATTCATATAGTTAGATACCATTTCCAGTTAAAATAATTGAACTAGTTTTGTAAACAGTATTGAGCAATTGTGAAATCCTAACATTGAGGTAAAAATAGAAATAATTTGCAAGACCACCCTTTTATGCTGTATTATTCATGTGCAGTTTTAATTGCACAGGAGCACATATTATTAGGGGATACATGTAGTCATGGCATCAAGTGATGGAGGAAGGATGCACCAACCTAAAATTGGTGTATCCTGAGGAGGAGCAGTGGAGAGAGCTTTCGGCTAAGTCGTTAATGTTTGTTTCTTTTATATATATATATCATAGAAATGTACACTTGAAACCTACATGATCCTACTAACCAATGTCACCCCAATACATTTATTTAAAAAGTATATGTATACATTTCAAGCAAATATTAGTGAGCATTTAATGATAGTGAGTACATGGGTGTTCTTTGCATTCTTTTGTTTGTTTGTTTTTATTTTTTGGAAAATTCGAACATTTTTATGACTGAAGGCAAAGATCTGCAAAAGTTAAGAATTATTATTCCATGTTATTCAAGGCAAATATTAATGCCTGTGTAGACAGGGTCGACAGATGATGCGAGACTAAGCCTTAGAGCCATTTTTTAAGGAATCTTGCCTGATGGTCTCCCTTCCTCCTGTCTCCTTCCCCCACTGTGCCCAGCCACCTGTACAAGAACCAGTTTGTTTTGGTCATAGCATATCCTGTACACACTTCTATTAAATTACATATTGCACTACCTACGTTTATTTACATGCTGTCCTCGCTCTGAAGGCCATAGTAGCAACTATATCTTGTTTGGGTATCCCTTTACCTAACAGTAAGCACTAAGTAAATATTTGATCAATGAAATGACGAATGACTGAACAGATTCCAACGGAGGAGGACATTTATAAAGAACAATTACCAGTAGTAAACTTGGCCTACGTTTTAGTTTTGATATGATCGACACAGAATATGTTCATGCCAGAATTCAACAATAGGTCATCTAATCAGGCCCTGTGCTGTAGTTAAGATTAGGTGTTGCTATATATATCACTGGAGAACCTAAAATAACAGTGGTCTCCATTAGAAATTTATTTCTCTCACACCAAAAAGAAATCTGAAAGAAAGTAATTCAGGGCTGCCATAGAGGGTCCACAGTGCCGGGGTCCCATGTTCCAACTGTCTCCTCTCTGCTCCACCATCTTTATTGAGGTCACTCAAGAACCAGGATGACTACGTGAGTCCCAGCAACCAACCAGCCTTCCTCCCACCCTCCCTGCCATCCTTCCATTCATCTTCCTTCTTGTTTTCTTTTTATTAAGCCCCAAGAGTGAAGGAAAGGGGACAGGAAGTGCCTACTGATACTTTTTTTTCCTTTATTGATTTTAGAGAGAGAGAGAGAGAGAGAGGAAGAGGGAGAGAGAGAGAAACATCAATGAGAGAGAACATCGATTGGCCGCCTCCTGCATGCCCCCCACTGGGGATTGGGCCCACAAACTGGGAATCGAACACCTCTCGGTGCATGGGTCGAAGCTCAACCACTGAGCCACACCATAGCACATATTTTAAACAAGGAAAGAGTTTGAGTATAGGTTCTAGGGCTATGCTCATAAATTTAGGATCAGCATAGTGCTAGCCTTAGGGATGGGGGAAACTGAGGTGGTGGTAAAATCAGGAAGTTAATATTTTATAGAAAATTAATCTGTAAATAGTCAGCAGACTTTCTTTGGGCATCTAATTCTGATCACTATTCCTGATACTGATTCTTTTCACTGGATTGTAAAATAAAGTTCTAATGCAAAGTTTTATTCTTTGGAGATCTGAAAAATTGCTTCACATGAGTCCTTTTCCTCCCAGGCCCTAAATTATCTTGGCATTCAGCCCACAAAGGAACAACACCAAGCCCTGAGGCAGCAAGTGCAAGTAGACCCAAAGGGGACAGTGTCTTTTGGAGGTAATGTTGCGTACCTTATGTTATATCAGCAATTTTCGACTTGTGTACTGTGACACACCGGTGTGCTACAAGGTTTTTTAAAACATGCAACCCCTGACTATTTGGTCATGGGCACTGACCTCTTTTCCCTTAAATTGTCAAATGTAAAGGTGACAATAGCCATCCAGGTGAATGAATCAAAAGTATACCTACATTTTTTGTTAGATTGGCAAAAAGTATGTTTTGGTATACCGCAGAATTTTAGTAGTTTGTGTGTGTCATGAGACACAGAAGGTTGAAAATTGCTGTATTATATCATCACAGAAACTTGTTCAAAGAGTTATTGTGATTCATTTTCATTAAGAGTTTCTCTTTAGAAGGAGAGAGAAAAAAATAAGCATACATCTATTTCAAATTCCTCAATCAGTACTCTAAAAACTTGGCTAGAATTACTGGTCAGCAGAAAGGAGAACTTTCTCAGAACGTTTTGGCTCTAAAATGCTGTCATTCTATCATAACTCTTTTTTATTTTGTATTAATTACATAAACATTGCTTTAGTAATAACAAAAAATGTACAAAATGCAGAAGCGCTAATTCCACTGCAGTGAAATTTTAATCTTTTTTTAGCTAATGTGATGTGATAAATATTTTTATGATGCTGTGTAATTATTATTAAAGGTAGCATAATGTTGACATACTTAGTTGACATACTGTAACATTAAGCCTTTCCATTATTGGGCATTTAGATAGTTTCTCAGTAGCTGACATTATAAATAATTCTATATTTAATATCATAGCTTTTGTCCTGGCCAGTTAGGTTCAGCAGTTAGAACATCAGCCCAGGGACCTGAGGGTTCCGAGTTTGATTCTTGGTCAAGGGCATGTACCTGAGTTGCATGTTCTATCCCTGGACCCAGTTGGTCCTGCAGGAGGCAACCAGTCATATTGTCTCTTTCACATTGCGGTTTCTCCGCCCCCCCCCCCCAACCCCTCCCTCCCTCCCACTCTCTCTGAAAATCAATGGAAAAAAAATACCCTCAGGTGAGGATAAACCAAAAAAAGCTTTTGTTTTTCTTTTTCTTAGGCTAAATGCCCACAAGTGGTTTGGACCTTTAATATGTATTGATAGTTGTTTTTCAGAGGTTTTTTTACGTGCTATTTGTTCTGCCACTAGTAATACGGGAACAAACCAATTTTTTGTATCTTTGCCAGCATGTTGTATTTAATTTTTTCTCTTATGCAGTTGATGCAATACTGCATCATTTTAAAAAGCATGTGTATTGCTAAAAAAAAAAAATTCACTTCTTGGTTTTGCAGTGATGAAAGAAAGATACGTTTGCTCCCCTCTCCTCTTAAAAATCACTTCAAAATAATGAGAAACAGAATTGCATGTATACTAAAACCACTATATATAAGCAAAGAAAATCAATGAATTAGTGAGCAGAAGCAGGTAGAGCCCAAGAGTCTGAAGAGATAAGGGAATCCAATGGGGAATAGCTGATTTGTCCCTGAGAAGGACTGAAAGCATCAGGTACTTCTGAAAGCTGGGTGCGGGCAGGCATTTTAAACAGGATTGTTGGAAGCTGGTGTAAGGAGCAATTATATATGCTGTTCCCTGCCCCCTCTCAAGCAATCTAGCAACTACCTGCAGAGGAAAATAAGTATATTCTCTTGAGAAATTAAACCAGAGAGGTTTGGACCTATAGTTGCAGCCCAGGGATTTGATGGGGGTGCATGATGACTTATCGCTCACAACACACCCCCAGATTTCTCCATGAAATTTGCAGCCATGTTTATACTCTAGGGCAAGAGATTACAGGATTCTCTCTGTAGAAGCCAGACAAACATATCAGCATGGCCACCTGATTGTTCTGTAGTGAAACCTGCCATTTGACAAGGCAAGTTATGCCCACAAAATGTTCAATCAATATATTGGTGCCTAATTCTTCTTAAATATGAACTCACATCCAAGAGTCAATACTAGTAATTTGGAGGCATCCTCCAACATAAAATATAGAGCCCCAAACCAGCAAAGAGGGGGGAAAAGGAACTCAGAAAAAAGGGAAATATTGCAAGAGCAAAAGAGAACTTCAGATGAACCATAATCAACATCTTTAAAAAGATAAGCAAAGATAAGGCATCCATGAAATAAGAGTAGGATATTGTAAAATAGGAACAATCAGAACCATTAAAAGAATCCTTGGAAATTAAAAACATAGTAGTCAAATTCCCCAGAAGAGGGCGTGGTGGGAGAGAGATAAACCACAGAACTTATATGCATGTGTGCATGAACAATGGACATGGACAACAAAGCTGGGGACAGGGCAGGGAGGGAGAGAGAGGGGGAGGGGGGAATCAATGGGGGGAAAAGGAGAAACATCTGTAACAAAAATTAATTAATAAAAAATAAATTAAAAAAATAAAAACATAGTAGTCAAGATAAAAACATGTGAGGGTAAATAGATGAATAGGTCACACTCCATGTCCAAAAAAGCTTATCATTTGCTCTGGCTGTGTTATGTAACAATCAAGAGTATATGCCTCTTTGTCAGACCTTAAATGGAATCTTGTTCTGTTACTTATTTGTCAAGTGGCCTTGGGGGATTTTAGAGAGTTAGCTTGTCTTAGCCCCAAACTGTAAATGGAGAGTATAAGAGGACCTACCTCGTAAAATTCTTAGGATGAAATTTGCAAAGCACCACCATAGCCCATAGAGGCTTTACAATATTATTATTAAATCTTGGGTTCTTCCAGCTAGAATAACTGTAAATCATAATATTGTCATATGTTTCAGAAAAAGTTCTACTCATAATTTAAGAGTTGGAGGAATACGCCCTGGCCAGTTTGGCTCAGCAGTTAAGTGTTGGCCCTCGGACCATAGAGTCACGCGTGGTTGGATTCCGGTCAAGGGCATGTACCTCAGTTGCAGTTTGCTCCCCGGTCCTGGTCAGGGTCATGCTAGAGGCAACCAATCAATGTGTCTCTCTCACAAAAATGTCTTTCTCTCTCCCCCTCCCACTCTATCTGAAGATTAATGGAAAAATATCCTTGGGTGAGGATTTAAAAAAAAAGAGTTGGAGGAATAGTTATGCCTGTGATATACATTTGCTTTATGATTATCTTAACTTATTTATTAACTTCAGCAAGGTTAAATGAAGTAAGTTAAAACCAGTTTCTCTCTTTACTTTTTATTTAAACTTATATTTATCTTTCACTTCAGTTAATACTATTTTAAGGCAACTTATTTAAGTTAAATTTTAAGCATTAGTTATAACACATAGCTTCAACTTCATATAGAAAAAAATGAGATATATTTAGATGAGGTTAAATATATGTTCTTACTGAAATGTGTTCCATTTTAGATTTTGTCCAGGTTGCCAGAAACTTGTTTTGCTTGCAGTTGGATGAAGTCAACGTTGGTGCACGTGAAATTTCCAACCTATTAGATTCACAGGTAGGGTGTGCCCTGCAGAATTGTCTTGATTGTTCTTAAATCATAAGTCTTCAATGTTAGTGTCATGAATGTGGGCTTTTAAAAAATTTTTCAATGTTTCTTATAAATTATGCAAATAATACATGCTTCTTGGATAAATATATAAAACAGATTAATTTAAAATCAAAAGTAAAATTTTGTCTTGATTTCCTTCATTCTTCTTTCTCACTATTCCCTCAAGTTAATCCCATCCCTAAATTTACCAAAGGAAAGTACTCATATCATATATATCCTCTGCAGTCTTACCGTCTGTCCCATCCTCATGTAATCGGCACCCAGATCGACATTAAAGAAATGCATTGTCAGGACACTAACGCTCTTACCCCCACATTTCCTTCCATTTGCTGGTACTCTTCCCCCACCCCCCAGTCAAGGTCACTACCCTTTTGCCTTCTAACAATGTAGACTGGTTTGGCCTGGTTTGTGCTTTATGTAAAATGGAATAGGTCTCTAACCTCAGTGGACTTAAATTAGAAATCTATTAACTTCATAAGTCATTTGTTCTAGTCAAATGTTTTAGTACTTGGCATTACTGATTTTTGATATTATATTAAAGAAGGTTCTCCCAATTTATATTTTATATAATTTATAGATTTAATTCATTCAAAATGTATTCTTGTCTGTCTGTGCATGAAGTAGGACCGCTAACGGATAACCACTTGCCCTTTGTTCCACTATCATTTTTTAAATAACTGTCCTTCACTTTTGCCACTAATTTGAAATATGAACTTTATCGTATACTCAGCGTCTCGTTAGATACACAGATCTGTGCCTAGACCCACCACTGTGTTTCACTGATCCCTTCTCCTTGCCAGCACTGTTATTATTTTAATTTGTCTAGCTTTATAGTTCTAGATTCATTGTTACCTGGTAGGTGAAGGCCTTAATTTTTTTTTTTTAATTTCTTGGTTTTGATCTAGGTGATCATTAGAGTCATTTTGCCATTATAATAAAAATTAAATTGGAACTTTTGAAAAAATTATAATTGCCCTGGCCCGTTTTGCTCAGTGGTTAGAGCATCAGCCCATGGTCGGGGTCATGCAAGAAGCAATCAATCGATGTGTCTCTCTTACATTGATGTTTCTGTTTCTCTCTCTCCCTCCCTCCCTTCCACTTTATCAAAAATCAATGGAAAAATATCCTTGGGTGAAGAGTAACAAAATAAATAAATAAATAAAATAAATAACTAGAATTTAGAGTGTGGTTTGGGAGATATGAGCATGATTCTCCATTCATTTAGGTCTTTGTTGATGTTTTGGAAAGAGGAAAATATAGCTTGCTTTATTTATGTCTTGAATGTTTGTTGTTAGATGAATAAGTAGGTATGCTCTAGTGTTTCATTCTCTTAGAAATGGGATATTTTAAATCATTTTTAAATTGATGATTAGTAAAGATGTTTATTAGTGATTGCTTCTTTGACCCTTAGTTGGAACTGTTTTAAACATTTTCTAGTTATATAGTTCCCTTCTGGTCACTGATTTCTAGTTTAATTTCACTGAGGTTAGAGACTACATCTATCTGGTATTAATTCTCTGATCATAGAGCCTGCATATAGTCAATTTTATAAAATGTTTCTCATCTTTTGAAAAGCATGTATATTCTGTACTTATTGAGTGAAGTTCTCTCCATATGTCAAATAGGTCAAGGTTGTTAATCATGTGGTTCAAATTTTCTATTTTATTTTTAACTGTCTATTTCCTTAATCAATTTTTTGGTCATCTTTTATTATCCATTACTAAGAGAGAAAGATTGTAAAATATCTCCCATTTAGTTCTAATGTTTTCTTTATATATTATGAGGCTATATCATTAGTTGTATACAATTTTAGAATTGTTATATCCTGACAGAATTTCTTCACCTTTAGAATGTTTCTGGCTTTATAATTAACTTAGTCTAATCATGTAGCTATACCACCTTTCTTTCGGTTGGTGTTTTGGTTTGGTTTTCAGTGATTATATGTATTTTTCTTTTTTAAAGAAAAGTGTTATATAACTTTTTATAATGTATCAGATGGGATCTAAACACAACAGTATTTGATATTCATAGCATTTATTTAAAAGAAAATTCCTGTATACATTTTTATTCTCAGAAATGTATCATCTTTTTTTTCTTTTAACTCTTATTTCTATTCCATATCACCCTAGAACATTACCCTGATATGGTATAATTTCAAGCATACAGTATGCTTAAAAATCTTTCATTGATCAACCTATCATTTTGCTGCAAAAAAGGTGTACATTCTGTGTGGGTTTGGACAAATGTGTGCTTATATGTATTGATCATTATAGTGTCGTACAGAGTACTTTTAATGCCCTAAAAATCTTCTCTGCTCCACCTGTTCATCTCTTCACGCCCCCACACCCCAGCAACCACTGATCCTTTTATTGTCTCCATAGATTTATGCTTTCTACAATGTAATGTAGCTGGAATCATACAATATATAGCAGCCTTTTCGCATTGGCTTCTTTCAGTCAGTAACATGCATTTAAGCGTCCTCTGTAATTTTTCACATCTTTTTAGCACTGATTAATATTCCATTGTCTGGATGTACCACAGTTTATTTATTCATTAACCAGCCAAGTTTTGGCAATTACAAATAAAGCTGCTGCAAATATCCATGTGCAGGTTTTTGTGTGGATATATGTTTTCAGCCCCTTTGGGTAAATACCAAAGAGTGCAGTTATGGTAAGAAGATGTTTAGTTTTGTAAGAAACCACCAAACTGTCTTCCAAAGTGGCTGTGCAGTATTTCATTCCCACCAGCAATATATGAGAGTTCCTGTTGTTGAGAATGAGAGTTCCCAAGGACCTTGTTGTTTGGAAACTCTCAGGTCACCCAGATGGCCCAGAATTGAGCCACTGGTTTATCAGAACCGATTCTGTAGCATTTCGGGTAGGAAAACCGAAGGTAGAAGAGCACAGTTTTTCTTCCACTGCTTTAGATGTTATGTTTTTACCTATTTAATATCCTCAGCAGAGCATTGTTTTCTTACCACCCAACAGTTCGCAGAGCGACCATCCCCATGTTTGCCGAGGAAAGGCATGTAAGTGAAGTGAGGAATTCAGAGTGCTTTGTATGAGCATGCTTTCAGCAGCTGCAAAGAAATTCTCATGCTCCAAATTAGTAGTTACTTCCTTCTTACTAATACGATTGTATTGCAGATAAGAATGTGTTCAAAGCAAAAACAAAGTGCTGATGGTAATTGTTCAAGGTCTCCTGCACGCCAATAATCTACTGTTTGTAGCTTCAGATCAGAATGTTGGACAGTAGTCATAGTATCCATGTATAAGATTTCCTTTGTCGTATTGTGCTTTTCAGCACACAGAAGATATCCCCATAAAATGTTGCCTTTCCTTTTCCCCCCACACAGGAATCCACCATAAGAGTACATTTTACTTTACCACGTTCACATGTGGAATTGAAACAAAAGTCTGAAAACATCTCTTACCTTTTCTACATCAGCGCATTCTTTTTTTATTTAATCCTCACCCTGAGGATATTTTTCTGTTTATCTTCAGATAAAGTGGGAGGGAGAGAGAGGGGGAGAAAGGAAAGGGAAAGAGAGAGAAACATTGACGTGGAGAGGAACACATCGACTGGTCGCCTTCCACATGACCCGGACCAGGGCTGGGACGAACCACAACTGAGGTATATATGCCCTTAGCCGAAATCGAACCCACGACTCATTGATCCGCGGGCCAATGCTCTACCACTGAGCCAAACTGGCCAGGGCCACCATGGCATTCTTATTCAGTACTCAGTTCTATCTCATGTCTTGTAATGCACTAATGGGTCATGTGGCATAATTTGGAAAATACTATAAAAATCATTGCTTGTCAAGTAGCTCACCAGAAACAAATAAACATATTGCATTATTTTGTAGTATAATGCCCAGTTGTTTTTTGAGTAAAAAAACAACAACAACAACAGTATAATACCTCATTTGAAGTTTATCAATTGATCTGTGGTTGAGGATGCTGACAGTCTGTGAAGGAGGGGAAATTCCACTATGGTTACCCCCTGGACCTTTTTGTCATAAACAACGAGAGGCAGATTTTATAATCTATCCGTTAGGGATGCTTTTTTCTTCTTTTATTCATGTTTCTGTTTCTTGGATTGTCTTTTTCTTAATTTACTTTTTAAAAATATTTTTACTGATGCGTAATGGACACAGTAACCAAAAATCTCAGATGTACAACTTGATGAATTTCTATTAGTGTCTCACGTGTCATCACCACTCAAAAGGCTTCTTTGTGCCAACTCTCCAGTGGGCTGTGTCTCCCACTTTTACAGTGAAATGGACCACTATTTTGACTTTGATCAGCATAGATTACTTTTTCCTGTTCTTGATTTTCATGATAAATAGAATCATACATATGGACTCTTCTGTAACTAGCTTCTTTTGTTTATCATTTTGTCTGACTCACATTTCTTGAGATACTGTCTTTTAGGAAGGAAGCATTGCTGAGTCATTATAAGTCCGTCTACTTTTGTTTAGTCGACAAAAAACTTTTAGTTTTGGAATAATATGGCATTTAGAACCAAAAAGATAATTATCTTACTGTGAATCTAATCACCATGGCTATATAAAAATTTACATATTGCTATACCTGCTGCTGGCCCAAGGTTACACACAGAAAAGGCATAGTTGGAGCCTACATTTATTGTAAACTTGCAGACTCTAGTTCACCTTAATATGACGGGTTTTCCATGTTAATTAAGTACCCTACATGGATTATCTTAAAATCATAGAGAAAACACTCTAAATTCCCTAATGCAGACTTTTCCCAGTTTCGGTTCTTGCTAGTCAGTTTGGTGGATTGTAACCACCATTTCAACAAATGAAATATAGTAGAACGGAAATACCAAAGTGAACTGTATGTAATAAGAGTGAGCAATGTTTTACTTATACTGGGTCATGATATAAATTATATTTGCACTGTGTGTAGCAGTAAAAACTTTATAGCCACTTCTCTATATACTCATCTGTAAATATTAAATATATATAGAACAACTACAATGTGACATTATTGTTTGTATTATCTTTTTCTACTCTGTATTCAGTTGCCTTCTCTACTTAATCCTTTAAATCATATTTTCTAAACTTTACTTTTAGTTCTGTTATAAACTTCTACATAGAAGATGGCTGTAAATAGACTTGGATTTTAATCTCTGATAAAATTGCCATTGTTTTTTACTTTGCAATTAACTGCCAAAGAGATCATATTAAAAATAAGGGAGACTGTCAACTCTGCTATTTTTTGTTGTTATTATTCACTTGTGCATGAATTATTAATATTATCTTCAAGACAGTTTCTGTGCAGGAATCTTTTTAAGCCACTTGACTGTTACGTTTAATTATGTTTAACACAAGACACATAATCAATTAATGTACTTTACTGGGTTTACATAAACAGCATTTTGTTAGCTTTAGAGTCCATGCATTTGGAGTGGATGTCTTTAGGGCATAGTTTATTTTGATAGCTCATAAAGTCTTTTTAACATTATAACCACAGTCTTGGGATTTGACGTTTCAAGGAAAATTATATTGTTAAATAAGAATCATAAAGATGACAACAGAGTATGTATACCTGCTAATCATCTAAATTTTGTTGTAAGTAGCAACAATGTAAGATTAAACATCAGTGAGTGAAGTCACCCCAGATTACTTTAACATTCTCTTTTACCCAATCAAATGACTCCTCAGCCTCGTCAAAAAGGATTTTTGTGCTCATTCTATAATTAGCATGTAACACATAATTTTTCTGTTATGTGTTAATGTTGACAGCTTATTGCCTGCGACGCCTTCGAGGCAGATGAAATGGACCGGCTTAAGCGGGAGAGAAATGACGCCTTGGAGGAAGTGCGTGCACTTAAGGTAACCTCCTGGTTAGCTGTCTCACATTTTCTTTAGAAAAAAGGAAGAAATTATCTCGTGTTGAATTCTGAAGTATTGGGGCTTAGTTTTATTTTTAATTAAAGACACTTAATATCAAACAGCTTAATAGTAATTGTGGTCAATATTAAATATTAATATCAAACAATCTGACATTTATTTCTTCAGTTGATCTTTAGAGAGTTAATTTTTCAGTTCACACACACTTTTTATTTATATTTCATAATATCCATGGAAGATTCAGTGTACACAGTGGTTTTTACTCATACTTTCTGATTTGGCTACTTCTGATTCCCTTTTTTCCTCACATTGGTTGCAAAGATGAGGAGCCAACAAAGATAATGTAAGGAGCCAACGAAGCAACACATGACAGTATGGATCCTCAGATGCTGATTGATAAGGACTTCTTCTCCATGGTCGTGGGCATGCTTCAGGGACATCCTGTTAGGCGAACATAATTTGGAATTAAGGCAATAAGATTTGAGGGAGGAAAAAAAATGCACAATATATACCAAATGTACTTTAAGATTTTGATTCTCTTAATATGGTTTCATTCTGTGTTTAATAGAATATTAAATTTAAATTATATCCTAATTTTTTTTTTTTATTGATTTTAGAGAGAGAGAGACGAAGGGAGAAGAGAGAGAGAGAAACATCAATGAGAGCGAACATCGATTGGCCATCTCTGCATGCCCCCCACTGGGGATTTGGCCCACAACCTGGGCATGTGCCCTGACCAGGAATCGAACTGGCGACCTCTTGGTGCATGGGTCGACGCTCAACCACTGAGCCACACCGGTCAGGCTACATCCTAATTTTTATAGGAAGCCATTATATTTTTCAAATCTGCAAGAAAAGCAACATAACTACTTGATTTACTATTAATTCAACATAGGAATACATTTTAATGTTACTTTTAATTATTTTCTTAAATAAGTGAAATTCTAGTGTTTATTTATTTAATTTTTATTAAAACAAAATTATTACACCCAAAAAAATAAAGAAATTTTCTTACTACCTTAGTTTTTAAATGCCGTCCTCTATAGGAAGCCATTGTTAAACATATCTTGTTTACCCTTTATAGACTTGTTCTAGATAACCAGTCATACTTTAAAAAAATCAATGTGTGTGTATATATATATATATATATAAATATATTAATTACATATATTTTTTTAACTTTTGCAAAATTGTTTCATGCATTGCACACTTTTTTGCAACCTGCCTTCTCTTTTCTCTTTGTCAGCATTGCATCTTGGGCTACTTTTCCAGTTGCTGTACACAGATAGGCCAAATTCTTTTCAAGGGCTCTGCTAATCATCACACGCTTCTGCCCTAGGTTATTTAGCCAGTTTCTTCATATTGAATAGTTGGGCTGTTTTCAGTTTTTCATTATTAAAAATAATTCCATCATAAATAGCTTTGTAGATGTTTCTTTCCATGATTGTAAAATTATAAAAGTACAAATTGAATAAATTTCTGAAAGTGAAATTGTTTTCTCAAAGGTATAGACAAATAAAATATTATATATGTTACCAAATCCCCTTTCAAAAAGGCTTTGCCAATTCATGTTTCTTCCAAATGCATATCAGCATCATGCCATTACTAAAGGGGTATTTTATATACTTATTACAACTTCGAAACAACTATCTTTCCACATTTTTTGCTATAACAACTAAGAGTTATACATTTAGTTTTAAAAATAAGTTCAGTTTTAAAAATAGATGGACGATAGTTTCCTCATATCCTCTTAGAAAATATCTGCACTGTTGGTTACCTTGGTAAGATAGCATTTTTATATAATTTGCCTCTGTACAAACCATTAAATTTTATGGTTCATCAGAATTTTCAGAGGCTCTCAGATCTTTTTCATTTTCTTAATATTTACCATTGCTAAATTTAGTGATGTAGTTCAGTTTTTATTTGAATGTCAGCATTAATTATTAATAATTATAATTAATAATAAATTGTAATTTAAAACTGTGTTCATGTAACATTTAAACAAGCTCCCCTGAAGAGCTATTCAATAATCAGAATTCATATTCAAAGTTTATGAAATGTAACTGAACATATCCTAATGTGATATCATTGAAATTTCCTTTACCTGAAACCCTATCTATTGTCTGAGACCCACTTCTTCAGCTATATAAAAGAGTATTCAAAGCGATAATATTTTATTTGAGATGATGTTTGCACTTTCATTTTTTCTCTTTGGATTACACACACACACACACACACACACACACACACAAATAAATGTTAAATGAAGTTCATAGAGTGTGTGAATGGTCTCTTATTGCTTCTCATTATCCTGTGATATCTCTAATCTTTATGTCTGACTTAAGGTACAAATAAAAATGAAACCAAGATAATTTGATGCTAATGTCTGGTTTCATTTTGCAAGAATGATTTTTTAAAGTGCTATGGGCTTTATTTAACTTAAATCCTTTCTGCAGGGTTCACATTGCTGCTGCTGTGCAAAACTGAATGAAAATAGATATATTTTGCATTTTACAGATGCAAAAAACTAGGACACAGAGAGTGAAGGTGACTTGCCAGAGCATCAAAGCATGGCAGCCAGCAGTTTCTTGGCTCCCGGTCGGAGGCAGACTCGTTAGATTGCTGTAGTCTATTCCTCTCCATATACCTTCATTTCATCTCTTAGACAAGAATGAGCGGGAATACCCCAGAAAGCAGATTGCTTCTCATAAACGTTGCAGTGTTGCCATGAGTACTACTCAATGTAATCTTCAAACAATTCCTCTGTTCAAGTTTATAGTAAAATGTTTCTCCTATTATTCTTAGTATTTCTGATTTGATCAATAACATGTAGATTTATTTAGGATATACGTAAAAGTGAACATTTTAGGGTATATGCTTAACTGAAGTTCAAGAAGAAGCTGAATTAGGAAGATGGTGTTCAGCTCAGTTTCACATGTCCTCTTTAGGACAGGAGACTTCTGCGTTGTGACGCTGCTCTTTCGTTTGGAAGCTCTTTGACGATGATAGCTATTACCCAGAATGTTGTTAATATTTATACATTTTGAACCCGATTAACTTATTTAGGACCTCAGATTTTGAAACTTTACAAAATGGCTAAAAAACAGAAAATCCATTTTCATCACATTTATACTGTAAAACTAATTATTATTATTATTATTATTATTATTATTATTATTATTTTTTGTACGTGCCCCTAGCGGGAACCGAACCCAGGACTCACTGGTCCGTAGGCCAACGCTCCAGCTGCTGAGCCGAACAGGGCAGGGCACTAATTACTTTTAAATGGTGTATATATAGAGTCAGAAAAGTGATGGAACTGTACTTCAGATTGTAGCAGTTGGATATTTGGGAAATGTATAAGTTTTGAAACAAAAACCTAAAAATGATACTCACTGATGCCTTCATAACAAGTTATTAATTCAGTGGTTTTTAAATACAGGAGAAGTTAATTGACTCAGAAAGGCAAAGGAAACAATTGACGGAAGAACTCCAGAATGTGAAACGGGTAAGTGGCTGGGTTGCATGTGTGGTGTGCGCGCACGTACGCGGTGTAGTCGTGAGGCGGGGATGCCGTGTAACATCCTGGGGCTAGAGGCCGTGAGGCGTAGAGGCGGTGCCCGTGCTGATGTACTGCTGCTGTCAGAACCGAACCCCCCGGACGGGCACAGCCAGGTGTGCATGGACTGAGGATGATCGTTCGCGTTGCTTTTCATCCCCTCTTCTCTCTCTTGTATCTTTTCCTTTTCTTCTGCCACTCATACCTCATGGTATTAAGGATAAAGCAAGACAAACAATAAATTAAATAAATAACCCTGCAAGGCAGAGCATTTTTTTACTTTTATTTTTTTAATAATAAAAACTAAAAATTTAGGCCCTGGCCGGGTAGCTCAGCTGGTTAGAGCGTTGTCCAGATATGCCAAGGTTGTAAGATCAGTTTCTGGCCAGGGCACATACAAGAATCAAACAATGATGTATACGTAAGCGGAACAACAGATTTCCGCCCCCACACCTCCCTCCCTCTTTCCTCTCAAATCAATAAAAAAAGTTTTTTAAAAAGTAAAAATTTGTTTTCACTTTGCATCATTCTTCAAAGAATTTTGGGTAGCTTACAACAAAATAGATACAATGACATTATCATAAAATAGATATCCAGATAACTAACAAAATAGTAAGAGTAGAAAGTTAAGAGAACACTGTTAGAGATCAATGGCAATCACCTGGTTTTGAACCTCCCCAATATTATCCCCCCCGAAAACATAAAACCCGTAGTGTACAACAGTCATACAGGATACATACCTTCAATAGGACTGTGTGACAGAGAACACCACTGCCTTCAGAGTGCATACAAAATTGTTTCTTAAACAATCCAACCAAGTCCTGCGGCTCTCCTGCCTCCGGAACTGGGAACACAAAGGCACAGAGGAGGTGAAGCTTCAAAACGCTGGAAAAGAACTGGGAGAAACAGCAACCCGACAAAGTACGCATAAAGTCGCCCCCAGAATGAGAAAAATGGAACAGCTGACACCAGAATACTGAGCGAGGTCAAGACTGGGCGGTTCTCAGGACTGGAGAAAATGTGTGCAGCCCAAGGAGCAGCCCCGAGAGTCGATGCTTCTGGGGGAGAACGAAATAAACAGAGAGGGGCGGTGTCCCTTGGAGACTAGGACATGAAGAGAGAGAGGACACTGAATACCTCTCACCAGTCCTGGCCGGTGTGAAAACATTAAACAGAAAGACTGGTCAGTTGCATCAAGAGGGGAACAAATGACTTGTAACACAGAAGGTAATCTTTAACAAAAGTGTGTGTGTGAGAGAGAGAGAGAGAGAGAGAAAGAGATTCTCCAGAGCACTTGAGATCTCTCTCTCTCTCTCTTCCGGTAATGCCATCAATTGGGCTTAAATAAACTTACGGAAATTAAAGAGAGAAAGGAGGACATAAGAGGGGAAATTAAGGATCTGGCATGGATGAAGAGAAAGACTTACCAGACCTCCTCCATCTACCCCTTCCACAACCATCAACAACATGATCCATAAAAGAAGTTGCACAGAAGAGGGTGCTGTTGAACTGAGAACTCTTTCTGTGAGAGAAAACAGAGTATGGGAAAAATCTGTCCCCATCATTACAAAACAATCAGGCAATATGAACAAAGCTTTCCTCAGACCATATGAATTAAATGTGTTCCTCTTCAAAACATCTCAACCACGAAGCTGACTATGCCACAGCACTCCAAACTCAGTTAAGGATCCTTAAGCAAGCATATGGCATTAAGAATCAGAAATTTAAGCCCTGGTCCATTTGGCTCAGCACTTAGAACATTGGCCCATGGACCGGAGAGTCGCAGGTTCGGTTCCAGTCAAGGGCACGTGCTTCAGTTGCAATTCAGTCCCCAGCCCTGGTCGGGGTTGTGTCTCTTTCACATCGATGTTTCTCTCTGTCTCTCTCCTTCCCTCTCTCCCTCCCACTCTATCAGAAGATAAATGGGAAAAAAAATATTCTTGGGTGAGGATTAAAAACAAAAGCAAAAAAATTTAAAAACTAAGACTAGAAATTGACCAAAAAAAAAACCTGGAAGAAATGAAATGAGAGTTGATAAAACTTTAGAAAGAAAGAAAAGGAAAAGACAAAAAAATCATGTTAGAAAAGAAAGCTAAGTTACAAGTTGCCAAAGGAAGAATGTATTCAAATGAAAAGGCATTGAAGAAGACCAGAAAAATAACGAGGAAAAGGAGAATGAAATAAAAGAGTTTCTTGAAGTAAATAAAAACAGCTGAACAGCACTAATATGTAGAACTATAATCCAAGAGAACTTTCTGGCAATAAAAGAATAACTGAATGTATTATTGGGTAGTGGGGAAAGTTGGCCTGGGAAGGTCCACTCTAGGGCATACCCAGTAAAACTGTCAGACTTTTAAAGTAGAGCAAGAAACGCACATACCTCCAAGTGAAAGGCCAGCATCAGCCTTCTCAGCAGAATATGTAAAGTAAGGTAGTAGCCGAGCAACATTTCAAGAAACTAAAGGAACAAGATGGAAACCAGATGCCAGGCCGCAGAAGAGCGGTTTGCTATGTACACATGATGCCATATTCCTGAGGACTCCAGAGAGGATGCGAGTCATCTAACCAAAACACTACGGCAACAGCTTGGTCAAGAGTTTCCAGACAGTAAGCATTGTATATGTGTCATTTTATAGTTTAGGCTAAGATAAGAGTGAATTCATGGGTAACAGAGTAACACGAAAACGTTACATGTCTGGCAAAAATCAAAAGATGCCATTTATTTTTTTAAAATGAGAGGTTAAGGAAGAAAATAAAGGGGAAATAGAATATGATCATTGTCTTCTTAAGTCAAGGATAATGATCAACAAATACCATGTAAAACTGACATCAAATAGCAAAAGATAAGGTAAAAATAGACTTTAGGCACTATAAAAAGTAATAATGCAAAGGTAACCTATAGAATGAAAATGCAAATCTTCCTAAATACCCAAAGGATATGTTTTCTAAAGCAAAAGGGAGATGTGAAATAAAATGCAGTAAATATAATGTACTCAATAATTTCAACAACAAAAAAAAAACAATAAGGCAGAATTGAGACTGAACCTAATAATCATCCTAATAGGAATGAGATTAACACACTTACTAAATGAAAAGGGTTTTCTTAGGCTCTGGCTGGTTTGGCTCAGCAGTTGCAGTGTTGGCTCTCGGACCAAAGGATCAAAGGTTTGATTCTGGAGTCACATACCCGGGTTGCAGGTTTGATTCCTGGCCCCGTAAGAGAGGCAACCAATCAATGTGTCTCCCTCTCTCCCTTCTACTCTATCTAAAAATCAATGGAAAAATATCGCCCGGTGAGGATTAACAAAGAAAAAAAGAGAGAGAGAGAAAGTGGCTTTCTTAGAGAAATATAGTTTACCAGAACTGACCTCAGTAGAGATAGAAAGCTCAACAGACCTATATCTAATGAATAAATATAGTTATCAAGAAAAACCCTAGGCCCTGGCCGGTTTGGCTCAGCAGTTGGAGCGTGGGCCTGCGGACCAGAGCATTCTGGGTTTGGTTCCCGCTAGGGGCGTGTACCAAAAAAGAAAGAAAGGAAGAAACAACCCTATAGAAAGGGACCAGGTTGGATGGTTTCACAGGGGTATTTAACCCAGCCTTTGGCAGTCAACCCTAAAACTATGTAAATAACTGAAGAGTAGATGAAATAAAAGACAATTTCCAAATTCTTTTACTGCAGCAAGTGTAACATTTGATGCCTAAACCTGATAAAAACAGCACACACACAAAAGAAAATGCAATTAGACTAGAGAAACAATTAGGGACATATGAATTGGAAAAGAAAAATAAAACTATCTGCAGAGTACATAATAGTAATTCAGAAAACCCTAGGGAACCGGTGATAAAACTAACTCAATGAAAAATTCACAAGCTAGCAAGAGAATAAATTAATATGCAAAGCCCAATTATACAAATATTAATAACCTGGAGCTAACAGCAGTCTACATCAGTGGAAATTGACTCACACTCACACTGTGGTCACTTGATATTTGAAAAGAGTTCACAGACAGTTTAGTGGGGGAAAGATGCTTATTACAATACAGGATAATATAACAAGGGAATACTTAAATGAGAAAGGAATGATCTTGACCCCTACCTCATATCGTACTCAAAAGCTAACTCCGAATGAATTGTAGATCTAAATGTAATATCTTAAACTATTAAATTCTAAAAGAAGCTTTTGTGACCTCGGTTGAAACAAAGTTATCAAACTACGTACCTAGGAGAAGTAAATTTTACTATATGTAAATTCTTCCTCAACAAGGCAAGTTTTTAATTAAAATTAAAAAAAAAAAATGCCTATACAATTTTTCACCCATCGGATTAGCAGAAATTCAGAAGCTTGATATTGCACTGTTGCTGTTTCAAAATAGGCATTCTCATACCTTGCTGGTGGTAATGCAAAATGATGCACCCATATGAAGAAAAATTTGGCATTTCTATATATGCACTTGCTCTTCAACCTGGCAATAAGATATACCTCCAGTAATATGAAAATACATATGCACAGTATTCATTGTAGTATTATTTGTAATTAGAAAATATTAGAAACTATCTTAATCTCTAAGGACAGGCAATTGACTGAATAAACTGTAGTACATACATGCAGTGGAGTACTATGCCTTTGCAGGAAGAATAAGAAAGATCTCTCAGGTAATATGGAGTGATTTCCAGGAGATTTTATCAAGTTTAAAAAGCAAATTATAAAGGAGTGCACTATCTTTTATAAACAAGAGAAATGAAAATATGCATCTGTTTATCTTTACCAAAGAAATCAAAGGGAAGATAAAGGACACAACAATAAACTTTATCTGCAACATGACTGGACACAGGTGGATAAGCTACAGGAGGGAGCGACAGACACCTCTCTGAGAATACCATTTTATCTAATTTTTACTTTTGGGTGCATATTAATAGTCTACACATTCAAAAAATGTATAAAGACA